TTGCCGTTGATGGTGGATTCGCTGTGAAGTGGATCAATTATAGTGATCAAGTGAAATACTCTAGTACAGGGCGCTTAGCAACCCATAACCATGGTTAGAATATGTCTCGCTGTAAATGAAACTCTGTGTAAACAATATTGTTTTATTATTAGAAACTAAAGTACTATTTTTATGCATATTTATGATCAAGTTTCAGGTATCGTTTTCTCTACATTCTGGATTTAGAACAAAAAATTGCTTCTAGTGATTGGTGTTTATAAAACACATATATAATAAAATCACAATCAATGAAAATAAAAAATACTTTTAAGGGTTATAAAATTCGGAAGTTTTAATTTTGATTTAATAACATCAATATATATGGTATATAGTGTAATATACTCGTACATCATTCAGTAACATGCAATTTATTTTTTAAATCACAAATATTATCCAAATATCTTTTTAAATCTGAATAAAACAATTAATTAAAACTAAAACAATTGAACAAATTTAATAAGTATAATTAAATTTTTTACTTGGAGCAGGTAAAGCCACTTTAATAGTGCATTATTTTAAATAAATTGGTGTAATCAGACTATGTAAATTGTTTAATAAATTTAATTACACGATTGCGTTTTGGTTTACTTAAACTAGATTCGTAGATTCAGGTAATCTGTTTAAGAAACTGGAGTTTAATTATAATAATTAAACGTGTTAGCTGTCACAATTTATTTGATTAATTTTCCCTTCGCACCGGCCTGCCGTCGGCGATGTAGCTCTCTTCTACCGCTACGCCAACGGGCTTTGCTCCTCACAGCTCTCCTCCATGATGTCGCCACGCGATGTATCTGCCAGACAGACCCGACTAACTTAGGCCCCCCACCCTAACCGTGTCGTGCATTCAGAACTGGCCTGTACGACCGCTCCTTTGTTCCTAGGGTATAGAGATTGTGGCACAATCTATACCCTATTTCACGAGTATCTATCATGCTTTGACGTCTACTGAGGTGAACAGCTGATCAACAAGTGACATTTTTGTGTTAGTCTGCGACTTTGGCAATAATGAACACCGTGGCGTAACGGACGACATATGTGACCAATAGGACATCCACCTGCGGGGAATGGGGAAATCACAGTGTTTAGATATAGATATATATCTAATAGGTGCACAAAGTTGTCAACGTATTAATGTACTATCATGAAAAAATTGTGATATCCTCTCCCTTACAACTCCCCACCTCCCAATTAACTCGAGAAACGAAGATCGATTTTTTTTTCGTTTTAGGCGTTTTTCCGTACCACAACTGGACCGATTTTCAAAAACTACAATGCTTTTTTGTCGTTGGCATAGTATGGTAACCTTGTGTAAAAATTTCATCCATATCCGAGCAGTACTTTCCAAGTTATAGACCGATAAACAGACCGACCGAAATGAGTGACATGTTTTTCGTGATGTTGTACATATACGTACATGTCATATAGCGAAACAAAATTTTGCGCGACTGCTATACTTCCTCCTCCATCAGGCGTGGGAAGTAATAAAAATAGTTAAAAAAAGGGTGATTCACCCGATTTATATTCAACTCGTCAGAAACAGTCCTGAAACTCAAATTATAATATCTAGAAAATGAACGGAAGACTGAAACATTATCCGTGAAAAACTTACCCTGACAATACAATTACATTGAATGTTTGCTATTGCCCTGCACCCTAGATTTTCCTTGCAAATCTCTAAGTAAACATACGAATTTTGATATGTGCCGTTGCCAAGGATACAATAAGCAGAAGAGGGGGAAAGTACCCGCTGAATTATCTACAGTATAAACAGGAATAATGTTTCATCAATATAATTTATAACATAGAAGCATCCAGTAATTTTCATGAGGATATTTGCTATAAGTACCTGTCACGTCTCTAACGAAAACGATGATATTGGAATTTATAAGTGTGCAACGCAGAAAAGTGTGTAATGCTTATGAAAAGTCTTTATTGAGTATTTTCACTTAGAAGGAAAGTTTCAAAAAATCCTTCCAAATTCTGAAAAAAAAAACGTGCGTAATTTGCGACGTAATAAGTTCTAACATCACAAGTTTTCTCAGACTGTACTCAGAATGTAAGTATGTGCCATCGATGTTGAGTTTTTGAGAAAAAAAAAAGCATTTTTGCTTCAACATTGACATTTGGATTTTAAATGCATGGTTACGTTCACAAAGTATGCAGAAGACAGAAATTTGCTCATAACTGCTACAGATCCTGAGCATGCACGCGATGAGGGGGGATATAATATGGACAATGTACAAACTTATTTTTCTAACAAAGGCTAATTCTTAATGAAACGAAGACAAATTTTCAAAATTCAATTTGTCTTAATGGTACAACAATAACAGTGTCTGGAAATACTAGATTTCTTGATCTTGAATTAGATAGTTACCTCAGGTGGGGCAGCCATATAAGTCATTTAAGAAATAAGCTCAATAAGGTATGCTGTTCTATAAGAATTATTGCTAAATATTTGGATAGAAAAGCTTTCAGTTTCAAGGTGAGTATCACTCAAATTTTGAATCTAGAAAACTTTTTAGCCATTTACCAACAATTGTGAAGAAGATTGTAAAACTAAGTGAATTTAAAAAATACATAAAACATTACTAAATCTAGAACCATATACATTCAACACAGATATGAGTAATATTATGATCTAGAGCAACATTTTATCGTTAGTTTTCTTGGTTGTCGCGATTTGTATACATACATACAAATGGTTTACAGCTTTTGTATTGCATTTGTATTTGAAAGTACAGATTATGTTATCGTTATTATTGTTACTTTCTGTGCATATCCAAAATGAAAATTAGGTCATACTGGCGGATCAGGCAGAAAAATTTGAATGAATTCTGTTTCAAGGTACACTGATATCATTTTTTTAACAATCAAGCCAAAAAATTGAGGATGTATTGCATCAACTGTATGCAAATGATCTATATCAGCTACTACAAATATAATTGTGTCAGTGTCAGGGGCGGATTTAAGAATCTGTCTAGGAGGGGGTCCGCAACGGTGGTCGCAGGATTCAGATTCATATTTAAGCAACGCTTCTAAGAATGAATGAAAGTAATAATGGGAATGAAAAGAAAAGCTAAGCAACTCTACAACTAACTTAAGAGTTCCAACAGACAGCCTGGTGTTTCCTCTGTCGTGGTGCTCGACTCTGGTAGAGGATGATACTTTGTGCTGTCTTATCTCGATAGACCTTATACTCTTAATCATTGCTCAGCTTTCATCCGTTGTCCACCGAGTCCAAGCCTACTCCATGCTGAAGAGTTGCCAAATAGCACGAAACAGATGTTCATGATTCTCTGTGGTCGGGCGAACGAAAGATAGATTACTAGTTTGACGGGTTTTCTCCTCTTCATCCTACAATGTCAACGAGGGTATTCCCATTCTTCTTACATATCAACGATCTCCTTTCCTTGTCACGTGCTGAAGTGACGTAACCTTTCTTTTTACTATTTTCATCACTTACGAGTAATTTGAGTTTCTCTTCATTATTAGTAGAGTACCGATACTTAGACCAAACCTTTTTTAATGATTTTATTTTGTCAAATTCCATAGTTTATTGATTGTAGAATTTCTTACATATTATATCTGTCATTCTCAGCGACTCAATATTGTTTTGAAATCTTTCTTCTATCCGAGAAATTTCCTCATAAAATATTGTTGGTCCCTCCTAGACAGATTTGGTTCTGCCTACAATTTGTCCATTGACAACCAGCGCGCCACCTTGTGACTTTACACGTACTAGCAGTATAGGGACATTTGGTTCTATCAAGATACCTTCAAGGCCATTCATTTTAACCTTCTTTAAGTGTTTTCTTTCCTATCAAGATACCTTCTGTTAAAATTTGGTATACTTCTTTTGAAATGTGATTTACTATCAAGATACCTTCTTTTAATTGCGTACCGACGCGTCCAGCGTCATTTTACTTTTGCTTTTCCGCTGTGATTTTGGTTGTGTGCGCGCGTTTTTTTTTTTTTTCGTCAATTTCCAGATTTTGGGATATGAACGCCCCAAACACCTTTTTACGGAGTAGTACCCCTTTATCTTGTACCTTACGCTTAGTTGTGTTGGTTTGGATACTATCCGTCCATTTTGTAATGGGATTTGAACCACCAGCAGTAAGTTCTCTTCAAGATAAGTATTAATGGACGTAGTTAGTTAAAAGAGAACTTACCTATACAATTAATCTGATTCATAGCTGTGGAACAATCTTGCTGAGGAGGCTTTTCCCAATTCTCCTAACCTTACACAGTTCAAAAATCAGATTAACATTATACTCCTCATATAGCAGCCATGGTGCCCTAGAATGTAGGCTCTATGTGACTGCTTCAGTATATAAAAAAGTAATATATAGTTTTGCAATTTTACTAAATCAAGTATATATGTTAATGAGGAAATTCTTTTAATATAAAAAAAAACAAGTATTTACTAACAAATTTCAAGAAAAAAGTAACAAAATCAAATTTAACACAATTCACATAAAAATGAATCAAACATTACAAAATAAACTTGATTTTCTTCATAACTCAAGGAGCACATGTTTGAATGATTAATACCTATATCTACTTACATAGCTATATCACTTTTGCCTTAAAATTAGCCAGTATATGGTAGTAATTTCTAACATTAGTCAAAATGTTTGATAGATCTGTTTAAAAAAAGGAACTTTTCTAACAAAAGTAACATAACATGTAGTTTGCAGTCTCAAACATTTTTCTTAATACTACTAAACTGGGTAATAACAAAAGAGTTTCATAAATAGTATGTCACATAAAACTGATGAATGTAATTTGAGGTAATTGATGAATTGTTAAATAATAAATTGCAGGCTTTAAAAAAATGATATGCTGTTAAAAAGTGAAATAAACACAGTTAAAACCGTCTGTGACCTAAACACTAATGAGGTTAAAGCTTAAAACACTATAAGTTAGGTAAAACATGTTTACTCTCATATTAACTATTTTCAGGTGTGATATGGTATCTGGCAACTCTTCGCATTTACACCATTAACCATACAGTAAGGTTTTAGTAAAACTGAACTAGATTTGCACTGTCTTAACATATCCATAGTATAAGCAGTAAAGGGCATCGTACACTTCTCTAACACATCAAAACTAGGAAATAAATAAGGATATTTTACTATTGGCACCAATCTCTTCCCTTTAACATTGTCCATGGAAGAAGGCACAGCAACACTTGCTAACTTTTCACTGATTAACTTATCGCCTACATCTTGAAATCGTTGACTTGTAATGGATTGATTGAAGTCTGCTAGATGCACATAAACAGTTCTGAAATTTTCAAGAGGGCCTACTACAAAACACAACATAATCTTCTCTGCTACTAATTCTGTGAATCTTTTGATAGCATCCATAGTCCAGTGACAGGTATCAACAGGGTGTATGCCATGCAGTACAGCTCGTACAGCAAATCTTGGTACATTATAAAATTTCTCAGCCAAGTAGTATATGTTAGGTTGCTCAACAGCTGAGATATACCCGAAATCCATAAAAAACACTAGCACTTTAGGCTCTTCTGATACTTCTGCTACTATGCCTCTATAGTAGGCGCCCTCAGCAAATACAACACAATAGATGCCTCTCCTCACTGCTTTTATCTTGTAAAGATGTCCATGCTTCTTGTAGTAATCGGATAAAAACGAACGGAAGATATCAAGCTCATTGTAATGAAATACTACCCAAAACTTGGAGATGTCGTAAATATTTGCGATTCTCACTGTGTAGGTTTTGCTAGGTGTCCATGTCTTCATATAATCAAAAAAATAGGGAATTGTATATTTGTCTTCATCATAGCGGGTCAAAATAAATCTCCAGTCGACCTGCACTTCATCGGCATTCTTTGACTCTGACATGTTACAAACGATCAATATTTAATGAAATGCTTGAGTCGTTTGTGATCATCTTAACTACACAGATCGGTTTAACAATTGTGAAAATTAAAGAATAGAGGAAAACAGTAACAAAAGTCCACTAAAATAAAACATCTCGTCCTGGATTTTATCATAACCTCAAAATAAGCACACTTGTATGTCAAAAGTCAAATCTTGCCAGGTTGCCAAATATTCGTTGCTGATTTTACGAAAGATGCCTACGGCTTTACCCGCGAAACGTGTACCCCGTGTTATTCACGAGTATCCATCCCGGTAGAACAGCTGATTATGTGGCGTAACACCGGGTATCAACTTTTTTGGGGCGACACCCACTCGGTGACTCAACTTTTTCAGAGCTGAACTCCAGCAAGATCGAAGTCTTCAAGACCTAGCTTCATTGTTTGATATCATACAAACAAATACTTTGCTTTTGGCGAATACTGAAAAACTGAAATTAGTTATATCCAAATTTACTAATTTTTATGATGAAGTCCCAGAATCAGAATTACTTTTGTAGATACCAAGACTGCGAAGACACTAAAAAGCCTCTAATATTACAGTTTCTGATTAGGTATCTCTAGATTCTTCAAAGTTTATTGTAGAATGGGTTTTACAGAATCTCTTCCAAATCTTATGATTGCACTAAAATTTTTCATGGCCGTTTGCATGGCTGTAGCTTCATGTAAAAGGAGTTTCAGGAACTAAAACTATTTGCAGGCAACAATGACCCAATCGCGGCTTAGCAATTTTGGCATATTAGCCATCGAACACGGTACAATACAAAATATAAATTTTGATAAAGGTATTTCTGAGTTTGCAGCTGTCAAAGCTAGAAAGAATAGATTTTAATTGTAAGATAAAAAGAGTTTTTCTGTCTTTGTTTTTATTGTGTTTTGTTATTTGTTGAATATTCTAAATATAAATATTAAATGATCCATGATATTTATAAATCATATAAAATTTATTGCGTTTGACTTTACATGGGGTGACACCACCAACTTCCACACCGGCACGGGTATCACGTATCTTAAAAAGTGACATTATGCCGATTTTTTTTGACATTATGCTGTTTTTTTTGACATTATGTAGGTTAGTCTACAAGATGTAAACTTAGCACTTAGTTCTACGTGTTGCCTAAACGTCATGAGGCTTGTTATCAATCTTTGGCTTTGATGTGATGTAAAATCTGCTTCTGAGATGGAGTTACTGGACGTCTAAGCTGTAAGTTGTATGTGTTGATGATAATTACATTGGGTTCTTGTCTCAAATACACTTAATTGAGATTCAAAGCTACAAATTAGTTGCGCATCCACTTTTGCTTATCCATTCTGGAAATTACATATACAAATTTACTGAATTTCAAAAATGAGAGAGATAAGAAATAATTATATTCAATGTACACATTGAATTACAAGCCATATACATGCTAACAGTAATTACACACAACGCGGGCGCGGTGATAATTTCTCGTAATTCTCCACAGTTTTTCATAATTTATAACTTTGAACATAACCTCTCTCCAGAAAGCACAACATATAAATAACCCATCATATTCGGCATATTCAATATTGATTTTCTCACACAGCAAATATCACTGATTTTATACACATGCAGACCAATACACATAATTATCCAGATGCGATCTTGCTATTCAACCAACTTTCTTCTCAGAGATAAAAACTACAGACCCGGAACACTCAGCCTCACAAAGCTATGCAACCAATAATGCGTAGTTTAGTTGAGTGCTTCCTTCACAGATGGACGTTCACAACGATCCTAGTGAGCAAACGTGGAACGACTGTTTGCACCCTAAAAACTACATAGTATGCAAGTTGACATCTTATAGGTTTTTTTGACGTTTTGTAGGTTTTTTAGATGATACCCGTGCCGGTACCACCTAAAGTAGCTACGCCACTGTGATTATGTAGTGATATTCCGAAACTCCCCATATCGACAAGTGTTACATAATTAATTCTGAGCTGCTTTCCAGTGACCCTGTTGAGTTACTCTGAGTAACTTAGTAGTGCTCACCAATACCCTTCATGCATTGCCACTCGAAAGCAGCTCTGAGGGATATCGGTCAACGCCAGATAGTCAAATCCTTATTTTCTTGTCGTTTTTTGTACGCTACAGATTATTTGGTACTTGCTAACAACTCTTTTATTTGGAAAAGTTCTTTGCATATAATATATACTAGCAAAATGTCTGCTAATGATTATGACTACATTTCAAGTCCGCTAGGAATAAAATAAGATAAACAGTTTTTGACTATGTTAATCATCTCTACTTTTTAGAACTTGAAATACCATAGGATTTTAAAGGGCAATAAAATAGCCATACAATTAAATCAGGATGTGTGGCAGTATATGACCGAATTGATACAGGTTCGATTGCCTAAATCAAAAGTTAGTAATCAGAAAAATGTACAACTATTGCATGAAGTCATGAAATGTACTCAACAGTTGTAGTCACCGTTCTTGGCGGTTACGTCATTAACGCCATATGAAATAAGTAAACAGATCGAGTCTCCGTACCATGGGCGGATCTTAATTTTCCTAACTGAGGGAAGCCGATTTAAAACTATTTACTAATCGTAATTCTCAAAAATCTTTCAATCTAGTACGTAAACATGGGTAGAGTATGACACGCCACTTGATGTTTCTCAAAGTTGAAATAAAAAATACATACTGATTTTACAATATAATACAAAATAACACATCTATTTGCTAACTTTGCACGACGATGCCAAGTAAGTTGTCACTCTGGCAAGTACGATTGAAGGGCACTCATATCCAATGAAAAAGATTTCGAGACGGAGACACACAACTAAAAAACGTATGCCTTTGAGCTTACCGAACAAACGTTCACACACAGGGGAAGATTGCAGGTGTATGTATGAGGAAGATGGAGATATATAAAGAGATACTGGTAGTCTTACTTTGACCCGCCACGAACGGTGACTACAACTATACTCGATGCAGTGTTCGTGAATACAAACATAAGCTAACACTTCAAAAATCCAGAGAGTAATACATTCATTTGGTTATATATTTTTATAATTTTTTTTTGCTGTTTGGGTGAGCTGTAGTCATTACTAATTTTTATGACAGGTTCTGCGCATACTTAACCTGTATTTGAATGACGTTACACTGATGACCGACAATGAACCAGAAGCACGTGTCTATATCACTTTTACAGCTAAAATTACAGCTTCTGGAAAGGACAACGCAGCATGTTCTATGGACTTACCTCGTATTCAATAAGTCACAGATGTACTAAAATAATTTTGTAATAAACATTTTTTTATATCTGAACTTCGTACATTTTATTGTGACATTTCTCAGTCACTTAAAAGTATAATCCAAATTTGTGAACAACAGCTCTGAATACGGTCCTGAAATTCATTATTACCAACTTTACAGACATATACAAAGATGTCGCTTTTGCGATCAGCTGCGTACCTCAGTAGACGTCAAAATGTAATGGATACTCGTGAAAAATATTGTACGTGGCGCCCATAATAGTTAGTGGATCGGCAAAAGCTATTTCACAATATCGATTACATCCGATTTCACGAGTATCCATCATATTTTGACGTCTACTGAGATAGCTATCTTTGTATTAGTCTGTAACCGTTAGCAATAATAAAAGAGTAGCAAGTACAAAATGAATCTGTAGCGTACAAAAAATCAAAACAATATACGGCTCACGGCTCTGTCCACCTGGCCTTGACGGTTCTATCAGAATTATGTGTCATTTAATTCTGCAGTAATGTATTCGTGAAAGACATATTGCGTCATGCTGTATTTAATTAATATAAGGCAATAAAGATAAGTCTGGCAACGACGAGATGTCGATTTCTGTCATTTTCTTGTCAGACGTGTCACTACTTATAAACTTATATGTCTTATCACGAGTTGTCAAGGAACAAGTAGTAAATAAGAAAAAAATAAGGAAAAATCCAAATTAAAGTTTGGGTCAAGTTTCAAATTGTGTCCAAGGATTGTTTAACAAAAATTTTGGAATTTCTGAATCCAGATAACTCATTCGAAAATTGTATACAACAAATATTCAAAATCGGAACGTATGTAATTTTAAATAAGATCTCCGTACAGCTCCAGGCACAAGAGAAAGTTTTCAGTGAAATTATAGATATGGCGTTAACAAGCGCTTTACAACAAAGTCGGACGATATTAAGAAATGTAGGGCAGAATTATTTGAAAAATAATGTACGGATATTTTCTGTTAGCCCTCCAGTGCCAAACAAAAAGGAGTAAGTAATGTTCAGATTAATTATATAACTCCAAATCCTTAAATCATATAAGTACTTTATAATAAATCCAACATCAGAACGTTTCCAAATATCTCTGTACAAAATCTTTGGATCAAAACACTAGCTTTTGACACAAGTTAGTCCAAGGTTTCATCAAAAATGATTTAAAAGATCCAATAAACAATAGAAAACGTCACCTCAAACTTTTAAAATGTTATATAATAATGAATGAATGTATTCTTTAGAAGATTCCAAAACATAGCATCAGATCAGTACTTGAAAATAAGAATATTATCAACACAAAATATAATATAACAAAGGTTATACAGGGTGTTTTAAATTCGACCCTCACTGTTGCGATTCTCGGAAACTGTAAGAGATACAAAGTGGCTTATATGGGGGCAATGTTACATATTAGGTAAGTAACAAAATGCTACTTAGAAAGTTTCAAAATTCTAAGTACTTCTGGAGAGAGACAGAAAACACTGAATTTCCCCAAAATTGTGTTAATCGTTTCCTGACTTTATTTGTATAGTGAGATTTCAGAATAACTTGCACATTTAACATTGCCACTTTTTTTTCTCTACAAGATTGCATGATTAGCATTCCAATACGATGTTTTCGCTCTTCTTCCTCCAGCATCAACATTATTTTGTCTTAGGATAGAAGAATAGAAAAGGATTTAATTAGCTTTAAGCTACTTCAAACAACAATCGCCATGGTATATTTATGAAAAATATGTTAAATTTAGTGGTCATCACATCAAACCAAAATAGTCTCTCGAAAGTCTCTTTTTGAAAATTGTTTTTACATTAATAGGCAGATTGTTGTACATCTTTAGATCTTTAAAAAACACTAACTTTTCTAAACCTTTGAATTTAAATCTTTGTATGTGGATTTTTTTTTTTTGATCTAATATAACCATGTAGTTCACATCTTTTTCTTAGAAAGTGTCCAGGATAAGGTGTAGCCTGATAATTAATATTTTTATATAAAAAGAATTAAAATTCCCTCTTGAATAATTTGGTGTACTTATGTTTAAAAATTTCAATGCCTTTAGCATATCCTGTATAGGATATACCTGCTGCAATTTAACAAAATCAGCATGCCTTTATTTATTTAATAGAATTTGTAACCTTTCCTTTTTCCCATTTGTGCATGTAATCAAAAGTGATGCACAATAAGTAAAATCAGAAAAAAATATTATGTTGTAGTCTACCCATCTGCACCAGGGACTTAAGATTGTTACAAATACTATGAAAATACCTGATCTTTTTGTCTAATTTCTGACACATGTTTGTTGAAGGTTAGTTAGATGCCATATTAGATGTTTGCACAGATAGAGTTTTTAATTCTGATTCCAAAAATGTAAATATGTCATACATTGGCATTTCCAAATTTTAGTTAATTAAAAAAAACAGAATTTCCTAGGTAGATCTTGAAATTATCAGATTGTCATTTGTTTCACATACCACATTTATCTTCAAATCACTTTTATTTTTTCCTGACTTTATTTGAGATGAGATTTCAACATAAATTGCATGTTGTCGTTACCAATTCTCTACAAGATGTTGTAGACAAATTTTCAATATGACATTTTTATTCTTCCATCTTACATCACCATTTTTTTTCATATGGACCCTATATAATGGAATTTTGTACATTTAAATGCACCTTTCAATCATAAATTCAGGAATGTATTTCATTAGTTGGCCATGAATTTGTTGTTGGATGAAAATTATCAGGAGATAAATAAGGTATGGTAAAACCTGGACACAACATGAAAATTGATGGTAATAACAATAATAATCATAAATAAAGAGAGATAAATCATAGCAGATGTTCAAAATGTCTGTTGTTGTGTAAGCAAAGCCTGACCCTTCTCTGTACATTATTCACTGCTTGATTTATTTCTCTTCATCTGAGTCTGCTAAACTCAGTTGCTATGTTCAATTTGAGGTCTGGTCTGATACACGAAATGCATGAAATCTGATAATTTCAAGGCCTACCTAGGTAATTATGTTTTTCTGACATAACTAAGGTTTGGCAATGGCAATGTAAGACATATGACACATTTTTGAAATCAGTATTAAAAACTCTATTCATCTGCACAAAAATCCAATACGGCGCCCATAAGAAAAAATAAAGTTGATGCTGGACGACAAATGACAAAACATCATATCGAAATTCCAATTATGCCATTTTGAAGAAGAGAAAAGTGGCTATGTTGATGTGCAATTAATTTTGACTACAAATAATGTCAGGAAAAAATTTAAAAAGATTTTGGGAAAATTCGTTTTTTTTTTCGTCTCTCCCCGAAACTTTCAAAGCAGCATTTTGTTAACTCTTACAGTTTCCGAGATCCCAATGGTGAGGGTCGAACTTGAAATACCCAGTATGTATTACTACTGTATGTACTAGTCCAGAAAATAAGCCCATCTAAGCCCTGATTCAAAGTTTGTATAATATATAATTTTTAGATTTCATTCATTCATGTACCTAGCAACTACCCAAATTCTATAACAAATTGGACTTAATCTTTGACATAATTGTGTGACCAGTCAAAGAATTAATCTAAATAAACATCAAGAAATTTTGTATTGCCTACCAGTAAACTGAAACTGTCTGAAGCTGAATGTTGTAGGCTTTCATTCTGTTATGAACTTTCATACTTTAATTTTAGCTTCATTAAGTAGCAACCTGTTGTTTAAAAACCATGTTTGTGTTCTAAAAAAAAAACGCGCTCCCGAAACTGCGAGATCAACAGCCCCTTCTAATCAGTAAATTAGTGTTATCAGCAAAGTCACACATTCACATATAATGATTAATATGGGTAAAAAATACTACCCTGAGCAATTCCTGTAGACTTAAAAAGTCTCTCAACCATTCTTAGTTATTTTGACTTAAAGTTGTCCATTGGTTAAGAATGATATGAACCACTAAAATGTATGGCCCCTTATTCCATATGCCTCGAATTTGTTCAGTTCAAAGTGTGGTTCAACACTATCATATGCCTTTGACACGTGCAAACAAATGCCTATTGTGAGGTTCCGTTTTCCAATACTTCAGAGTTTTTTAATATGCACAATTAAATAATTTTTCCAACTACGAGATTCAATAAAAAAACTTACACAGCACAATGTTTTGTATCTCTTGATAGAGACGATGATCATTGACCATCATAAATGTAATTTTACTTACAACAGGACCAATGTTTGGCTAGTTAGTCTGGTTTTATACACTAAAAATCAAATACCACTGTCGTCGTAATGTGTACGAGAGAAAGAAGCGCGAGAAGCGTGCAATACGTGTGTTAGCAAGAGATAGAACCACCTAGTTGTCTAGCAACCTGACTGACAAGACCACGGACGCCATCGGCGCACTCTTTCTAACATGCATATTGCACACTTCTCGCGCTTCTCTCTCGTACACATTACGACGTCAGTCAAATTTCAACCTCACCATATATAGTTGAGAAGTTTTAAAAGAAAATGTATTTAAAAATTATTTAATGATGTACTTCCCATGTTTTTTATTATAGTTGGAATTGATTTCTTGCAAGTTGTGTAATAAATATATATTTGAAAATTGTTTGAATGAATATTCTGTAGAACATTAACAATAATTATATGGATAACCATCTACTGTTTGAGTCCTACAAGGACCTATCTGAGAAACATTCTCCAAAAAAGTTGTGTTATGAATTTCATAAACTTTGTTTTTTGCAGAGTGCAAGTAACATTCATAAAGGCTAATGGAGAGAAAATAAAAGCCAAAGGCAAAGTGGGTGATTCACTTTTGGATGTTGTGGTGAATAATAACATTGACCTAGATGGATTTGGAGCTTGTGAGGGAACATTAACATGCTCCACATGTCACTTGATATTTAAAAAAGAAGACTATGATGCCTTGCCTGAGAAATTGACAGATGAAGAGCTTGATATGTTAGACTTAGCATATGATCTAACAGATACATCTAGGTTAGGTTGTCAAATTATACTTAGTGAAAAATTAGATGGTCTTGAAGTTAAAGTTCCAGTTACAATCAATGATGCACGTAGTTGACTCCATATTTTAATAGACAATTATTCAAATAATAAAAATTATTTTTTATATGAATTTAAATTAGATCAGAAATAAGCAGAACTTAGTGTGCAATGAATAGTAGAAGACTGAAATTTTGCAACACTTTGGTATTAAGTTTATGCTCTTTGTTGATAGAGATATTTCAACAATACATTAACAGTTCATATTTAATCACATTTTTTTGTTCAAACTTTTTCAGTAATAGTTGGAATAGATAATTTATTTATTTAATAAATGAGGATTGTTTTTTGTGAATTAAAAAAAAATATATATATATATAACTTACAGATGAACGTCTGAAGATGCTGCTTCATCTGTTCAATGTATTTTACCAAAAGTATTGGATTCTACACATTCTAATATAATTGGATGAGCTTCACCATAAGTTGTATAATATTAAAGTAAATGCAAAATGTCAGTTATTAGCTACTCCGTAACTTGCAAAAATAGCCTAATTTATGAATATCTGTGGAAAATTTCGATGACGTGTGAATAATATTACCTTAATTTTATACTACATAGCTGTTTATATTGTTTATTATGAATAATAATAATAATAATGTTACTCATAAAGCAGAAACAATTTATTTCATTTAAAAAACGTAACAAAACATTCCATTACTTACACGCAAAGAGAAACTAGGTCATCAACTTCATTGAATAAACGTTGGATAATGATTAACTACAATGTGAGAATTGGAAATACAAAAAAAAGTGTATAATATATTTATAATCTCTCCTTTTTTGCGCAATGAACAATCACTTCAGGATTTTTCCTTCTGCTCCCAGAGGGTCCCGCCCTTTGATATTCTGAATCCCATCCATAGGTCGTCTTGTTCCATTGCTCCTGGATTTTGAAAAACAAATGTCTCTTAAGTCCCCTACCTACATAGTTCTAGAAAGTGCAGCAGTTACTCCAACACATAACAGAAACTCTCTACTCGCACTTACAATCTCCCGAGTGAGTAGTTGCTTAATTGATTAATTGTTCCTACCTTATTCAAAAGTATTTAAAAAATGTCAAAACAAGCACGTCTTTCCGACCGAGTAATTCTGACGCTCGTTTGTACCCAACCTGCAGGGTAGGCATTTGGCGCCTTTGTTTTGGCACGGCGTGAATGGCATCTAAATAGGGTACAGTTTGATGTTTAAAATTTCATTATTTATATATACATATATATTTCTCAATGATTTTCTGTAGGTTGAACAGTAATTCATCAATATTTGTTCAAGATCAAGTTATTTGTTTGTTGTAGATTTATTTAGCACTAATACTACAATATCAATGTTACACACGTGATATTTCATGTCTTCAAGTCTAAATATTTTTATACATTTGACTACTATTTCCCTTCGAACATTTTCAAACCGGCACACATTCTTAATTTATTAAATTCGTACAATCCTTTTTGAAATACTGATTTGTTTGTTCTATTGCTACTACAATTTTGTAAATGAAAGTATATACTTCCTCTAGTAGAATAACTATGGTTCTCATTGTTCAATTCAATAAATTTCTCTAAATGATTTTTTAAATTGAATATGAAAATTAAAACAAAGTAGGTTATGAAATTTTTGATACTTAACCACTGTATTTTTGTAAATAAAATTTATGCTAGTATATTTATTTTGTAATATTTGTAATTTTAAAAATACAGTTTCATTTGCTGTGAACGAAGTAATTAAACAATATAACAAATGAGGAAGAATGATAGTGTTGTACACAATTTTTTTAGAATAAACACACTATGCAAATTCTATAAAAGAAATTTATCTTTTTGAAAACCTTTCAAATAATATATTCATATTATTAACATTAATTACTATCTATGTATACGCCCAAACATTTAAATGATTTGATTAACTGTATTTTCATCTATGATCATATGTTTTGTTTGTGTATAATTTGAGTTTATTCACATTCAACCAAGTAATTATGTTTTTCATATCATTATTTACCAACTCTATTGCAGTTTTAATGCCTCTACTCGATTTATACATATATGTTAATGTATCAGCAAATATTTGAATCTTGTAATGGACCTAATTTGCCACCATGTTGCAGACTTACCCAAATGCTTTTAATGCTTGGTAGTGTATTTTGTTCTTTGACTTCTATTGATTAAATAATTTTATAATATTTATGTTGAACAACACCAAACTTTCAAATCCATAATAATGCAGTTTCGTTAAGAATTTCTCCCTGACACTAGTCTCAATTGCCCTCTTAATCCCAGAACACTGTTACTGTAAACCTTTTTCCATCCATATTTCACGTCCATTCTTCTATTACCATTTGAATTGCTGTTTCAGGTGAATATTCTGCTCTAGATTCTTGGTTTAAATTTTGTCAATATTTTGTTTTCTTCAATGAGTTGTTTATATGTGATTCCTTCTAAGAGCTTCTCGATTAATTGGCCTCATGTTTGTATATAAGTCAGAATTTTGAACTTTTGGAACAGAAGTAATCATAGAACATTGGAAGGTTCAGTGTATGGCAAAGGAAATTCACCATACACTAAACTAGCGTTAATAATGTCTCTCCAATAATGTTGAAACATTATTTTAGAACCAGTTTCGAAAGACGTTCACTAGGGATTTCCATTTGATTTTCATCATGAAACAGCTTTTGTTGGATTGCTGTTTGAAGAATTATAAATAACTTGCATATTACATAGGTTGATTGATTCCACTATCGCATATATAATAAGCTGTCATTCATTCTGCAATATTGGTTCTGTTACTATACCATCTTCAAAGCACATTCTGGATAATTCATTGCTTTTACTGGGAGATAATAAGCTGTCATTCATTCTGCAATATTGGTTCTGTTACTATACCATCTTCAAAGCACATTCTGGATAATTCATTGCTTTTACTGGGAGATACAATATTTTTTAGTGTTTTCCACATAAGTTCACTGCAATTTGTATTGCTATCGATTTTGATTTCATATTTCACTTTTCATTCCTAAGATCTGTTAAACACTTGTTTCTTGACTTCTTATATTGTATCCAATCTTCCTCAGTATGAGTGATCATAAACTTTTTATAGTCATTATCACGACCGTGTCAATTTAGACTCGAAATATTTGGGAAAACCTTTTTCCATGGATGTACCACTTTCCTAATTCGTGATTCTCTCATGCAGTTCTTCTTATTATCCATGATTTTTGGGAAGTAAGTATCAGTATCACTACAAAATTCAGTAGTATTGACTTGTATGGGTCACTCTACTAACTTTTCAAAGTGACTAATTGCAATTTCTCTTGATTCCGTCACAAACATATTTTTTCCACCTCAAAAGATATCTACGAATGGTCGCTCATTTTTTGAGTATACAAAACCTTAATACTCAAATTTGTTCATAGGTTATTATTAAATCTATCTTAGTTCGTGAATAGTTTGTAATCATTGTGTAGTCACCAACTTTTTGCCATAAACCATGAAAGATCAGCACGGATAACCTGGTTCACGACAGGCTGCAGAGTGCGGTGGAGGACGTATTGGAGTCGGCGGATCGGTGGTTGATCAAAATTAAATTGTGAATTCAGACCAGCCAAAACCATTTCAGTATACAAAACCGATCAAAATTATTTTTGGAGTTACAAAATTATTCGAGTGGTCAAAGCAATAATGCTTAAGCTATTTCAAATGATTTACTTCTTTTCTTTGCTCTATTTCTTCCTTCCTTTCTTTCCCTTTACCTTTAAACACGTTTGGTATCTGGGTAGCCAGACCTGACGGACTAACAGACCGACGAGACTTTTACTAAGAGCAAAGGTCCACCGGACCGCTCTGACGAATAGTAGATCAGCACCGATTTACATTTTTTACATAAAAATCTTCATCAAATTTCGAAATATCGTCTAACATTACAGCAAAATGTCACATTACATTAGCCAATTGTCAACACCGTTCTAGCATAAATAAGCCAAATCTGTAATGTTCTTGGTTAACGTATTCTCGCGTAGTAGCTAGCCAAAAGTATTATATATTTTTATAGAATACTGCTATTGTTGATTCGTCCATATCTGTTCAATCCTGTATGAGCACTCAATCGCCGCTTCTATTCGCTTATCGACCGAGACATTTATGTTCCGTTGACCAATATAAGCGCACGAATTTGAACGTCACGCTTTGCACCTCAAACGACACGGTTTGATTAGCGACAGGCAGTATGGTTTTCGGTACCAGTAATCCACAGGGGACCTCCTAGCTTACGTCACGCAATTGTAGAGTAAACTCATCCGTCTTATGGTGAGGCTCATCTTGGTATCACGAAAGCGTTCGATCAGCTGTGGCCTCTTATTCAAAGTTCAATCCTATGGCCTCCCGGAGAAGTTTTGCAGATCAGTGACTCTCTGGCCGCAAGATATCCATCGTAATTGAGGGTTTCTCCTGTTAATCCCACACTGTCTACGCGGGCGTTTCTCAATGATCTGTCTTAGTTCTGACACTGTTCGTCTTACAACGATCTCATTTCCTGTACGATCAATCCAATCCACAGCTTTGCTGGTGACAGCACTCTACATGTAGGGATTCAGAGCGAAAAGCCGATGACTGCTTGGAGACGCAACAATCTTGTATAGTTTAATGCTTCCAAAACACATTACTGTACCTCGACGAACAAAAAGCTTTTCCCAGTTCTACTAACCTTAGGCAGTTCAAAAATCGGATCAACGATATTTCTTTGGGATCCCCTTAGCAGCCGCGGTGTCCTGGCATTTAGGCTTTTGCCTTATTTTTCAAAAAGAATTGTTGAAGGCGCAATATCAGCGAGAAGTAATTTGATTTAAATTTAAAATACTACCCCGGTAATTAACAGAAGCAATTAGCAGAGCAGAGCAAAAATGTCTGAAGAGACGTACCGATACGGCGCTCAGTATGGAGACGGCCACGGTGTCAGATTTGGAGACGTAGACTATGCAACTCAGAGGAGAGACAGAAACCAGAATCGCTAAACACCCTAAAAGTTGACTGCAGGGACCTGAGCGAAGAGCATTCTGGGCTGCTGAAAGAATGCTCAGCTCCAAGGACTCAACTAATGGTACGAGACAAAACTATTGGGAATCTTACCACCGAAATTCAAAACTAGTAGAAAATAGGAACAGGAAACGAGGCCGTCAGGCTATGTCCTCGTCTGCATTCTCTTAGGACATGAGGGAAGAATCTGTGATTGTGATAGAATATATAAGTGCTTGAAGTAGCTTGAATCTGAGTATGAAACGCTTGAAATAATCCCTCTATCAATAAGCGCCTATTTTTTGAGTTACTTAAATAATCTAGAAATTGGTATCGTATATTTAGTATTAAAATCCATTTTTCATACATTTGTAAGTACAGTAAGTTCAATATACTGAATGTCAAATGTCTAGTATTGACTGTGTCAGTGTTTAATGATGATAATGTGGGTGTCAGTAGAATTCTATGTAGCCTTATACATCAATGACTGACAGTCAATAAATATGAATAGATCACATTAATGATAAATACTTAAAGATCACAATGACATTTGCTTATCTGTTGAAACGTATGCAAGTTTGCTTACATTTGTGCTTAAAGTGCTTCATTTACGTCACAGAACAAAAAAAAACAAATATATATTCTATTCAACACCAGGAAAATGGTGCAAATCAATATAGTATGTATCTTAATATGGATACCTCATATTTCTTAATCGGAATACTAAGGTACTATTTGACAGGATTTGAAATGTTATATAGCAAACAAAGGGTTTGGTATTACAGAGAAGTAAACTTACGTCTTGTATGCTGAGCTATTTATGATAGTGATTTAAGTGCAATTTCAGAGTCGTGAACTATTTTTGCTATGGTACCTTCATCTTCAGGTATAGTACTATATTTTTAGCTTTTTTTGTTATTATATACTTTCAGGTAATGTATGCAACTTTAGGTATATACAGTCAAATGAAAGGAACATTTAATAATAAACAGCAGATATTTTGTTTAGGTTCTAAGCAATATTAAGCTATGTTTTTATCTGAAAAAAATTTTGATTATATGGGCTCCTAGAAAAAACTTTACTTTTCTGCTACTGTAGGTATGATGTAGATCAGTTATTAATATTTGACTTACAGAAAACAGTTTCATTTGAATTTGCCATTATTATTTAAGAGTTATTTTGTTCCTGGAAAGTCCAGCATTACATTATTTATTACACGAACTTGTAAATACAGGGTGACTTCGAAGTTGAGTCATTTATTTTAACAGTGAGTAGATCTGATCAAAAGAAATGCTTTTTTCCTTTAACATTTTTCTGGTAAAATTAAAGTAACAAAGTTATAGCCCTTTAGAAGTTTGAGTACCGCCCTGTCTCAATAATAATATTATGTGCTCGTGTTTGGCAACAACGGATATAATCCGCCTTATCCGTTCATCGCATCGGAAACAAAAAAGCGAAAGAATTTGAAACGATGTTTTTACTATAATGTACAATTTTATTCAGTTGTTTTCCGTCAATGTGTCAGTCGGTAACGCGTGAGTGAATAGTGGTGTTTGTTGCGTGGCTTAAACGAAATAAAAAATGCACATGTTTACGAAAATGCTGAACTTGTGGACATGATTCTTATTTACGGGGGGGGGAGTCAATCGAGTGCAACCAACCCCTCGTGCCTTTGTTAATGTAGTACAAAGGGCTCGTGAATCAGGTAACTTAAGACCTCACAGGGGAGGGCATGCCGGTGCTCCAAGACCGCACGATCAAATACAGGTCCGCACTGAAATACTTGTCGGGAGGATACTTTATAAAACAAGGTAACATTTTTTTTAATTTTTATTTTTAATTTTACACACATATTTTGGTTTATCTTCCTTCTACAATCATTATCTGAAAATTAATGACTCAACTTCAAAGTCACCCTGTATAATGCGCAGTTCTTGAGAGAATAGTTTTGAACAACATATGTGTTTTTAAATAGTGGGAAAATAAGTCGTAATGACGAAGATTTAAAAAAGAAGTTTGTAGTTTTAAGTTTAAATATACGGTAAGTCCAGATGGACGAAATCGCGTAGAATAAAAGAATAATTTGATAAATATAATAAAGCGTGGGTGAGACATTGCTCTCCCACGCATTGTATCAAAAATTAAACCTGGCCGACCCGTTGCTTCTTTCGGAAACGCGACAATATAATAATAACATGATGATGCGTTCACATATCTTCAATAAATTATATTATTTGTAAATACGCCATTTTGGAATACTTTTAATTATTTTCGACTTGCCATATCAATAAATATGTATTTAGCTTTCCTTCAATTTTACCAAAATCCGTAAATATGCAAAATTCAATACTTCATATTATGTAGAGTGAACACCAATATCGTGTGCCAATAATTCCAACGGTTATCATACTATAAAGTGGTGAATATTGTTTTTTTTTTATTTGTAGAAAGAAATACTTTAAGGTGATTTTTTCGTAGAAAAAACAAATTTCCACTTCAAAACATTTCTCAATATTACATACGTTTATGAGAACATTCCATTTTACGTTTAACAGCCTTAGTTTATTTAATCACACTTACGAGCCACTTGCCCCTGTGCGTGTCATACAAGCTGTTTTCTGGTTATTAGAAGGATTTGAGTAACGTTCAAACATTGTCTTTTGTACACATGTCATTTTTAAGTGGCCAATAACGAATTGGAACTAATAGAACAGGTCTGTTGCGTCCATTTCCATACATCTAAATATATATTAAAATGATAGTATCATGGTCGCACGGGCTACTTGGAAGTTGCATCAAAGATCTTCTGAATAAAGCGCAATAAAGACAACTTCACCATAAAATAATAGTTTTCTTGGAGATTTGCATTATATTTGTAACAGATTTTAGCTGGTTAGCTATAGAAACTGCGCGGAACAAAAACTTCTCAAAATATCTAGTAGTACATTCTCATACAAGACTCACCTGAATTTTTCTCTCTTCTACATCCAGTATGCTACTCAGCTGACTTGCCTGATGAAACAAATTATCCGGAGGACGATAGCTGTTGTCCTCACGATTTTGAATCCATAGACGCTCTCTCTCCGTTTCTCGCTGCCGGATTATCTCCTTAAGGCGTTCTGTTTCGTAATCGTACTTGGCCTGCATCAATTCCGTCTGGAACAATATTTGATGTAGAATTTAGATCCTGTCCACTGTTCTCACAAACAATGACCCTTTGCGTTGCTTTAACATTCACAAGCTTGAAGAATTCGAAATGACATCGACGTTAAAAGTATGCAGACCGATTACGGTTATCATCTTTGATATTCCATGAAATAAATGACTATATCGTAATTTCAACGCTTAGTCCGGGAATTGTTTTTATAATAATGTATGATATGCTGTAATATTTTATATTTGAAATCAGAATTAAAAGCTATTCGCCTATACAAAAATGACATACATAAGAAAAATCAAAGTTGAGATGGGGGATAATAGACGAGCTCGCAGAGATCAAAAAGTGGCAATATTAATGTGCAGTTCATTTTGGAATCCTATCTCAAAAAAATAAGGTATACTTAGAAACGTTTTTGGAAAAATGCGTTCCCTTTTCCGTATATATCTTGTATCTCCTGAGAAACTTTTCAAATTCATTTTATAAAATATATAAATACGCAACTTTGCCAACGACCCCTAACTCTTACCGTTTCGGAGATTACAATGGTGAAAATATGACAAATTTGTTTATCTAATAATTCTAGAACAAACTAGGCACATTCTATATTTTAAAAATTTCAAATAATTGTAGAAAAACAACGAATAAATATGGACAAAGAGAAATTATTTCCGGGATTAGTATAATATGCTTCTTCTTTTGAAGTGGCATATTAGAATATACCAAAAGGCCTACGGTGTTCCTTTTAAAAATAATCGTTTCTATTGTGATATCGGTATGAATCACCCTGTAGCTCGTAGGGAGCGGTATATTCCAAATAGGAAGCGTATAGTTCACAATTTTTGCAAATAACCTTTTTGATTATGTTCTATAGTAATTGTATGTATGTACATATGTCTAATTTGCAATTACGTCTAGTCAGTTACTATGTCATATTTACTCTTATGCACTTTTCGGCAAAAAACGAACGATTTTTTCAATAACTAGTTAGGAGTTACAACGTAATGGACATACCTATTAGTTCTCATTTTGAAGGTGTTTTCATCCCTTTCCCAGTTTCTCTATAGACATGAAACTTCGGAGTTTCATAAAAAAAGTTACCTACCTACCCACCCAGAATTTTTCATTTGCAGATGAGGGGCCTTTTCATTCACTCTAAAGAATATATAAATCCTCCTGTACAATTTCCTTTATAACAAGATTCACGTTCAAATAAGTTTTGTGACGTTTTTCGAAATAACATATCGCAACAGCAGATTCCAGATTTTTCAATGCAGATTCCATTCCACATATTTTCGAATTGCATACCTCACCTTGTGTTTGGAGTTATACAAAAATGACTGGATGATTAGAAAAACAAGTTTTGCCGGATTTCACAATCTTAGAAACCTTCAAATAAACGTTTGACTGTGTGTTAAAATATATCAACAAAGTTTGACTTATTTCTGAATTTTGTCTCCCTCAAGGAAATTTTTGATTGGATTAAAAATCACGAGAAACGAAAAAAAAATGTTGGTCAAGTTTGGTGGAGTTATAGATTTTTTGGTTATAATATTGGTACCATTAGACAGGTCTTTCAATTTTTTTTCAAAATCCAGTGATACTTTCCAAGTTATAGAAGGACCGATAATTAAATTAGTGTCTTTTTAACGGTTACTCTATCTCAACAGGACCGATTAACAAAAAAAAATAATATTCCGTTTGAAGTTTTTTCGCGATTACAGAACCTATTTGGCTTGACTGAAAAAATGAGCACCCTATTTGAATTTCGACGAATGTGTACGGCCAAACGATAGGTTTATAAAATTTGTAGTATAACAAACATTTGTCATATCTCTCAAGTGTTACTTTCAAGTATTGCGAACGACTAAATTATTACTCAAAAAAGCATCTGTGAACGTTTCAAAACAGTAATCCTAGTAGTTTTCCATATCCATATGAAATGTCAAATCATCGTGGAAGTCACTATATAAGTGGATAAAATAAAAAAAAAATAGAAAGAAAAATATCAAACATAGTTTAGTAGATATTATTTTTAAATAGATAAAATTTTTGACAGTATTTGTAATTAAAGGAAAACAATGAGTAATTTCATTTTAAATTAAGTCGTGAAAAAAATAAAATCCATTTTGGAAAAATTTGTTTTTTTTTGTCTGTCACCCTTGATAATACAGTTAATAGAAAAAAACATCAAATAGCTATACCTCCAGTGCTTTCTCTTCTTCTTGCAGCTGAAGCTTTAACTGTTCCATTTTGCTATTAAAATTGCTACGTAATTCCCTGAAACGACCCGCATACATTCTTTCAAATGTATCATCACAAGCAAATCTGGGACCAAATTGTCTCTCTTGATACAGTTGCGGATGATTTCGTACCTAGAATTCAAGATATGTATTTGAAGATACAGCCACCCTATATCTTACATTCCGTTATGTGTTATTTTTCCAATTAGCCAAAAAATTACCTTATCTTCAGATAATCCATCACAGGTGTCCAGAGGAGGCACATAATCTTCAATTTCAATTGGTCTCAATGAAGCGGTAAGAAAAAATGGATTTTCAGAACACAACCTCTTAGCTAGCACAACTGATCCTCTCTTCACAAAATCGACAAGTCCCTCTCCTGTAGATTTACCTCGCTTGTTTGCAAAAACGCAGCAGAATTCGATGTCTCCAAAGACGGAAAATGCCAAATGGAGATACTCGTTCGTTACAAAAGGTGATAAATTTTTCACCACAATGCTGGCGAATGGGGAGAATGAGATATAAATCTTCCTTTCCTTCAACATGGTACCATGTAGCTCGCTTTTAGCCCTCAAAGCATTGTAATAGTAGTCCATTTGAACCAAGGCAAAAGTTTTGTTATTTTGGAGGAAGATGTTTCCTATCTCTCCATATGGCTGGAAGAGAAAAGGAAAGGCTGTAGACAAGCTGGGTACATTATCTACTTTTGTTTCATATGATCCCTTCATTAGTAAAATTGTTTATAGTAGTCATCATAGGCGGTTACGTCATAAACGACATATGAAATAAGAAAACAGATCGAGTCTCTGTACCATGGGCGGATCTTGAGCGCAGAGCGTAATATGTTGTCCTTTACTTCTCATATTGTAGAAAGTATTCCTAATTTCTGTTTTCACGCCATCACTTACATCTCGGTCTTGCATTTTTTGATTTTGTGAGTTCCCCCAAGCCTATGGACAACCTTTATTATTCGCGCTGAACACTGCGCAGACTAATTTTCAGCGCATCTGCTACTCTCTTCAGTACGCATAAAGTGGCTAACAGAGGATCGCTGTTTTCACTCTCTTCCTGGAAATACTCTAATAAATTTAGCACTAGTTGTCGGCCTTCTCCATTGATCGTATTTTCGGACATTGTACAATTTTATATTGAAGATTGATATCAGGATAACCCAAATTGCATACCGATCTCAAGTAAATTGTCACCCTGACAAATATGATTGAAGGGCACTCATACGTAACGACAAAGTTTTCCAGATGGAGACACACAACTAAAAAACATATATCTTTGAGCTTACCGAACAAACGTGTGATACTGGTAGTCTTACTTTGACCCGCCAAGAACAATGACGACAACTTTAGTCAAGTATGAGTTAACTGTCCATGTATAGGGTGGTCTGAGAAAAATTCAAGCTTTTATTTGGTATAAGTTGTAGTCACCATTCTTGTTGGGTCAAAGTAAGACTACCAGTCCCCTTTAAATATCTCCATCTCCCTCATACATATACAGAAAAGTTACGTTGATGACGTAACCGCCAAGAACAGTGACTTTAACTATGTGAAAATTAGAGTTTCAGTCATTTCAAAGTGGAGGCTATCAAAAACGTCGGTTTTTTGTTTTGCCAATTATTCACTCGAATAGATTATAATTATTATGATTTTAGTTAGCTCAAGTCTTTAGTTGATAAGATAAAATATTATCGTACTGTCATTGTGCATTGTGCTAAAATTTTGATGCTGTATACAAAATACATTGGATACAGTATTATGTCCAATATAACTAGTTATAAACTAAATGTATTTGTATAACTAATTTTTCAAAGTTTTCAGTTTTTTTCACCATTCCTATAAAGTTCCTATTTTAGAGATACTCTCTTCTTAGATTCTTAGATGTCGACATCAAAATAAGTGAGTTGGAAAAAAGAAAAAGGTTAAAAATTAATACAAGTTGTAGAGAGATGATTGTTTATTATATAAATGAATATAAAGGGTTGTCCAATAGGGACGCAGGAAAGTAAACGTCAATTTGACATAGACGCCATCTTTGTTTTCTGTCACCGACATGTCATTTTGTTAGATAAATGTTTACCATTGATCGCTATGGAGTCGTATTCGATTGAAGACCGCATTAAAGTTATTCAAGAGCACTACAAAAATGGTGCAAAAATAAAAAACACGTTTCGCGCGCTTCGTGAACATTTCGGTCGCAACAACCGCCCAAACGGAACAACAATCGGTCGTCTGGTGCGTAAATTCGAGGCAACAGGTTCTGTGGCAAATCTGTCCGGCCAAGGAGCGTTCGCACACCGGAAAATATTGCTGTTGTGAAGGAGAGTGTGAGAGGCGATCCGAAACAATCAACAACGCGTTGATCCCAAGAATTGGGCATTTCGAGAACCAGTTTGCTCCGCATTCTCCACAAGGATTTGAATGTACACGCCTACAAGATCCAATTGACGCAAGAGCTGCGTCGGGCCGACCATTTTTCGCGCCAAACGTTCTCAGATTGGCTCCTTGAACACCGCCAAATTGATGCCAATTTTTCATCAAAAATTATGTTCAGCGACGAAGCGCATTTAACTTTGAATGGGACGGTAAAGAAGCAAAACTGCCGCATCTGGGCGAACGAAAATCCCCGTGAGTATCAAGAGCAGCCGACGCATCCTCAAAAAGTGACCGGGTGGTGTGCATTGTGGTCAAAAGGCATCATCGGACCTTACTTTTTCGAAAATGCGGCCGGGGACGCCGTTACCGTCAATTCTGAGCGATATCACGTGATGATAAAGGACTATTTTTTGCCGCAACTTGAAGGAATGGATATGGACGATGTTTATTTCCAACAAGACGGTGCAACATGCCACAAAACCAACGTCAATATCCATCGATTGCAGCCCTTCTTCGGTGATCGCGTGATTTCGCGCAGAGGAAATGTGCCATGGCCACCAAGATCGTGCGATTTGACTCCCTTGGACTTCTTTTTATGGGGATATTTGAAAAGCAAAGTCTACGTCAACAAACCAGCCACCCTCCAAGAACTCAAAAGCAACATCATTGCCGAGATAAATGCCATAGGACCGACCATGTTGCAAAATGTCATTGAAAATTTCGACCATCGCGTGGACGTCTGTAAATCCAGTCGTGGTGAACATTTGAGCGATATTATTTTTCATACATAAATGGTATAAATGAACCTTCAAAATAAAGTACCCAACTTGATGTGAATATCAATCTTTCTTGTTTCAATATGCGTTTACTTTCCTGTGTCCGTTTTGGACAACCCCATACATTTTAAATGTCTAATTTCCATTTTTGTAATGAATGCGCCAAAAAGCAATGCACCTGATAGAACTCAAGAAATTAATTTTGGCCCAAATTGCTGATACACAAGAGTTTTCAAAATTTTTTCTCAACTTCATGCTGATGCTGTTTCGAAAGGAATATGGGACTTTTTTGATCCCAGCGAAAATTGACATGAAATATAAAATTCATTATCAGGGGTGGATCTAGCATGATACACTGTGCTTCATGCCCTGAAACTCAACCGAGCCCCTTAAATCATGTTCTGGGACCGTAGAGTAGATAATATGTATGCTCCAAAAATCATGACATTCCCGCACAGCTTCACCAAGGCTCTTCAACTATAGATACGCCCCCTTTGTACTTCAGGCCCACATATCCTAGATCTGCCACTGTTCATTATCTAGGCACTTCGTGCACTGCATGAGGATATTTGGAATTCTCGATTTCAAATATTTCTGCCAAAAAATGCTAAACAGTATCGCAAAGACCTACTGCAAATGGAAAATGGAACTTTCAAGATCTTTCATTGATCTTAGGGCAAAAGCGATATCAGATTCATGGCATACACACCCAATTCACTAAAGAGATGAGGTTTTGTCAAAATTGCAGATATGCTAGAATGTTTGAAATTTCACAAACATTCTTTCAATATTTTGCATACAATTTACTACAGCCAAGCCAAAACCCTAAAAGTCGATGATGAATCTAATTAGTACCCACCTGTGTAGACACATAATTATTGTAAAAGAATGCATCTTTCCTACCTTTAGAAGCTCTTTGATATCATCTTGGGTAGCAGTCTTAGCTAGGTTGTGAATGTATAGCCTGTACCGTCCTAAAAACTTGTCGTTGTACTTGTTGGGCGGCAAATCTACAGCCGGTATTTGAATCTGACGAAGTTTATCAACAACGATTTCAAAATCTGATTTCCTGTGGCCTCTACTGAACCTCTGATTTTGATTTGGATGTTCTTGATGCTCTTTAGCATCAGGTTGAACGTTTGCAAACCCATCACCTTCAGTACTCATTTTAACGTGTTAGCAAATAAAAAATCCGATATGCTACGACGTAAAGGTAACTTTCGACTAATATTAAACGATCAAATTACACAGCGCAGAAACTTTATCCCAACCTGTTCCTGGAAAGAGTTGGATTTTGATAAATGGCTGATAACTGAAAATAGTGGAAACCACGATGCTCGCTAAAACAACCAATGCAATAGAAGCTTGGTGAAGTAGGCATAATGCACTACTATAGTAGGTCAAAAGTTTAAAAACCTGCTGGGAAAATTGCCGATCCTTCACTTAAGCCTACTTTTTCACGCATAGGCGTATGCAGCAGATAACAGAAGAGGATAGTTTCAAAAATGATGATGGATGATCCACAAAGTACATCTGTTTTACTATCTTTCATATTTGTCTTTATATTTGCATCTCGTTGACTTATCTATTCAGTCCTTCACGATATAATAATAATAATATTCTTTATTTTTCCATCGTATAGGTACGTACAATTCACACATACATGATGATGATATTGGGAGAACCTCAAGGGGCAGTTCACCTAGAGGTGTTCTTCCACTCAACCCTTGTCAGTAGTAGAATACAGAAATAGCCTAACCTAAAAGTAGCTAAAAAACACTTATAGAGATAGGGGGGATCCTTATCCTTTGTGAAATAAGCATATAAGCCCAATCTTTACTCCATGTTTAGCCAATTAAATTCCTCGTGCTCATACTTTTTAATCCCATTAATGAATCGAATGCATGAGTTCTGTACACGTTGAATACGATTAAGGATGTTTTGATCTAGACATGGATCGATACAGGTGCACAGTAGATAAATTGTGACAGTACTAGAGTATCGCACAACATTTTCTCAGTGTCTACTGATAATTATGATCTATGGGGATAAAGTAATTTTAGCGATGTGTATACTCTCTGTATGAATTTCGTTCCGTGATCCCTAAACCTCAGATCTCAGTTCCTGATGATCAATGATAAGCCCAGATTCTTTGCCTTTATTTACATCTATTTTAAGGTTTGATTCCAAAAATTGGCGATCAGATTTTTTAGCAAATACCACAGCCACAGACTTGCTAGGATTTAATAGAAGTGAATGCCTTGCAGAAATATCTGCCAGAGTAGCAAGATCTTGATTAATTTTTTGTTATTCACTGTTTTCCAGTCAGTAATCGAGAAAGAACGATATACCTGCGTGTTATCCGCATACATATGTGGTGATCTGGTTTTAATAAACTTGGTAAACTGACTAGTGTATAGTATGAAAAACAATGGTCCCAACACAGAACCTTGCGGCACACCCGATTTGATTGGCATGGATGCAGATTTTCGAGAACCAACCTTGACTACGATTTTCCAAGTGTTCCACAGTGTTAAATGATCTATCGTGTCAAAAGCCTTACTAAAGTCTAACAGCACAAGGACGATTGACTGATTCTGGTCTAACGACTGTATTATATAGTCTGTTATATGAAGCAGTGCAGTTTCACAGCTGAAGCCTGCTCGAAATCCCGACTGCTTAGACAGTCCGCATAAGATGTTTATTGCTGTTAAATCTGACAACTATTTAGGACTACTAGTTTTAGGGATCGGTGTAATATTCGCACTTTTTCCAGACAGAAGGGAATTTTGATGTTACTATTATCGAATTGCTAATGTTTGCTACGAAAGGCAAAATAAACGGACAATACAGCTTAATTAGGGATTTAGATATGTCATCAGAGCCAGAAGATATGTTTCTTATAGTCATGAGTGTTGACTCATCGATTAGACGGAAACGGAATTCATTTCGACGATCATGTTATTACTACTGTTTTCCGATGATCTGAGAATTCATATTAATACTCAGTAACATTAGAAGTATTACACTCAGAAAAAATAATTTATTCTACTTGTATTTTGGCAACATAATGACTATATTTAAGGCATGCTGTGGCAACAATGTCAACGTTTTATCTTTCTTTTTATTTACCTTTGTTAAAATCTTATCTCTTAGTTTTTGCGAAGAAAGCAGTTCCTGAGGGCTGAGTAGTACAGATATTTTCAGTTATTGCCCTTTTATTTACTAGTGTTAAGCATTACAAAATGCGTCGAGTTCGAAGACGTCCAAATAATTATCATCATGTTAGCGACTTTGATAGGGGTAGAGTTATTGCCTATCAAAATGTTGTTTTGTCCAATGGCGAAATTGGCCGCAGTGTTAATTGTACTGCAATGACGGTAATGCGTGTGTGTCGTGTGGATGAAAGAAGGTAGAGGAACACGAAGAAGGTCAACTGGTCTACCGAGGTGTACCACACAGCGTCAAGTCAGACGCTTCAGACAACTAGCCCTACGAGACCATTATGCTACTACGCGTCAGATCGCTGACCAATGGTGTGGAGAAGAACACTCTATCGCCGAGTTCGAGCCTTTGGCATTTTTCCATACCGTTCACGGTTAGTGCTTCCCCTGACTGCGGACCACTGTCGTCAACTTTTAAGCTGGAGCAAAGAACGGCAACATTGGATATTGGATTAGCTGTTGAGAGGCATGTACACAGGACTGTTGAAGTAATGGTTTGGGGGGCTATTGCCTATGGTAGCCGATCACCCCTTCTCTTTGTTCAAGGCAATATGACTGCTGCGCGTTATGTTGATTGTGTCCGACAAACCACTTTACTGCCGTATCTATATAGAGGGCCATCCGCACGTCCCTTTTCAGCAAGACAACGCACGTCACCATATTGCTCGTCGTACCAGGGAGTTTCTTCAAAAAGCAGGCGTTAATGTTTTGCCGTGATCACCGGATTTAAATCCCATCGAACATATGTGGGATATGATGGGGAGGAGACTATCCACTTTGCACCATCCGCCACAGACCCTGCCACAGCTAATCAACGAAGTTCAAGTTGCTTGGAATGATGTGCGACAACTAAACATCGATCATCTCATTTTGTCGATGCCTAGACGTATACAGGAGTGTATTCAGCTGCGAGGTCGCCCAACACATTATTTTATTTTCTTATTACTTGCCAATAAAATTTCGTAAGAATGTTATCGCTTCATTCTTGATGTAATATCACTGAGTACATATGGAAAACTACCAGGATTACGTTTTTGAAACCTGTATGCAAGTATTGCTCGAGATGCGATTTAAAGTAATAATTTAAACATTCTGAGATTTGGAATGTATGCATCATTTTTAAGTTAGAGTTTTCCAAAATGGACATGCGTATTCCTAAAAATTCATGCAGGGTGCTTATTTTTGGCTCCCAACTTAATAGGCTATGAAGTATCGTAATCGCGAAAAAATTTCGATCTTCAAATTGAGTCTTTGTGGTGTAAATCGAATAATCCTTTGCCCCCTATTATAAACAGAAATGTATTTAGTTTTTGCTAATAGGCAAGAGCATACCCAACGCAAAACGGAAAAAATTGTTGGTGGAAGTTCCACATATTATATCTACATAACTATGCTTGATATTTTTCTTTCTATTTGCATTTCATTTATATAGAGTCTTCCACGACGATTTGACAATTGATCAGGGTATGGGAAAGTACTTAGTTTATTTTTTTGAAAGACTCAAGTAAGCCAAATATGAACCCAGTTGTAAAATAAATTGTGCAGAAGGTTTTATTTATTCTTTAGAGTGAATGCAAAGGCCCCATTTCGAAATAAAGAATTCTGGGTAACCTATTTATTAAAATTCAAAGTTACAAGTCTATAGAAGCATTGAGAAAGAGATGAAAACACCTTCAAAATGGGTATGCCCAGTTCGTTGCAACAGTTAATTTGTCATTGTGATATCCTAAACGGTAAGAGAGGGGTCGGTTAAATGGTAGCAAAGTTGCGTATTTATAAATCTTATAAAATGCATTTGAAATGTTTTAACGTACCTAGTATTTCCCGAGACACACGGAAAAAGGAACCAATTTTGCCCAAAGTCGTTTCTAATTTTTGAGATAGGATTTCAAAATAAACTGCACATTGCCACTTTTAGATCAAGGTGGCTTAAATAGAACACTAATATGGTTTTTCCTCTTATGTCCCGTCTCAACTTTTATGGGTCTTATGTACATATTCCATTTTTGCATAGGCGATTAGCTTTTAATTTTATATATTAATTAATAATTATTTCAAATATCTTAGCATGGCATACATTATCAGAAAAAATGTTTTCTTCAGTAAACCTTGACATTATCATAGTCATTTATTTCATAGAATACCTATCAAAGATTCTAACATGTTACGCATTGATATAAAATTTTAGGTGCCTAACTTCATATAGTTGGTTTAAACTCATTTATATTATTTAAGGGTAACCATGAAGACATCGAAAATGGTGCCTATAATTTTCATAAAGTGGGAGCTGAAACATCAGATCAAAATTCTAACTATGCTACCGTGTAGAAGAGAAAAACTGGTTATGTTGTTATGTAATTTTCTTGAAATTTGTAGTCAATGGGATATTTGAAAAGTTTTGTTTCGTACTAAAGTCAGGAAAAATGAGAAAGACAGAAATTTACCTACCCAACTTGCCCCCATAAAGTTCTCCGCGACGTATATTTATCATGAGATGTGATATTTATCGACGGTTTAGCCCAAGTAATTATGAATGCATAATGTTACGGACCACAGTAAATACTGATCGTGTGACATTCGCTTTACCGTTTCCCAGATCACAAAGGCGAGGTTCGAATTTGAAACACACGTAACATATATATATATATATATATATATATATATGTCTTTTAACGAAATTAGGTTTGTATCTAACATAGATTTTAATTAACCGTATCATCTTCCCATCTAATATTTAACCCTTTACATGAATAATTTAATTTTTGTAAAAAATGGTCTATTCATTTAATTCTTGCCGAGCTAGGTAAAAGAGTACAGAGTAATTCTGTCTTCCTGAGAGTGATTGCAAAGGCCCCTCATCCGGGAATGAAAAAAATTGCTGGGTAATTTTTTTTATCAAGCATCCAAAAAAAAAATCACCAAAAATTCCTACCCAGTTCTGCAGATTGGTTGTTTTGGTCGAACTATCCAGCGGCGTAAACGCAGCAACAAAGTAGACATACATTGCTAAATGAAACAACCTACATGTTTTACTATATTCTGACAGACATGTTCAAAGGAAGAAATTTGGTATAACTGAGGATATAAGGATACTACAGTAATTGCTGAACAATTTCTCTTTGGCGGTATTTTTTTTCTCATAGTTTTTCAAATGTTTTGAAATATTCGAAATTTTGTCAATTAAAGGATTGTTTTATAGAATATGTAGAAGTGTATGAACCCTTAGTTTGTCATAAAGTGACTTTTAATACGAATTTAAAATATTTTCACCATTGTGATCATTGTGATGTTGGTAAGAGATACGATTCCACAATTTTGTCGGGCTTAGGGACGAGGGGGGCAGCTGCCCCGTTGCCCTTCTCTATATACGCATATGTTTTCACGAATTTGAACCCGTACGGAATCTGTCAGAAAATTGGCAAGAATGACAAGTTTGCATTCAAAATATTTTTATTGGAAAATAGGTTAGCCAAGTAGAAAATTACTTGTTCAACTTATTTTATAGTTTTCTCAAAACGATGTAAATTTGTAGTTAGTAATTGTTACTTTGTTTTTGTTCTCGAATTCAATGTTTGTAAGCGATCTATCATAACCTATATACCTATATTTAAAGTTCAAAGTTTTGCTGTGATATTTTGTAATTAAAACTGGTGATAATTGTTAAATAATTATGTTCCGGAAATGGGGAACTACTGCCGGTACTTCCCACATAGGTAAGTTACCTGTAACTTCATTCTAAGCATTCATCTATGAAATGTGTTATGTCCTAGGATTTCTTAGAAACTACTGCATACGAACTCATACTGCCAAAAATAAAACGAATGATCATGGAAAACGTAAAGCTCTGGGCCAACCTACACCTGAAACTCATCCTCATTTACTCAACCCAGACGAAGTAACACCTTTGATTACTAAAACAGAATATCAGAATCGTAGATGTCAACTCATAGAAAGCATAATGAAAAAAGCAATCAAAAGCAGTGAATACCAGAAGAACCATCTAGTAAGATAATATCCATAGTTTAAATCTGTATCTGTAATCCAAACCTAATTTTCAGGTGATTGTGCCAGGTGCCTCAAAACAATACATGTCTGACAAAATTCCATACTTCTTTCGCCAAAATACAGAATTCTTGTATCTAACAGGATGTCAAGAGCCTGATTGTTGTCTTGTGATCACAGTGGATGAGTCTTCCAGTGAGCCTTGTTCTATCCTCTTCACAAGAGACAAAGACGAACATGCAGAGGTGGGTTAGCTAATTATATTTTTGGCAATATTTTATTTTACCATGCTCACAGTTGTGGGATGGACCAAGAACACATCCAGAAGATGTAACTCCATTTTTTGGAATAGATAGAGGTCTTCCCATGACTGAATTTGAAGGATATCTTAGATCTTATGGAAGGGCCTTTAGAGACATAAACTTATGGTAGGTCACAGTGTATATGTACAATACAAAAATCTCTGATGATATTATAAAAATTATTTCCACAAATGTTTTTTCAAGAGTTTTCAAACCACTTAGGGTATAGCTGTTAGCCCTAGCCACAGTTTTTTTAACCTTGAAATGTTCCAGGTATGATTTTGTATCACCATTTCAAAAAAATATCCACAGCTCTATTTGCAATTTGATGAGTGATTTGAGCAATAAAAAATGGGAGAACCCCAGAAGCCTGATCCACAAACTTAGGCTTTATAAAAGTCCTGCTGAAATCACACTGATGCAGAAAGCTAGTGACATAACTGCAGCAGCATTTGTGGAAACAATCTCTTGCTCTAGACCAAATATAGCTGAAAATCAATTATTTGCAAAAATAGACTATGAGTGTAGGATGAGGGGAGCTGAATTTTTAGCATACCCACCTGTTGTAGCAGGGGGTAATAGAGCAAATATCATACACTACATTAACAACAATCAACTTGTCGAGGATGAAGAAATGGTTTTAATGGATGCAGGTAATGTATGTCATAATCATTAGTAATTTTTATAAAGATCTGCACATAGTCCACATAGTATCTTCACACCAGTTGGGAGAAATATTGTGATTCAGATTTGTTGCATAATCTTATTCTAATAGATCCTATTTTAACAAATCTACATGCAGCCGGGCCGAGAATTACGTCAAAAACTGTTTAGAAATTCCAAAACTTGTTTTTGTTTGCTCCGATCAAAGTATTTTTTGAATTCTTATGCCATTCTGACTAAATAAGGTGCTTAGAACTTTCCTCTAAACTTAATAGTTTTCAAGATATAAGTGATGGAATATTTAGAAAAGTACAAAATATGCAATTTTCAACCCTGAAAGACAATATGAGTAAAATAAAATAAGATACAATGTTGCCGATGTTTCTACATATCATTCAAACATCTATTAATGAAATCTCAAAGCATTTTAGTGGGTATTGTTTATGGATGTTTGAAGAATATTTAGGAAGATTGGCAACATTGAAGATTTTGTTGTTTCATATTGTTTTTTATATCTTTATTGTATTATATATATATATATATATAAAGAGAAAATAATCATGCGGAGAAATGAACATTTCTCCGCATGATTATTTTCTCTTTGTAGATCCTTTGGGCTTGAAGTACCACAGCAAGTGCCTATAACCGGCCGCGCGATTGTGGTTAGATGTCACCTTGAAAATTCGAGGTCTTCTAGCTATTTTATACTACAATGTGTAGGTTGGCTCTTGTTGTGCACTTCGTGTGTGATTTTTTCCCATCCATCTTTATTTCCTCAGGTTACACCCGTATCCGGATGTATGAGCATGTGTATCTACTTTTGTAGTTCATTTCGGGCCTGATGAAGCCAACCAGCAGAAATACGTATCGCTCGGGTTACCTATCCTATTTTCTGTTTTCTGCTCGAATCCACTTTCCTCCATTTTGCGGATTTTGCCCATTATTTTCCTATATTTTTATATATATATATATGTATTGAAAACTATCATATTCTAAGTTCTAAAGCTCCTTTTTTGTTCAGGCTGGCCTAAAAACCCGAACACACATTGACGAAAACTATATAAACAATTTTTTAAATCAGCTCAAACTCCAGGCCTGGCATTGTTAAATAAGATTATGCCTTAAAATCGGATGAGAATAACTTTTCGAGCGGATGCGAAGATTCTACCATGTCCAGAGCTAAATCTATGACAGAAAATATCCTAGCTTACCTGTTTATGACAATTAAGAGCATGAAACATTGTGATTCTCAAAACAAAATTATCTCTGCTGTGGGGTCACTTTCTGATGTGACAATTATACAGCATCAGGAGGGTGTTAGATGCACCATGTTTTCCCCATAACACAAATTCTCTCTGCTTTATCTGCATTGTGAGTCAGCTGCCCTTTGTGCCCTTAAAGGGTTCTAGACCTGCACATGTCTATAAGCAGTGTTGTACTATTTGGTTAATATATTAAACCAGATATACCCAATCCAAATAAATGAAACTGTCCATGCTTATACCACTATATACATATGTCCCTATCAACGGACGTCTTCAAATGCCAGTGTTGCCCCCTCAGGGATTGTTGCCGTAGGTTACTGGATTTTTTTTGTTTTGTTGAGTAATTTTGAGTATATGAAATTCTAGGTATAATCATAATTACAGGTGATATTGAAGGGTGGGTGACCTTTTCTTGGAAGGTGATGCCATTTTTAAAAATAAACAATTTTTGTAAAAGGAAAAACGAGCCTGTTTTTTTACTTTTAAAGAAATTGTGATCCCAGTTGGTAACATGGCTGTTACAATGGAAATTGTATGTGAACTTCCAAATACAGCTTAAGGTTGGGCATCTTCTTGGAAAATATGTTAATCAGTAGTTAGATATTAGCTTCTGGTGGCTCAATATTTTCAAAGCCTTGTCATAAACTCATTATATTCAATTCTCCAGGCTGTGAGTATCATGGGTATGCTAGTGATGTGACAAGAACATGGCCCATAAATGGAAAGTTTACCAGCCAACAAAGAGAAATCTATGAAGTTGTATACTGTGTACAGGAAGAGCTCATAGAGCTATGCCACAAATGTCCTACGCTTGATGCATTATTTGAGTCTATGTGTTATTTATTAGGAAAAAGATTGCAAGAGATTGGATTGATCAGCACACAGCCATCAAATTCTTATTTGATGAAGGTAATACTACAGTTTAATAGTAGTCTCATTCCACATAATATTCCTTTATTTATTTATTTTTAGGCAGCATATCAGTTGTGTCCACATCATGTTTCCCATTACTTAGGAATGGATATTCATGATACTCCTTCAATCACTAGGAATATCAAAATAGAACCAGGAATGGTCATTACCATAGAACCAGGTACTATTGAATCCAAACAGAAATATGATATTCCAAATTTAAGTTTGAATGTATGAACAAGACTTTGTACCAGTGCTCAAGAAAACAGACAGACAGAAATATTTGATAATATATGAGCTATGAAGCAAAAGTTTATTGTTTTATCATCTCTTATAACTTCTATCTAAATGAACACAACTTTATCATGGTCATGTACAAAAATATGAAAATATTAAAAACGTTTTTCAGGAGTGTACATAAGTAATAACAACAAATCATTACCTAAAGAATACCATGGAATTGGAATAAGAATAGAAGATGATGTGCTGATAACTGTCAATGGACCAGTGGTTCTCAGTAGAAAGTGTCCCAAGCATCCAGATGACATAGAAAAAATTGCAAGTGAAAACCAGCCCTGAGATGTAGAGGTGTGATGTACATATGTATTAATTTTGGTTTGATCTAAAAAAAAATTACAATTTTGGTATATGTCTCTTTAAATTATATAGAAACCAGGAGAAAATAATGTAACAGGCAAAGTGTCATACGGTTGATCAATTATTCTACTTGAAGACAGAGAGTCATTACTGTATTCCGGCATCCGAAAAGGGATCTGAAAGATACTAGCGTCATCTATCAGAATGCAATATGAATTTAGAAATCCACTTTGAAAAAAAGTTAAGAGGTTCTGCCACTGTATCATAGGTGGCGCCAAGATTTTAAATTCTTCTTTGGCCTCGCTAATGGCTATCTTAATTGAGCAGGTTTCTGACTGTCGTATGCGGAGGTACCACCCGGCGCATTTCATAGGCTGGGCCAGAATGTGTACATGCTTCTGGGGAAATTCTGTCCGATCCATCAGGCAATGCTGTGCTTTGACAAATCCGCCATATGAACACCAACAAACGGATTGCCATTTAGCTTATTGTAAATTAACTCAACTATGTTTGCTTATTTCTTGTACATGAGGGTGTAAATAGTCGGAAATCTGTTGTAAAGTTTCACTGTTATTTAGCTATTTGTGATGAACTTTTGAAAAGCTTGTGTGAGGGGGATAATAACATGTTTATTCTTTGAAACATCTGCTATTCTCCAAAATGATGATGAAAAACTCAATCTTTTGTCCAAAGATGGGCCCGATTTATGGATGAAGCCATTGAGGTGGGGTCCCCTAATAGAAGAATAACCAAAATATGAAGAATGTGTTCCTGGTGTTTTAGAAAAGGTAATGTCTTGAGAAACAAAATTTGTGGAACCAAACGTGTATGTTATAGGAGCTCTAGCAGATCCAACAGACAAGAATGATCCTGATTGAGATTTCTAGTTTCTAGTAAAAAATCTCGAATACTGCAATCCTCTTTTAATGTTGTCAGTTTGAGATTAACATTTCTCCATCCTCAGATACCCTGCGCATGCCCAATAGCTGGTACACTCCGATCATTGCGCCCCCACCCAGGCGTCATGTATTGGTGTTTTTTTTCTATTTCGCTGGTTCTCCTTAATTATAGGTTCCATTATCTTCAGGCGGAAATCGTTAATCAATGTCTGAAAGGGTGGATGAGCAGAAAAAGCTAGTGAATAAACAAACCACAAAAAGTCTAGAATTTCTTTGACTTATTGTGTGGTATGTAAAAATTAGTTAGTTGTTGAAACACTGTTTCTGTTGGGTCCTTACAATATTTTAATCTATACAGTGTGTCCGCAAAGTTGGGATTTTCCTTTACACGACGTGTAGATCTTAAGAAAATAAGCGGATTTTCTTAGTAGCAATGAATCATTTCCGAATAGGTGGATCGGATGTAATGGACCCGTAGCATGGCCTCCGCGATCAGACTTGACACAGTGTGATTTTTTTCTTTCTGGCTAAATCAAACGCTTGGTGTACAAAACTGGGGTGCACACGGTTGACGAATTATGGCTGATAATTGAGCAAGCTGCTGCATTCATTCGGGGAAGGGACTCCACTCTAAAAGCCTGCACCGATGCTTGGCTACGTTGAGTACGCACATGTGTTTTTGAATCCAACGGCGACAACTTCGAACAGTTATAAAATATGTTCACCAAGAAAAAGTGACACCGACATCATATTTTCGATCTCTTTTTTGTTATTTTTGTTACATGTGCTCCTCGGATTTTACGACAGACCTGTACTTGGAATTTCAATTCAACTGAAGTGTGTGAGTAATTTTTCATTTCTTTTTTTTTTTACTTGTTCGCTCACATTTCACCACACATTAGCTTTGTTATATCAAGCGTAGTTGTGCCTGAAAAGGAAAACTCCAACTTTGCGGAAATGAAAAAAATTATATAATTCAGATCCTTTATTTTCCATGACTTGTATCATGCAACGCAACTTCACTATTCAGTATAACAACTAAATAAATATACAAATGTCGATCCGGTATACATCAACAATACATGAGGAGCAGACTTGCAAAATGCATTTTGTCCAAATTTTCCATATTTGAGATACAGGTGGCGCTGCATTCCTATGATGAAATACTATCTTTTTTTAAACATTTGAACAGTCAAAATGTATTTAGTCCCCGTGTTATTGAGGGGAAAATTATACCTAGACAAACAAACTGATTTAAGTCCACTCACATGGTACTTTCAAAGTGCATTTTGTCCATAAACGTTGACAAAATGCATTTTGATGGGGTTTTTGTTTATTTTATCAGAATCTGTTGTTATAGTTCGGTGTTACCTTGGAGACTTTTTCAAGTTTTAATTGTTAAAACATTGAAGTAGTGTTGCTTTTGGATCAAAATGGAACAGTTAGAAGGGGAGCATATTGTTGGTGATAGTGTGGATAGGGGTAGTAGGAAAAGAAAAAGGAATACAACAAGCCGTGAGAGAAAAAAACAAATAAGGTATTTGTTAGGTTATAAGCCTAAAATATTTTATTATTTTCCGTTTCACTTTTAAGGTATTCCAATTTGGACATCAATCTAGACAATTTCAACGTAGTTTGTAATCATAAAAATTCTAATCTTGATTGCGAAGAATTATCGAAAGGAGCTATGCTGAAAATCCGCCAAACCTTTTTCGAGAGTCCTAACAAAATTACGCAGGACAACTTGCTTGCAAGCTACATGGAGATTAAGGAGCCAAAACGAAAACGAAGTCGCAAAGAAAATGGAAAGTCCCATAATTTTTCCGTAAATTATTTCGTAAGTATAACCATCTGAAATGTATTTTAAACTGTGACTTACTCTCGTTTTTTTTCAGATATTTTTTGAAGGTGATAAAAAACAAATTTGCCAGAAACTATTTAGAGCTATGTTCAGCGTGTCTCAAAGGCGAATAAACACAATATGTCAGAAAATAAAAATGGGATCAAGTCTTACTGAAAAAAGAGGAGGCGATAGAAAATCTCACAAATTTATCAACAAATTAAATGAGGTGAAAAAGTTTATAAGCAACCTGAAAGGGAAAGAAAGTCACTACAGCCGTTCTAAATCAAGAAGAATCTACTTGTCTGCCGAATACACCATTGCTAAACTTTGCAACTTCTATAATGAAAAAGTGACTAATGAAAAAAAAGTAAATTATAAATACTTTAGCAGGGTCTTCAGTAATCACTTCAACATAGGCTTTGGTAGCCCGGCTACAGATGTATGTAATTTTTGTGTTAAAACAGCAACGCAAATCGGTAATGCGAGGAATATTATCGATAAAGGCCAACTTGAGACCCAGTTAAAAGTTCACAAGGTTAGAGCATCTCAGTTCCATAAAATGATGAAAGAAGCATCTCCTAACTCAGTGTCTTTTTGTTTTGACTTGCAACAAGTGCAGGTTCTCCCAAAAGTTCCCATACAAGATGCTTTTTATGCACAGCAGCTGTCATTTTACTTTTTTTGCGTTACAGCCACAAACTGTAAAAACCCTGTTTTTTATTCATGGATGGAACACCAAGCTGGCAGGGGAGCGACAGAAATATCTTCCGCCCTGCTTGATTTTTTGAAAAAGACCAATTTTTCCCCGAATATAGACACTCTTCGGCTCTTCTCCGATGGATGCGGGGGGCAAAATAAAAATAGCTTTACCATCCACATGCTAATGTTATGGTTACACCGCTTTGCTCCAGAAACAATTAAAAAAATAGAAGTTATCTTCCCAGTGCGAGGACACTCTTATCTTCCGGCAGATAGAATTTTTGGGAGGGTGGAAAAGATTTTAAGACGACACGCGGTCATAAAAACACCTGAAAAATATTGGGAACTCTACAAACAAGTAGGTGAAATCAGAAAACTTGGAACTGATTGGTCATTGGTGAATATAAAAGAAGCTTCCATCTGTTTGAAAAAAGTGCTAGGAATTAGTTCAAGTAAAAGAATAATCATCAAACGGGGAAAGCCCTCAGGCGTTGTGGTGAAATCTGAATTGCTGTATCGAACGGATGATCCAGCGAAAAAATTCCAAACTTTGTTGAAACCTAAAAAGCGGTTGGATCAAATTGAACTTCCTAAAGTACGACTTGGACATGAAGTAAAGCAGAAAAAGCTTGATAGTCTAAAAAACCTACTTGTTTCATTGTCTGGTGACAAATGGTATGAAACAGACCCGCAGCTGAAATGGATGGCTGAAATATTTGAGAAAACTGTGGCAAACTGTAATGATGACGATGAAGAGCACGAAAATGACGAAGAAGCTTGTGGATGCGCTGAGAATGATGATAATGAATTCCTTTAAAAATAAAATTGTTTACTCCTAATATTATTGTAATACTTACAAATTTTGTTTTGTTGTTTCAATATACACCTTTTTTTAAATAAAACCAAATTTTTTATTATTGTTAACTTGACAATGACATTTAAATTGCATTTTGTCCACTAGAGACAATCAAACTGCATTCTGTCCAACAATTTTTTCAATTTTTTCAACTTGTTTTTCGACTTTCTTGTACCAAAACTTGTGATTGAGGTCGATACACCTGATAGCATTATATTATCCAGAACAAAATTTTCTGTCATGGTTAGCTTTTCTGTACTGGTTTTTTGCTTCTCCTGAAAATTGGTAAAAATGGACAAAATGCAATTTGCAAGTCTGCTCCTCACATATACTTAATAATTTATCAATCACATTTTATGCCACCATCAATTGCTGTTATCTGATGATCTACCAGTCATAATCAGAATCCTGATTAGGCACACCGCCAGGATATATTCCAGAAAGACAGGCAGTGCAGTGACCAACTTTGTGCGAGTTCTTAGACTTCAGGTCCGATCGTACCGCTTTTATTAGACCTTCCAGACTTAGGTACTCTAAACTGTCAGCACCTGAAACAGAATTGTTAACGAAAGTTTGTAGAACGAAAGCATCACTTAGGATATTACTGTTTATATAATTTCTAGTGAGCTGCGATTAAAGATTGTAGTGCCTAATCAATGAAAACGCCATGACACGTGTATTGAAATTCTTAAATCATGTTTAGACATCTGGAGGCTAATTCTTGAAATGAAAATAACTTTGTGATGGAATATTTGATGATTTGAAGAATTCAGGAACGTATTATCTTGACGAAAATGTATGCAATCCCAAAGTTGTTTGACAAACGTTAGAATTTGAAAAAATCGTTCCCCAGGGAAGACTACGGCGCCCACGTTCTCTCATTGGTTCTACCTTTCCTCTATACTCCAACCTCCACGAAAGCCTAAGGCCTAAACACCCATGGTGTACCGTAGAGCTATACACGGAGCTAGAGACAGTCTACAGGCAATACAAATTATCACTGCCTGTGTGTACCCAGGTGAAAACCATTTCAAAGCAGGACGACACTCCCCAATGAGCACTAGATGGGTACTGACCAAAATCGCTCATCTAGGATCATGGAGGTGTGGAAACCTTGCCTTGTGGAGAACTGCTGCGTCAGCGTTGCGAGGCAACACGGTAATTAGCTTCGCTATCCAGGCGGCTTCTATCCCTTTCTAACATACATGTGTCTATAAGCACTTCTCTCTCATGCACATTGAAGCCGTCAAACAAATTTGATTTTCGTGTATATAAATGCCATTGTCTATTCAGTCAGTCAGTATCACGTCTGAACCACAATACGGAGAGGCATAAAAATGTGTACACTTATTAACTAAGGAAGGTTACAGGAATGATTTTTATATGAACTTATCATCGATCTTTGACTGCATTAGTAAAATGACAGCCAAGATGCATGCTTGTGAAATTTGGGTACTTTATTAGTGGCGCCACTTACACGTTCCGCGGGTAAAACCGCGAAGCAGAAAGCTAGAAAACAATTTTCAGGTACATTACTTACCAACATGTTTTGCCAATTCCTTAGCATTCATTTTATTAGCAATGAGTTCTTCTCTGGTTGGGATATTGATTCCCATATAACAGGGATACAAAAGTGGAGGACTGGCCACCCTAATGTGAACCTCCTTTGCACCAGCGTTCTTCAGTAACTTGATAATTGGACCTATCGTGTTACCTCGTACAATAGAATCGTCGATTAATATGATCCTTTTGTTTTTTACGCTACCAACCAACGCTCCTGAAATACGAAGAAATGTTATTATGTTTCTTGAAATTATGTATCTTTATTTTCGCGCCATATAGCAACTGTTTTTTTATAAAATAATAAACCTTAAGGTAAGTATAGAAGTTGGAAAAACATTGACTGTTCTGCATTTCCAAACCTCGAAACACAGGATCAGTGTTACCGATGACTTTCCTGCTGTACGAAACGTGGAAAAGAAGTCTAGCAAACTCATCTAACAACGGCGGCATCATGTAGCAGAGCTCGAAGGAGCAGATCACCGAGCGACTGTTGATAAGGATGGTTTGAGACCGTCTGTCAGACAGTTGCATCTCATACCCGAGCGCTCATTCCTGCGATTCTTTTCTGCCACAATACTGAAAAGACAATAAAAGTGTCGTCGCACACTTTTCATTTGACAATCTTTCCCATCGAACTTTCGAGTGAATCGGTTTTTTGTATTTTTAAGGAAAATAATCATTTTAGTCTTGCTTTCCAGAATACATGCTTTTTTGTTAGTTATTGTGAATCATCAGGAAGGAAGTCAGCTGTCTGAAAAGTCTAGTGGCTAGAGGTTGAAAGTTGTTTTTATTTTGCAGTGTCCACTTTATTACTTACCGAACTTCTTAGCTACACTGAGCTGCCTCAACCTATTGCTGGGTTGGATGAAGGACCTTCCGACATATCTATTCTTGCAAAGCACCTCCGCGAACGAGATACCGCTCTGCCTGGAGAAGCCGTGCGCGGCGGCGTTGCCAGATTCTGGTACGGATCCCACAATATCCGCTTCCACGGGTGCTTCGATTGCGAGTTGCCTGCCGCATTGCATACGCACTGCGTACACCATCTGGCCTTCGAAAATACTGTCTGCTCTCGCGAAGTACACGTATTCGAAAATGCAAAATGCCTGAAAATAGAACAACATATGTGAGGATAAAAATATTGTACGTACAGTCATATCAAGAAAAATAAGGATGTAAGGAATGTCAAAAAACTATTCTAAAGTTTCCTCCATTATCTTTTATCAGTGCAGCAGTATTATTAAGTAAAAACCCCATATAATATCAACAAAACCGATAAAATGTCAACTTGCTGTCTAGATAGTCCCTAGTGTGCAAATAGTTCATTCCGCTGTTGTTCGCTACGAGCGCTGTGAGCGTCGCCAAAAGCGTCATCTATGGACAAATTACTCAACGACACGCTCAATGATCAGCTGCAAGTCAGTTTCCCCGCATGCTTTGTTGGTTGCAGAATGCCGAGATAGTCTGTAGATTATATCTCTGAGAAGATGTGACAAAGAAAACTGGTTGCGTAGCAGAGTATGGCAAAATCGCATATGGACGATTGTGTGTATTGGTTTGCATGTGTATAAAATCAGGGATATTTGCTATGTTAGAAAATTATTACCGAATATGGTGGCCAGTATATCTATTAGCTGTACCAGACGGGTTATTTGTGTTGTCCTCTCTGAAGAGTTATAAATTTCGATTTTCCCCGGTTTCAAAAACTTTGAGAAGCATTACAGACACATCATATACAAAACATTTTTGCAGTGCCTCACATTCAGGCGCTGATTTTTATTTTCTACTTGACATCGCAATATAAATTTCTATCAAATCTAAATGACTGAAAATAAAAAATAATGTAGAATATATTATTATTTCACGTTATATAAATATTCCTGTCTGTGTCATATTTTCTCACCTGTTGGTTGTGATATACTTCACCAACCAGGGATTTTCTTTTCTTATCTCTTTCATTTTTTAAATTCAGCAAATTTGCGTATGTAATTTCCAGGACGAATACGAAAATGTGGATGCGCAACTAATTTCTAGATTTACATTCATATCAAGTAAGTGATTATATATATATATATATACGTATATATATATATATATAACATTATATATCATAGTTAATTGCCTTAACTGTTAGGAGAAAACACCCTTGAATTTCTTTGGGTACAAATCAAAGTTTTGCATAAGTACACTCTTACAACTTGAACTCGAGCTTTCGATGGTCTGTGCCATCATCGTCTGGAGCTAAATTTTTGAAAAACAATAAACAATTAGGAGGAAAAAATATATAATTACTTACTACTGCATGTTAATTTAAAGGAGTAAGTATAAGGTAATTTATAACCTACTATCTTATTTTTATTCAGTATTCGGTGAAACTTACCTGTTGTTTATTTTCTGGTCTCTGTACTATGTCGATTGTACGAATTCCATGACGTGTCATTTCTATAATTTCGCCAGGGAATACTTCTCTAACATATTGTGCACCAATTGACAAGAAACCACAGGATTCAGAAGATACTACCCATCCTTCAGCTTCTCGACTTTCATCACATTCACCGTCAAGTGCTGAAAAAAAGATCATTCGATTGTTGACATATATTACCTCGTCATAAACTTGGAACTGGTAAAGTTTACGTTACAACATTCAATAACGATTATAATTCGGTTACTGGGTAATGGTGCGTTTCCTAAGTCTTCGATAGATTATCAATATTTTGCATCCAAAAGATACTGTTTTCACTTTTTTTTATTGACAGGGAGACATTGTTAACGAAATTGCATTGCTATGGATTTCAAGGTTCAGTATTCAACTTATTTCAAAATTATTTAATCAATAGAAGTCAAAGAACTAAAATTGGCAATACATTATCAAACATTAAAAACATTTCGGTAGGTGTGCCACACGGTAGCAAATTAGGTCCATTACTATTTATTTTATATATTAACGATATTCCTGATATTTTACAATACTGTAAAATTCAACTATTTGCTGATGATACATTTATATATATACATATATATATATATATATATATATATATATATATATATATATCAAATAAAGACATTGAAACTGCAATAATGATATGAAGAACGTAATAAATTGGTTAAATGTAAATAAACTCAAACTAAACACAAACAAAACAAAATATATGCTAATAGGAAAATCTTTAGATCAAAATACGATAAATCTTACAATTAATCATGAAAAAATTGTGATAACCGAATCATTTAAATATTTGGGCATACAATGACGTAGATAGTAAATTAAAATTTGAAGGGCGCTATGATTATATTATTTCAAAAATATCGAAGAAACAAATTACTTCTACAGAATTTCGCATAGCCTAAGCGTATATTCTAAAAAATTTGTGTACAACACTATCATTCTTCCTCATTCGTTATATTGTTCGACTATTTTGTTCAATGCAAATGAAACTGTATTTTCAAAATTACAAATAACAAAATAAGGCTATGAGAATCATCTTAAATAAAAGTAAATATACTAGAATAAATTTTATGCTGAAAGAATTACAATGGTAAAATATCAAAAATTTCATAGCCTTCTTGGTTTTCATATTCGAGTTGAAAAATCATCTTCTACCAAATGACTTAGAAAATCTTATTGTACTGAACAATGAGTGCCACAATTATTCTACTAGAGGAAGTATAGACTTTCATTTACAAAACTGCAGTATCAATATAACGAGCACGTCAGTATTTCAAAAGGGATTGTACGAATTTCATAAATTAAGTTATGATATCAAGATGTGTCAGTTTGAAAATGTTCAAAGGGAGATTGAAAAAATATCTCATGGAAAACCAGAATTCATAGTAGTGAAATTTTGTATAAAAATATGTAGTCTTGAGACATAATATATTTTGTGATATACTGTGTAATATGGATATTATGGTCATTGTGGCATTAATGCTAAATAAATCTGAAACAAACAAACAAAATAAATGGCCGTGCAACGACCGTAAATTTCGCGCCAAAGCTGAAACGTAATAAGTTTTTCCATCGCATTATTTTCAACTTTACTGTAGGGAATTGTAATTGTTTTTTATATTCACTGCTGAGGTCTGCAAATTTGAATTCGGTGGAATTTACACATACACAAAAGATGCAAGTGACCACAAACCTCACTCAGCTGAGGTACGTATGTTGGTGATGCAATTGGTGTAAGAAAGAAATCTCAGATCATTTAAGCTAAGCTTGGCAAGAAGAATCTGCAATTAACCGAGCAAACCGGACTGAGGTGAGCGTATCTGAGATTGTGTGTAAAAAAACGTAACATTTAATCTCTGAGATTGACAGTTTGGCAGAGAATTTAAATCCTATTCCTGATTATTTCCAGCAGGTAATACATTGTTTTTTTAGTAAATAACCTAATCGATTCAAAATGCAGTTTAGATATTTTTTTTAATATTTCAAAACTTGATCGATTTTTGACATGGTTGTAATATTACACTTACGTTCATTGCATGGCAGGATCTTTCCGAGACAAAGTGGCCTATTTCCGTAAGGGTCCCTAACTGCATATATTTTATTTTTTAGCATAATAACTAGGGAGTAACTGAGAGGAGCCAAGTCGATAAAGTGCCTAATCCTTGCTGGCCAATCAGGCTCTCCATTTGGTTCTCCTTCAGGCGGATTGAGGCAGAGAGCTTGAGTTATCAGTTCACTATCTGAGTGAGTTGAGAGACCTACACCGTGTTGTAATACCTAAAATTGAAAATTGGGACCAGTTAAAGATACCGTGTATTTGGCGAGAAGTATACCTACTTGTCTACGCAGGCTATCACAGTTAACTAGTTCACCATTGTGGGCTACAGCCAAAGCCCCGTGTGCTGTGTGTACCACAAATGGCTGGCAGTTGACTTCTTCAGAAGCGGCACTGGTTGAGTATCTGGTATGGCCAATACCAATACTGCCTAGAAAGAATATATAATTTATATGGTAGGCATACAATTTTTATGAATTGCTTACAGTGGTTTCATGCTCGTTTTCAAGGAATCATTTTCTAAAAACGCGCGCGAAAGATAAAAAATGACGTATCGGATTCTTTGGGAAAATGCTCAACCCGCTGTGGTCGCTTTCTTTGTCAATATTCATTTTAAATCATATACACACTTAAGGAAAAACCCAAACATTTTAGAATCTAACTTATACCCAAAATAGTTGATTTTGTGCATGTTTCTTACAGTTAGATAATGCACTCTATTTTAAGACTTTAGAAAATGAAAAAATGATCCAAAATTATTTTGCTATTTTAGAAGGAATAGCCAGATGTTTACTAATGCATAACTTACTGATAAATTTACTTATGCATATCGTTACAGAATGTTAGCAGAAAAAATGAGGGCTGATCAGGACATTGAAATATAAAAAAAAATTATACAAACATAGGGCCGGAAATGTTTCGTTTCCATATTATGTATTTATTTTAACCATTACATCGATCTGTCTAGCGTTATTGAAAAAATTCGTCATTTAAGTGGCTCTGCACTTCACCCCCAACGCTATCCTAAGTTCGTAAAGGATTGTTACGCTACGCATATGTATAACAGAAACATAAAATGGATTAATTCAGTCATTCAGACACATACAATCAAACTATGGTCATTTGACAACGTTGCAGTCTTGAAATTTCTCCCCTGCTCTATCGACAGTGCCGAATATCTGGCAACATTTCTATGACTAATCTCGCCACTCGCCAGCCCAACAACGTTTGTTGCATTGCTGAGTCGCATGCGTTGAACATATTTCTAGATCAAACGTCAAGGGCAAATGAACAGAAAATCTACGATGTGTGAAATAATTTTAATAGGTGCATAGAATGACCAGGGATGGAAGCCTATAGATATACTAACCTCAAAAAATTGAGATATGTCCTCCCCCACGTCCTCCTACAAAAAAATCTGAAAACGACCAGGAGCCTTTGACCATTACAAAACGATAATTAGACGGTTTTTTTTTTGTTTTTCTTGCCTGTAGCTAAGACGCCACTGGATAAACTTTTCCATCCCTGGCATACTTGTATGCATACATACCAAAGATGCAATATTTACAATTCTCTGGTGAGCGGCAAGTGCGACCGATAGTTACGCGATCCGTCTACTGAAAATATTTTTTTATGTAACTACAAATGTACGGACAAATATGTGTGGAATATGTCTAATCGGTGCGTAGAATTACCGGGATTGGAAGTGTATTAATATAGTAACATCAGAAAAATTCCATACTCCCTCCCCCACCCCCAATTTATTTACGCCTAAATTTTTCGCCTTCCAAGTTTAGGCCCGTATCGTCAGTCGTCCCTACAATTGTAGGGCGCCTTTATGGCCTCCTTGCTTGTCATAGTTTTCTACTTCTCCGTGTCAGCGCACTATTTTGAGGTTATGTCACAAACATCTATTTGCATCAAATTGTGCTTGCTTTTGAGTTATATCATGTTTTATCAGCCTGAAATTTCCTACAATTTAAAAAGAAAACATATCTTCACAATAGGAGAGCGCTGACGCTGACACGGGACAAGTGTAATCTAGAAATTTTTGAAGGAGAGAAAGAATTATGACAATCAAGGAGGCCATAAACGCGCCCTACAATTGTAGGGACGACTGACGATACGGGCCTAAGTGACAGGCCATGATTTTTCTGGATGTACATGTCACATAACATCCAAAAAACATAATATCTTATTTTTTAAACTCCGCGCGATCAAGTTTCTCGCCAGTACGCGCAGGAAGCGAAAATCACCTCAAAATATCGAATCAGTTTGTTTTATAAATGCTATTAAATTCGGCACGGGTATCATGTAAAAAACGTCAAAAAAAACCTATAAGATGTCAACTTGCAGACTAGGTAGTTTTTAGGGTGCAGTCATACCTCGTTTGCTCACTAGGAGCGTCCATCTATGGAGGAATGACTCAACTACACGCATTGTTGGTTGCACATGTTTTGTGAAGCCGAGTAGTCTGTAGCTTTTATCTCTGAGAAGAAAGTTGGTTGAATAGCAAGATGGCATCTGGATAATTATGTGTATTGGTCTGCATGTGTATAAAATCAGTGATATTTGCTGTGTGAGAAAATCGTTTCTGACTATGCTGAATATGACGGGTTATTTATAAGTTGTGCTTTCTGAAGAGAGGTTATCTTCAGAGTTATAAATTACGAAAAACTGAGGAGAATTACGGGAAATCATCACCGCGCCCGCGTTGTGTGTAATTACTGTTAGCATGTATATGGCTTGTACTTCTACAGTGTACAGTGAATATAATTATTTCTGATCTTTCTCATTTTTGAAATTCACCAAATTTGTATATGCAATTTCCAGAATGTATAAGAAAAGGTGTCTGGGCAACTAATTTCTAGCTTTGAATGTCGATTAAGTGTATTTGAGAAAAGAACCCAATGTAATTATCATCAACACATACAACTTACAGCTTAGACCTCCAGTAATGCCATCTGTGAAGCAGATTTTATATCATATCAGAGCCAAAGACTGATACCAAGCCTCATGACGTTAAGGCAACACGTACAACTAAGCGCTCAGTTAACATCTTGTAGAAAAAACTACATAATTTAAAAAAAACAGCATAATGTCAAAAAAAATCGGCATAATGTCACTTTTCAAGATATGTGATACCCGTGCCGGTCCTTATGTCTTGAAGGATACTGGTACCTTTTAGTTTTTTGATCGCTTGGTCGTTGAATATGTTGCTAATCATTCCCATTCCTTTGTGTACGTTGAAGTATTTGGAGCATTTTCCTTCGCTTGTGACTATACCGGCTGACTCTTGTCCCCTGGAAAATTAAAATTCGGGAGGCACATGATGAAATTAGTCTGTTTGTGGAATATTTGACTCGGTCGAACACCGTTGTGTAATTAATCATTACAGGGAAAGATAAATGCTATTAATTTTTGATTGCTCAATGCGGAGTTGATGTAAAATGTGTATAATATCCCTCTGTCTTGACCTCGGCTGATAATGAAAACATTGTCGAAATATATGTATTTTGCGCGTTACATGTCACACTTATTTGAAAATGCGAAAAGGGTTCATTGAAGCTTGACGTTAATCCATTTCAACGGTAAAAAATTACATCACGAAATCGCTACAAGAAATAAAGCAGAAACACTTTTAACATATCGAATATTTATGAAGCTGTACCAAAAAATAAAAGTTGTTAAATCGGCAAATCAAAGAATTTCTCCAAGTTCTCCTTTCTGAAATTGTGTAATGTGACCATTAGGTAGCATAATATCATGAGTCTAAATACGAAAATTGATATTTTGTTTTTAGTTAATAACTCCTGCACTAGAAAACTATAATTTTTCACCTATGGAGAACCGCAATTGAATTTCTTACTGAAAAATTCTCTTAGACATAGAGCTTTCCATCAGAATAACTAGTGAATCCTATAAACATAGAAAAATTGGGTTAGCAATAATAAAAGCCTGATTTCAACATTTCTGAGGCTCGTATCTTTTTTTTACACAAACCCAACTACGTTGAACGTCAACAAGCTTGGAGTTTGTTTTTAATTTCCAACTATCCAAAAATGTTTAGCTACCTCAAAAACGCGAAAAACAAATATGCGGTCATTCTCATTGAAGTTGCAGTCTAATCATATTAGCAAGTTTCCCCGAAATACGTGTAAAGTCTGATTTTATTGGTGCAAGTTGTTCAAGGGGGTATTCGAAACATGTGCGCATGAACTGGGTACACCAATTTTTGCGGGAAAACTTTTTATTTGACAACAAAGAATGAGAAAACGTGTTTTTTTTTGGATTCAATCGGAAGTGTTAACTGGATCGAAAAAACTTTTCATATAAGATTTTTAGGTATTCATGAGAATCACAAAATGAGATCACCCCGTAAAAAGATAGCAAAAATGATATGGCTGAAATACGAGGCAAAATGCAGGTTTTGGCACTTGTTGGTAATGCAACGTTGGTTTTTCGCAGATGCTCGGAATTCTTCAAATTCGTAGGATTCGTATTTCCAAATAACGGCAATAAAATTGGAATAGATTGGTCAAGTAGTTTTTTGAGAATTTCTAATTGTTTATCCCTAAACAGCTGTTCACTACTAGTTTATGGAGCAATATACAGGTTTAGTTCAAATGGCATTTAATAGCAAAATACACGTGTTTACCCTGCCGATATGAATCACAAACCATTCCGAAAGATAAATGTTATTTTTATGCGAAAAACAAAGGTTACGTTTTTTCTTCTAAACAAATTAAAACATTTCGTATTTGTGAGTAATTGAACAAATGCGCTACGATATTCGAAAAACATACGTTACTATACACATTTTAAAACAAAGCGGATGTGTCTATCATCTTGTGTTGCGAATTACTCACAAATACGAAATGTTTGGATTTGTTTACAAGAAAAAACGTAACCCATTGTTTTTTTGCATAAAAATGATATTTATTGTCCGGAATGGTTTGTGATCCTCATCGACAAGGTAAATTCGTGTATTTTGCAATAAAATGCCCTTTGACTAACCCTGTATATTGCTCAATAAACTAGTAGTGAAGGCCGGAAACCAGTTTTTTTGAGATAAACAATTAGACATTCTCAAAAACTACTTGACCAATCTGCTCCAATTTTATTGTGGTTATTTATAAGTACGTATCCTACGAATTTGAAAAATTTCAAATGTCTGCGAGAAACCATCGTCGCATTCCCAGCAAGTGCCAAAACCTGCATTCTGCCTTGATTTTCGGCCATAACATGTTTGCTAATAGTCGGATCTTTTTACGTGTGGTCTCATAAATTGAATCCCAAAAAACACGTTTTCTCATTCTTTGTTGTGGAATAAAAAGTTCTCCCACAAAAATTGGTGAACAACTTGCAACAATAAAACCAGACTTTACAATTATTTCGCAAACCAGGGGTATTTTCGTCTAATATGATTGGACTATTATTAGTTTTCTACAGTAACTCCTCCTGATCGGGGCGATTTTAAAAACATGCAGCGCGTTTTGTTTCTTCCGTCAAAATTTCACCAAAATCAACGTCTAGACAGCTGCTTTTCTTTTTTCATATGAACTAACGAGGTTTTCGTCCTTGTGGCAATGATACATCATGCTGAAGTTTTCATTCAATCCAGGACACGCAAAAGAAAGGCAAGTAACCAAAATATTTTCGAAACAAACCAGGCAAAAATGGGTTGTTCAAATTCGAAATTCAACTTTTTATTCATACCTGTGCTGTAGTGCAACCAATCCCCAACATACAATCTGTGAAATCTCTAGACTTGTTGGCCATTCCCCGCATCCTATGGCACCAAAAACACCGCACTCGTGCGTTAACCCAGAAGAAACTTGTCCTCTATTCTTCCTTCTACTTATTCCAACACTTTCCATTGCACACGCCAAATCTTCCTCTTCATTGTTATGATTGTATGTGCAAATTTGATTTCCTGCCTCTGCCATACTTCAAATCTTCAAAAATATTCCACCTGTCGAGTAATCCCCTGAAAGAACACGTTCGTGAATAAAAAGGTATAATTCATGGTAGAGTGCTTGTGTCATAAAAAAAACTGATAATGATAACACTTACCAGCTCTGGTTTCCACTGATTGTGTAAGAAATTATTGTTAATTTTAGTTTATAAATAAGAAATTCAAACATTTCGTTATGTTTCGCTATTTATACTACCACGTGGTTGATAGTAGTATCCCCCACCCGTCAAGTAGGCGCATGTTGTTTTAAAACATACGAACGTCAGATGTCTGAGGCCGCTGGAGTTCATGTCTTGAGTAATAAAATTATTTCTGATAGCAAACGCAAATATCTTACCGACAAATTTGCGGGTTATTAGGAAATTGTTTTTCGTTTTTCAATACTTGATACGTTCTCCAACGCATGCGCGCGGCCAATTTAGCTTCATAAAAAGGGAAGAGTGGTACCGTGTCCAATAAGAGCACGTAAAATATACAGCTATTTTAGTAACAATCTCTCTACCGGTGAAATACATTATTGAGGAAGAGTACCATCAGCAATATTCGAAAACATGGCTACAGTGAAAGAAGGTAAATTATGAACATTGATCGGCTTTGTTTTTATTTGCATAACCTCAACCTTATGAAACAAATAAAAGGGTTCGAGGTTACTAATCTTTTTTTGTCATTTTATTAGCATGATTATTGTAATGTACAATAATTTCAAACAAATAAACCAGATTTCTTCCTTGTTCTGATATATACTACTTCAAATTCGAAAATACAATGGACAATAATTTCAAGTTTTATGTATTTTTTTTGAGATCGAGTTATATGCATTAATTCATCATTCGTTACTGAAAAAAATATATATTGGATATTTCATTATATTGATTTTATATTCAAGTCTATCCTCATTATAATAGTTCAGCAGAATTAAATAATGAAGATATTTATTGTTTCTCAAAAACATTATTTTTTGAGTATCCTGCATTATAGTTAAATATAATGATCTCCCTCTCACAGCCGGTTTCAAAAGATGATCGAATTATCTCATATCATTTGAAAATGTGCCTTACAATGTAGATGTTCGAAAATATGGAACAAAGATTCTAGAAATGATCATTTAGATTATTTTTAGAATACCTATTTCATCTTGTGATAGTTTTCTGAAAAAAACGCTTAATTCTGAAGATACAGGGAAAATAATTTTAGATATTGATTTTTATTAGTTTGAAATTGTTCAAAATGACCTCCTCAAGAATGTAGAATACAAGTCTGCTCAGTGTTTTCAAACATCACATCCATTACTTATTTGGTTTTACAATGGAGTTGGGTGAATTAATAACTCATTCTGGATGGATTCATAGAAAATAATACTAGGCTTCAATTCTGAATGTCCAGCATTTGCCATAAGGTAGCTCTGCTTTTACCTCTTCAATTATTCAAAAAATGACAAAGTAACCCATAGAATATATATAGATGCCATTAAACTGTGAGATTACTTTACTAGCTATATTAATCAAACTTGTAACCTTTAGAATTTCATATAATTTACATTACATTTACATTAAATATAAAAATTAAAACTAATCAAGCTACTTTTTGACTGCTCTTAAATTACTAATATATTTCCTTTGTCATCAATTTTTTGCAGTTGGCGGCTACAAAGTTGGGAATCTCATCATAGAAGGCAAGACTAAACAAGTGTATGATGTGCCTTCAATGCCAGGTCACTGCATTCTATTGAGCAAAGACAGAATCACTGCAGGAGATGGTGTCAAAGCTCATAATCTGGCTGGAAAATCAGTGATCTCCAACCAAACCACCTGCAAAGTATTCGAAATCCTCAAAAGTGTGGGCATAAAGACTGCCTTTGAGAAGCAGGTGGCTCCAAATGCATTCCTTTCAAAGAAATGTGAGATGATCCCTATTGAGTGGGTGACAAGACGTTTGGCTACTGGATCATTTTTGAAAAGACATCCCGGTGTCAAGGAAGGTTATCGTTTCAGCCCTCCTAAGCAGGAAACATTCTTCAAGGATGATGCTAACCATGACCCACAGTGGTCCAAGGAACAGATTATTTCTGCCGAATTCAAGGTCAATGGAACTCTCATAGGTAAACTACACATCATTTTGAATTATGAGATATTCATTAGAACAGTCGAGATGTAGTACATATTTCCAAAATTATTCATTCCCAGTCTGAACACTGTTTTCTTATTTTTTCAATAAGCGTGTACAACCACAAGGATGGTGAATAATTGATAAAAGAATTCATTTAAAAAAAGTGTTGCAAATACTTGTTGGGCTATTAGGCACGGGAAATCACACATTTTAAAAAGTATTCATAAAAATAAGCTCTGAATCTTGTACAATATTGAAATTTTCTGTACGCAGGTAGCCACGAGGTAGATCTGATGTCAAAGATGTCCATACTGGTATTTGAAGTACTTGAAAAAGTATGGCAGACGAGGAATTGTGCTCTCATTGACATGAAGATTGAATTTGGAGTAGATAGTGATGGTAAGTTAAACTCTTTTATTTACTTTTTAGGTGGCTAGACAAAATTTCATTTTTATAGCTGAAATAATTTGTTCACATCCGATTTATAAACATGGTACGGTTTATCCTCTTTATTTCGCTCATGATGTGTAAAAAAACGTATTTGGACTACATGCACAAAAAAAAATCATTTGAATCCTCTGGCTTCACATCGGAGGAATCGATCAACATGAATTGATTTTTATTCCACCACTGATTGAACGTGATAGTCCATTTCATCCCTATGCTATTCAAATCCTCAAAATTAAGTTTGACCTACAAAGTTCGGCTTTGCAAGATGGTTATTAGACCAGCAATCACTTACGCATGTGTAGCGTAGTGGTTCCTCACGAAAACGTATATTTGTAGTCTGGAGAACAGGACCTTGTGTACTGTCAGTAACGAGCTAACCAGACCCTTTACTGAGACCTCAATATTCCTTACCTAAGGACTACATTAAACAACAGGCGAAGTTACGTTATAGTCGAGCAACCCTTTGTTGCGTGAGTCAGTAGACTACACAGTCGAGTAAGTTCTCAAGCATACAAGACCGCGGCTCGCACTGTCAAAAAAATTAAACAGTGCAATTCTAGGCCCAACAAAAATTACAATTTGCAAATTCCTAAATTAATTTAAAATTACTAAACACTAGTTAGCAATGTCAAGGCACTCCTCCAACAGACGCATTTCCTCCTCTTTGCTTTTCCCCCTATCTTTCTTCTTCGCCCCTAACATTGTCTGGTTTCTGGGTAACCAGACCTGACAAAACTACATTACTTTAACCAAGAGCAAAGGTCCCACGGACAGCTCTGACGGACAAAGGCGAATAGAGAAATCATTTCACGTCGAACTATCAACGTTTGAGAAGAAGGGTTATTTTTCCCACATCTCACGGTAGAAATTATTTCATCGCCATTTTTGTGTTTTTAGTTTGAACTTTGAAGTTTTGGAAGAAGGAATTAAAAACACTTAGAATATACTTTTTGCCGGCAAAATATTGATGCTTTAATCTGACATTGTATATATGATGAAATCCACCAATAATAAAAGTAACCAATGTTTTCTATATATTAGTTAATAGCAGCACATATTATGTCTATGTCACTCATTGAAATCAAGGTGGGTTGTCAGATTGGAGCGAACAATGGTATATTGTGTAAAATATTTCTAGTGTTTGATTTAATAATATTTTTGGTTATTTTGTTAAGATTCCTTTAAAATAATGTATTTTCTTCCAATTTAGTAAAGTAATGCACTTATTGACGATAACTCGACAAATGTGTATTACCAGTTATTTTCCTCAACTACCTTATTTATTTATAACAGTATGCGTTTATTTTATGATACAAGTCGTGATGACCTTACAGAACGTAATTTTCCATGTTTGTTTCTTCCTCGCCACATTAAATGGCACTAGTTCTGAAATAGATCAGTATGATGAAATATGTATTATATGTTTCCATCGAGATATGTTGTATGTACAAAATGTTACTCATCGATTATTAACGGGTCACATGTTGTGTAATGGTGATGCCCCCCGCGTAGATACCATTGCCAATGATAAAATCCGATAAATTCTCCATTGTTTTCAAAAACATGACATCAAAGGTCAGATTCAGCTCAAATCTTAATAAATTAATGGGAGAGTTTATGGGAAGAATCGTAAAAATGCCTAGTTATGATAAACGTTGGTCATGGCGTGTTACGAAATTTTATATTTCGCTATGTTAGGAATTGAAGTGATAGTGATAAGCCTGTTAACAAAAACAAAGATCGTTTGTGTACCAAATGCAATTCACGTCTTCCTTATAAGTGGCATATCCTCGTATAAGGGGTGGTTCAAATACTGATCACATTATGGATAAATTTGCCAATTTTTAGATGAAACATTATTTCGTCCCGACGAAGAGGGGGGAATCCAAAACTTTTGTAAAAGCGCCTGATCTGCATGTTATTTATTCATCTCAAAATCTGCAAAGCATTTAGTAATTCGCATATTTCAAGTTTGTGAATCGGGATGCTTTTAAATTGACTTACGACTTACGGTTTTATTTCAATGGTTTTTTCTCCGTTTGTGATTAAATATCAATGCGTGTGACAACTTTTTATAAGATTATATCAAACCCTCGATGATAGTCTCACACATTTCAAACCTGTTTTCAAAGCTTTAATAGTCATTTTGTATCCTATGGAGAAATATACATAAAAATTAATTTTATGGTGAGTCACAAAATATATGAAAAGACACGTTAAGTTGCCTTTTAAAAACAGTAAAACAAGCTTGAAAATTTCCCTTGTTAAATACATGTTCACTTTACTGTAACATTCCTTTTAATCAAGTGTCGTAAAAATTTGAAAAATACACATAAATATTTCTCCCTCTGCAAAATTTAAATCTTACATACTATACTTTGTTAGGAAAAGCACTCGTATGCTATCTCAAGCTCTTTAAGGAAAAAAACTTTTACTATTCTTTTAAACCCACCAATTCGAGAGGTCCAAAACGATCAAATTAAAGTTGCATTGTATTCACTCTACGAGTTGAAAATATGAAACTATGTAAATTTCCTTAGAGAAGTAAAGTTTTTAAGTGCAAAATGATTTTTTAAGATATTTTAGGAACGATTTGATTACATTGGGAATACATGTTTTGCTATATTTGAGTTTTACGAAGAAGGGTGAAAACATAAATTATTGCACAATTTTTTGGCAAACTTTCCCGGCGACTCTGAATTTCTTTCATTTAAAAGATTTTTTTATCTACTTCGTTTTTTTTCTCCCACAAAAACAGGCCATCTCGAATAGTTTTCGAGAAAAAACATGAGTTGCATCAATTGGTTCCAAAGCATCTTATTAATTTTTTAAGTGTGGTTATCGAATATAAACAAGTAAGATATAACTTATTACAGTTTTATTTAACAGAGGTAATAGTGCGAATTTTTCATAAAAGGTATTCAATATGACCACAGTTTTTGTTCCTGCACATAACAATACGGCGCAAAATAATACATATACGTAACTTTCCCTAAAATGTCATTATTATTTAATGTCTTTGCAACATTATGAATCCTGTCCCATACTTGATTGGCTTTATCTACCTGACCCTCGTATACCCTTGTTTTTGAAGCTCCTCATATAAAAAATCTAATGGTTTAATATCGGGGGAACGAATAGGAGCGTCTTGACCTCTACTAATCCATCTACCATCAAATCGTTCAAGTAATTTCATACAGAACGCGCAAAGTGAGGTGGAGCACAATCATGCATAACAAACATGTCTCTTCTTACATTCAGAGGCAGTTCTCCTAATAATCCAGGTAAAACGTATCCGTTCAATTTATCAGGCAACCTATATGGGCCAACTTAAAAGTTACCAATAATCCCGATCCAAACGAATTTCTGCACTTTATATGCAAATATGTAGCAATTTTGTGCCTGGAGTATTTTGTGACACATTGTATTACGTATTTTGTCAGAGTGAAAGTGTAAGAAAATAATATTGTTTATAACGAAAACGTGGCCGCAGTTTTTGTTTTTCATCCTTCATTGATTGTTATTCCATTAATTTGAATCCTGGTACACAAGATTTTTCCATCATATGTTTACTGACCTGGATCGAATTCAGTTTTGCAATGAATTCTAGAATGACCAATAGAGATTACTGCCTTATCTATTCACATAACAAATAACACATACAGGACGACAATATGAAACATGTTTTTGTTCTATACATCCGATACACGATTGCCATTAGCAATCAAATTGTTTAATTCTGATTGATTCGTATTGTACTCTTCAACGTCATAGAGGATAATAATCTAAAAAGGATATAACGACATACGCTGTATGCAATTATTCCCTTTGGTGAGACTTTCGGTAAAGTGAATACATATCACAAATGGTTAACAACTTAATTATATACCTAAATATAATACAAAGAATACGCATGATAGCGAGTTCGTTTTGTGTCCATGTTAAGCTTTCGAAAATGTTTATTTTCTTCATCAGAACGTGAACTCGTCTTTCAGGGACCAGTAATCCATAAAAAACGGAGGAAAACCACTAATTAAACGTTCAGTATCAAAATGCACAGGTCACACTCATAACCGGTCGTAACCACTTTTGACTGCAAAAATCAGCTCGTACAGCTATCGAAAATCCGTAAGTGATCATTCTGCTACGCTAAGTCGGAATTCACATGGCCGGATCTCAGACACAGTCACCGAAAAGTTACTGACCACTGTACGAACAAACCTAAAAACGCCGGTTTCAGGCGAGTCTCCTTTTAGGGAAAAATAAACCATAAAATCTAAAATAATGGCAGCATCACTAAATATCCTTGCCTTTCATTTGATTCGGTTATAGAGTTTTCATTAAATCATGGCGGCACCTGCACGTGATGGGGGTGGCTGAGGATCCCTTGTGCGAACGCTGCGGAGTAGAGGAAGAGACCTCGGCGCACGTTTTGTGTCGCTGTGAAGCTCTGAGCTACTATAGGCAGACTATACTGGGGTCCATTACTTTGGACCCTCAGGACGTAAAGGAGCTTGGACTCAAGGCGATTCTCAACTTCGCTAAAAGGGCGAGGCTTGTGATTTAAGTATTGTAGAGGTGCATAAGGGCCCGCTTAAGCGGCCTATGCACTGGCTCCTTATGGTGGCCGGGATGCCTCTAAAATTCAAGATTCATTCATTCAAATCAAATTTCTGTGAGTAGCACCCGCATTACGTTACTGGAAAAGTGACATTATATCGATTTTTTATGACATTATGTGGGAGTTCCTAGCGGCTACCTAGTGCACAAGTTGACATTTTACAGATATTTATGATATTATATAGGGTTTTAACGTAATAACCATGCGTATACAAAAAACCGGCTTCCTAGACTATTGATTTTAGAGGAAATCGAGTTGTTTTTAGCACTTTCATCAAAAATAAAAATAAACTGGACCACCCTGCGGCTACCTAGTGCACAAGTTGACATTTTACAGATATTTATGATATTATATAGGTTTTTAACGTAATAACCATGCGTATACAAAAAACCGGCTTCCTAGACTATTGAGTTTAGAGGAAATCGAGTTGTTTTGAGCACTTTCATCAAAAAGAAAAATAAACTGGACCACCCTGTTTTCGTTCAGCAGAGGTTTCTCTATATCATGCAGCTTTTAGAGCATTCCGTCGACAGAGCATCTCTTTTCAGTTAATTTATTCTATTATTTATCTCTTCTCGTGGTCAGTTGATCACAACAAGATATCAATAACAACAGATACAACTCTCGGGCATTTTAGGAATAAAATACCCGCGTTGGCGCACGGTAAATAACCAGCATGGTGAAGGAAGTACTTGTCTCGGCTGTAGCCATTTATTCTTCGCTGATGGCGTGGTCAGTGGTTTTACTAAAATTAATATCAATTTACAGCTGTAACTCGAAAACCGTTTGAGCCAAAAACTTGATTTTTTCTTTGATCTTAATTTCAATAGAAGACATATATTCCCAAAAAAATAAATATGTTGAAAATGCTCTCCTGCCTGAAGGATTTAAGACTGGGGATATTGACAATATTGACAAAAAATAACATTTTGAAAAAAAAAAACAAGAAATTATCATAAATCATTTCTATACACACCATAAAAATCAGACAGTAAGACTTCGGAAACACCTATGATTTTTATTCAATATTCCCAGTCATAAGTAGTTTTGACTTTCATTCCTGCTTAAAACCACTTTTAGGATTGAATAATCATTACCACAATTATTATACAAGAGGAAATATAGATTTTCATTTACAAAATTGCAATAGTAATATAACTAGCAAATCAATATTTCAGAAAGGATTAAGTACTTGAATTTAATAAACTAAATGATGATATAAAGTCTATTTGTAATTTAAAGATATTTAAAAGAAAATTGAAGGAATATTTCATGGACAGTGAAAATTCTTAAAAGATGCAAATTTAGTTTTTTTCTAAATATCTGTATGTTATGTAATTGTTTAGTTTTTTTAGAAGAATGTAATTGTAGCAATCATGCTAAATAAATCTTAAACAAACAAATTTAGTCAAAATCACCTTGTCCAATACTTTGAAGCTAAAAGTGGTTTTGAGCAATGACTTTAGTCAAAACAACTTTTGACTGATTTTTGCTGTCAAAACTACTTTTGCCTGATTTTTGCAGTCAAAAATAGTTTTGGCTGGTTACTAGTTTTGACTATAATATATATATATATATAAAAAATTGGAGTTATAAACACATCTACATATCTGAAAATCAGTAACTCTCATAAAAAATTTATTTTACAATATTTGCCGGTTCTCCCTTGTATTTCCAGGACGACACTTCATTCTTAAATGATTCCAACTATACAGGATGTAAACGTTATAATAGTCATTATGTAAATGGGTGATAGAAGGGGTTAAACGAAGCAAAAAGTTTCATATAACATGGGGGCCAAAACGGCATTATTTTAGAGAAAAGCGACTTTAAAGTAAGATAAAATCTGACAACGCCGCAATGCCAGATTCAAATTATGACGGAACGCAGTGTAAATAAAGATGAAGTTTGTTATTTTTGGCTCTTAGGTATTATTTCAATATTTGATAATGTACTCGTAAAATGCAAACAATTAAAAAAAACGGACTGACCACTAACTGTCTCAGCGCTTCACCTGGTGTGTGAAAGTTTATTGAACGTATTAACAAAATCCACTTATGAATAGGGAACACAATTTGGTACATACATTGTTTTTCTTTTTAAAACCCACACTGCACTTTTTTTGTATCTAAAGAAGGTGTTCAAAATGTCGTCCTCCACTTTCCACACAAGCTTCATTACGACAAACCCAGTTTCTTCTTACTCTAGGTCCTCGAAGTTGTCAATTTTTTATTTCAGCCGCTTTAAAATTTTTTCGCGAAGTTGTGCTTCAGTTGTTATTGGACCAGCCCCATAAACCTTCCCTTTAAGGTCCTCCCCAATACCAGAAATCCATCGGATTGAGGTCGAGAGATCTTGCTGGCCATTTTCGAGGATCAGGAGCATTTTGACCGATCCAGCGATTTGGATAATGTTCATTCAAATACCGAATGACGCCTCTAAAAATACGTGGTGGTGCCCCGTCGTGAAGAAACCACAAATTCTGTCTACGTTGTAATGGCATGTTGTCTAAGGTCTGTTCCAAAAGTTCTGGTAGATTATTGGCTATAAAGCTAAGGGGTATCCTTCTCCTGACCACTTTGAGGGTAACTCGAAAAAGCCAATTACCTGATCGTCAAGAATACCCGCCCAAATATTTATTTTAAAACGTTGGAAATGACCTTCACGAATGGTATGAGGATTTTCTTGGGCCCACGTGTGAGTATTATGGAAATTTAATATCCCGTCTCGCGTAAAAGTACATTCGTCCGTCGCTAGAATGTTTTTAAAAAAATCTGAATTTTCAATGTTTTTGTGCAGAAACCACCGACAGAATGTTAGTCTGCGAGGACAGTCTTCTGGTAACAAGGCACTCGTTGTACATGATAGGGATAAAGCAAATTTTCCCGTACGATTCTATGGACTATGGTATGCGATAGTCCTACGCGGCGGCCTAATCCCCGAGTGCTGATATCTGCATTGATTTTGACGATATTTAAAATTTGTTCCTTCTTCTCTACAGTAACCTGCCCTTCACGAGTGCGAATATTAGTGGGCTGAACACTTCCTGTATCTCGAAGTCTTTGGTACACTTGCACAAATGTTCTTCTGTCTGGGTGTTCCCGTTGGCGAAACCTGTCGCGGTTGGATTAATAAAGACATTATTATCATTATTATTATAAATTGAGCTGCAAGATTTGAATTCTGACGAGCTTCACCGTAAACTAACATGTCGGCGAACTCTTGATTCGAGAACCATTGTAAATAAACACGACACATACGCGAACAATAACTAACAACTGTTACCGTTTGCGATCGATTGCCGGCGAATAACCGACGCGCTTTTGTCATGTGTGTTTTAAATATTCAATTTAATGAAACTTACTTACCGACTACAAATTTTGGCTTAACTTAGAAAAACTTAATACTATTTATTTGTTAATTACCCATTTTAAAAACGTTTTAGATTAGATTATAATAATTAGTAAGATTGAGGTCGATATATAGCACTTAAAGTTGTAAACTATAAAGCCATTTAGACAAAAATCTATTGACTTTTGGACCATGGGTCATATGAACTTTTTGACTTGTTTTGACCCCCCCTATTACCTATTGCAATAATGACTACCATAACATTTTTTTAATTATGTTTGTTACAGAATTGTTTTCCATGCAGATAAATTTGACTCTTATCCATTTTCAGGACAACTTATGGTAGCAGACGTGATCGACTCTGACAGTTGGCGACTGTGGCCTGCTGGTGACAAAAGACTGATGGTAGACAAACAAGTGTACCGTAACCTGAGCACAGTCACAGACAAGGACTTGGATACCGTGAAGAGAAACTTTGAATGGGTGGTTGAACAGTTGGACCACTTGGTACCACCAAACGAACATTTGGTAGTCATCGTTATGGGCAGCCCTGCTGATAAAGCACATTGTGAGAATATACAGAAGTATTGTAATGAGTTGGGACTGAAAAGCGAAGTCAGGTAATCATAGTAGAATAATAACTAGTTGGTTAAACTCTTTTAATAAAATCGTTGCAATAAGTTTCATAATTTGGAATGTGTATAGTATGACGCGTCTTTGCCACTGATACTCTAAACTCTAGAAGATCAACCATTTAATGTCACAACAGATACCAGGGACTACAATATAACGTAGCATTCAGAACGAGCTTTTGTTTTCTTGGTTTACAGCCTCAATAAACCAAACTAGAAAGTGTTTTGTAATCACAAGAAATGTTTAATTTCAGGTGTACGTCAGCTCACAAAACAACTGAATATACTCTTGATATGATCAGTTTCTACGAAGGCTTGAATGTCCCACTTGTATTCATCGCTGTAGCAGGTAGATCAAATGGATTGGGACCAGTGATTTCAGGTAATAATAATATGGAAACACCACCCTCTTGTACAATCTCGAAATTTTCACCTATCTGTCACTAGTTGAGACTGTAACAAAAGGAAACACAACCAGGGACAGTATATCCTAACATGCTGATTTTTTACACACCCTGTATCATAATGCCTCAAACATATTTTTTATAAGTCTAATCCTGCTATCAGAGAAAAAACGTGTTCTTGTTAGGCTTCGAAGAAATGGGAGCAATGAGAAAAACAGCCAATATGCTGGATCCAGTACCAAAAATCATATAACTGTATTGAAGCGTTTTTTTTTTCTCAAATCAGCTCATAGTCTTACCCAAAAACGACCATTATCGAATCTGCGTCTTGCCAGGCCCAAAATTGCGACAGAAGTTGTAACAATTTTATTGAACAGATTCCAAAAACTGTTTTTCTTTTTTTCACATCGGAGCAGGCAGAAGGCGAAATGCCCGGGTACCGCGGCTGCTATGAGGATCCCAATGAAACTTTGTTAATCCAATTTTTGAACTGCCTAAAGTTAGTAGAACTGGAAAAAGCATCCTCTTAGGGATTGTTCCACAATCTCGACACTCTAGGAACAAAGGAGCGGTCGTATCGGCCATTTCTGGATGTACGAAGTTTGACATGGTTAGGATGGAAGACCGAAGTTAGGCGGGTCTGTTTGACAGGCACATCGCACGGTGGCATCATGGAGGAAAGCTCTGAGGAGCAAAGCCAGTTGGCGTAGCGGTAGAAGAGAGCTACATCACCGGTGCAAAAGGGTCCAGAGACTGTCTGTTAGATAAGTTATCGATCAGTTGGGCAGCCCTCCTCTGGATAATAGAGTCGGGGCGGCAGCACCCCAAACGTGTGAGGAATACTCGATGCTAGGTCTCACCTGGGCCTTGCCATCAAGCCCTTGGTGATCTGGACTCCAACCACCCTAAATGAACGGCTTTCTTCCAGAACTCGGCCATCCATAACCGGATGAGCGCTAGTACGTTTTTTGTTCCTCAAGGTACAGTACGGCGGCTTTTTGGAAGCATTAAACTGTACAAGTTTGTTACATCCCCAAGCAGTGCTAACCTCAGGGTCTCTAGTCAGAGAGGAAGTCGCTGGTAGTGTTCTTTTTTCCAGCTCACCGGCAGCGATCGGCTTGTCGCTCTATTCCTGTATGTAGAGTACTGTGATCAGCAAAACTGTGGATTGGATTGATTGTGCAGGAAAGGAGGTCGTTGATATGAAAGAGGAACAGTGTCGGAGCTAAGAGCGATCCCTGAGGAACACCCGCGTTGACGTTGTGGGATGAAAAGGAGAACCTGTCAATTACGTCGGATATCTTGCGGCCAGGGAAAAAGTCAGCCATCCATCTGGAAAGCTTTTCTGTCACAGCTGATCTAACGCTTTCGTGATATCAAGAGCAACGGCATGAGCCTCACCATACCCATAACTACGTTACGTGGTCTAGGAGGTCCCCTATAGATCTCTGGTGCCGGAAACGGTACTGCGTGTCGCTAATCAACCCGTGATGTTCGAGGAAGTCCAGAAGCTCGTGATTTACGCACCTCTCCATCACCTTACTTATAACAGAAACCAGAGCTATAAAACTGTAGTTGTAAGGGTCGGTCTTAGATCCCTTTTAGGGATGGGTTGGATATAAGCAAGTTTCCAGTTTTCTGGAAAGGTGCCGGATTCGTAAGATATCTGGAACAGACCCGAAAGAACTGAAGCAAGCTTCGCTTTTCGCTCCAGAGTTTTTTTAGTCTATTTTGAATGTACATTGCAATTCATTTATTTTTTTCTATCTTTACTTTCAATGCGTGCGAGAGAAAGAAGCGTGTAACACGTTTGTTATGTAACCTGTCGCGTTGCCATCATGCAGCCTCGCTCTGCAAAAGGTTGCGTGTACTGACGCAGAGTTTACGTAAAAACAAATATTTACTATAACCCTGAAATGCTTTAGGATTTTGTTAATAGACGTTTAAAGAAACTTTCAACATAATATACGGCTTCATAAGAACAAACCAAAAACAATTTTTGGAATTAATAAAAAAAAAACATTGTCAAACCAATTTTGATGCAATTTTGAGTCAGGCGACATATGCATATTCGTTAAAAGGGACACTTTTTGAATGGAATTATGGAAAAAGAATTGGAATATTTTTGTGAGCAGATACGAAGATCCTTCCTTTTATTCACAGTGGTCATTTTCTTCAGAAATATTTTCCACCCCCTTTAGGGGGTGAATTTTTGTGCGAATATTTTTTTTAGGATCTGAAAGATTACCTTCTTATTCTGGTGTACCGGGTATACATTTACCTGGTCCCCCCTTAAAGAACACGGGGTAGTAGCGCCTCGGACCAAAGACAATTGTATACCATCTTAAAATACGATAACAACGATAAACGAAGTTGAAAAACTGTTTTTTCTAGATTCTCGACAACCCCGCCATAGGCGGAACTGAGATATCTAGCCACATGAGCATTATTTTAATCGTTTTTTTAGGTAACACCGACTACCCGGTAATAAACTGTCCCCCTGGCCCGAAAGAAGATCTGCAACGTGACGTATGGTCCAGCCTAAATGTGCCCTCAGGCCTTGGCTGCAGTACAGTCGTGTACCCCGAAACAGCTGCTTTGTGTGCCGCCCAAAATATCGCTCTCACAAACTACATCGTTTGGGCCAAGCTCAGAGCACGAAGACTGGGATTCCTTGAAACCCTGCCTAGGGCTGATAAGGAAATAAGAAGCACTCATTGAATATTAAATATTTCGTTATTATATTAAAAATGTGAATAAATGGTTATGGTATGTATGTGGTGTTCTTAATCGCAACACACAGTGTTGTAATATAGCCGCCAATGGTAAATATACATGTGATTCAAATATCGGTTATGTGTCTTTATATACAGTCGATATTGCTACATGAGGCCATCTACAACCTTATTCTATACAGGGTGGCCAATATGTAACTGACTGGTTTGTATCTTGAATATTTGTGAAATGAAATAAAATACGTCCATTTTTTCATTTTCATCTTTTATTGAAACTTGAAATTATGTATAAAAAATAATATCAGGCAAATTAATGTCCGCCTCTAGAAGCCGCGCAAACCTGAGCCCTCTTGATTACATCACTTTTTTTTGTAGGTTTCGGGAGGAATATTTTCAATCGCTTCCGTAATATTGTTCTTTAGGTGCTCTACAGTAGTTGGTTTGTTGGCATAAACTATCCCAATAAAAGAAAGTCAGGAGCCGTTAGATCCGGTGACTTTGGTGGCCAGTTGAGATCACCAAATCGAGAAATTAAATGTTCCGGAAATATAGTTCACGGAAGATTGTTTACCTAGCTGTGTGACAAGATGCTCCGTCCTGCTGGAACCACATGTTTTGCAGGTTAAATTGTAGGATTTGAGGAGTCAGAAAGTTTTGCACCACATCACGCCGCGGTAGCACTCGCCAGTGACAGTAAGAGAATTACCTGCAGCACCTTCAAGAAGTAAGATCGAATGACACCTCCATACCAAACACCGCATCAAACTGTGACTTGACGAGGATGTAGTGGTCGTTGACGGATGACACGAGGGTTCTCTAATGCCCAGATACGACAATTCTACTTATTAACAAATCCATTCATATTGAAGTGGACTTCATCGCTCATTATCAGTTGTCGGTAAAAATCGTTATTTTGGGTATTAAGCTGCAATATTGCATGACTGTATTGTCCGCGACTTTCATTGTCACTAGGGTTAATTTTATTTTGTATGGCCGCAAATGTAAGTCTTTTCTAAAATAGTGCATAATGACATGGGACGAATACCCAGTTCTTGAGAACGATGTAGACGTCTCAGGGCGCTCCACTACACTTAAACAAACTCTCTCGATATTTTGGCAAGTCTTCAACTTCCCCTTTTGTAGGTTCGAATTTCCGCATCAACTGACGAATGGTGTTGACACTGGGCACATTATTTCGACCGAAATATTGCCGTAGCTTCCGAATCGTTGCAACAATCGAGTAATTATTTCAGTAAAACGTTTTAACAATACGGACGCGTTGTGGGGTCGTGTAGCGCTCCATGATGAATTGGACACATGTGCTATAAAAAATACAAGTATTAGAAAAAAATGGGAATGCGGAGAAAATTTAAAATATCGGATATCTGTTTGATCTGTCCCAAAGAGTATAATATAGTTAGTATATAGTATTATATCCTAAATACAGTGCGAGCATTGGCAGAACTGCAGTGTGCGTTCTCACCTAGCCATGACTAGATCGATTAGACTGCTTGTCCAAGACGTATTAAGACAAAAAAATACCTAGATATAAAAAGTTTTATTTTACATATTAACAAGTAGGTATTAAGGAATGTATGTATACTACGCATTTCTGTAAAAATTTTGTATACTATCCACAGCCAATTTCTTATTGAGTCCTTCTGGAACAAATACTGAATAAACACCTATACGTGTCATATCATTTATATTTCTATGTTCATCATCAAAGAACATCATTTCACCGTAGTCAACTCCAGAAGCTTTTTTGATTCTGGAAAAAAATCTGATGACATTTCCCGATAGAAAATGCAATTTCTAATCATAAGGAAGCTTGAAATATTCAGTTTTTGTTCAAATCCATTTTGACAAAATATGTATTTGATTTTTCCTGCTTGAGTCAAAAGGAATGTCTGGCTATATTATACGCTAATAAGATGATTTTATGACTAAAATAACAGAGGAAACAAAAATGGGAAATGGATAATTTGGTGTTCAAGTTGATGATTCTATGCATGTGGATCTCAATACCTGCGAAAGACGCAGCTTATCAGCATACTTTTGAAACTGAGCAGCACTTACGAGAATGTGTAATGGAAGCATGTGGTATGATTACACCAGAAATGTTATGTGATGTTGTGAATTCCAATGTTATAGGATTATATTTACGTTTACAAAATATTTGAACACCAATTGTGAAAAAAATAAAAATAATGTTATCCTGAATATCACTAGATTAAGCATTATTTTATAAAATTTTACCCCAAGATGTAATCATCTATCAGTAAAAAAACAATTGAAATGCGTAGAAAAAGATGCTAGATAAAGGGTGTACTTTTTTCGGGCCATATAAACAATAAAGTTGATGATGGTTTCTAAAAAACGAAACGTTAGGCACAAAATTTAAAAACACCATCACCAGTGCCTAACAAGTGCCAATGAAAAAGTTCCAATAGTTTTTTGATATACCTTAATATAAAATCAGTAAAAAATAAAAACGATTTGGACAAATTTTTGTTTTTCCCAAATACCTCAGTAAGCTGATGAAATATAGGTTTCTCAACAGCATTTAAAGAACGCATTTTTTTCCTAATTTAACCTCAGGTGTATCTCCCACAGGTATGAAGATTCCCATGCATAGGATCCTTATCTTGGACACCCTGTGTACCTGTCAAAATGTGTAAACTTTTGTCCAGGATAAATTTCGATGTACTTAAAATATTTGTCCCAACCAAACAGCTTCAGTAATGTCCTACACCCATGGTTATCTGAACATCTAGATGCTACAGCAAAGGTATACCCTTGTTCATGAAGATATTTGAGAGTTTCTGGAACTTCATGATAACACTCAACTTTGGTACCCAATGAATCTACTATATGTCCATCAGAGCTGAAAGTGAATAAATCATTTAACAGTTTTAGTCGACTCTCATCAACTTACATTTTTATATATGTACCTACATGGAAATACAAAGGTTACTATAAAAGTTTTGCATTACGACAGGAGGCTGCATGTAATACCGGGTTTACATGCAGCCCACTTCCACGGCAGTGAGCAGGGAATTGGGCAGCGCGAGTATGTAAATACGCAGCTCGCATTGCCAATGCTCATGCCGCTGCCGCTGCTGCATGCTCCCTTCAGTGGCGGTTTTTTGGACGGAAGTCAAAGGACGAGCAGCAGCGACCTTTTACATACTGCCCGCTGTACCAGGCAGTCAGTCCTGTACTTACCACGTGAACGCAGCGTATCTTAACCTAATTTATTCTATTTTTGGCAAAAAAAACTTTGAATAAATAATGCAAACCTTTGTAACTGTCGCCAGTCTCCAAATATCGTAATGTTATGGCCACTTTTGGTGATATTGGAGCTCTTACTTTAGTCTTTTTTTTACCATTTACCATTTTTTCAAGTATAAATTCAAAATCTATGCGTGACATCCTGCAAAAATTAAAAAACTCGCCGGATTCCTCACAGGTCAATTCGTTGAAGAAGTTCTGCATACCTGCTCTGCAAAAAACATCTCTCAAGTCAATTTTCAAGGTTTTAACGAAATAAAAAACTTATGAAGTTCTGTTGCGATGAATCGCTGTCATCCACCACTGTCTCTTTCGACGTCGTTTTTTTTTCTGCCACTTTCATTTGTAAAACATTATTATAGTTTTACAAACTCAAAACACAGCGCAGTCCTCCATTATTGCTGGAGGATAGTGCGGTTAGTAGGGTGACTGCATGTAAACAGTCACTTTTTCCCTGAAAAACTTAAATTATCTATAATTATACCTATATATAAAAAAGGAGATCCTAGTGTCTTGCTAAATTATAGGCCAATAAGCTTACTTTCTTGTTTTGCAAAGCTTTTTGAGTTAGTGATGTATTCAAGAATTATGAATCATATGATGATGCAGAGTCACAACATGGGTTTGTAAAAGGGAAATCCATCAAATCAACATGGCGATAGGACCTCTCCTCTTTTTGATTTTTGTGAACGATCTGTGTGCTAGTATTACAAGCCCAAATAATGTATGCACGAATCAATACGCTGATGACACTAGTGTACTAGTCGCTGGCCAACATTTCAACCATTTAGCTGATAGTACTTTGAGCCTCTGCGAGAAAGCGTTTTCGTGGTTTGCTCGTAATGGATTATCTCTGAATACCTCAAAAACAAATGCGATTGTTTTTAAGTTAAGAAAAAATCGAAGCTACAAACATCACCTTAGCAGAAAGAATAGAAGTCCCTCTGACAGACTGTGGAAAATTCTTGGGAGTTCATATTGACCAAGCACTTTCCTGGGCTAAACATATCATCTAGAAAAAAGGTTAAACAATGCATGTTATAGTATTAGAGTACTAAGCAAGTACCTAGACCTCAAGACTGTAAAAATGGTATATTACACGAATTTTGAGTCCATTGTACGTTTTGGAATAATTTTTTTCGGACATAGTAACCATACCAATAGGATCTTTTTAGTGCAAAAGCGAGTGCTGAGGTGCATCCTAAAAATTTCCTCTAGAGAGACCTGCAGAGGAAAATTTAAGATCAATAAAATTTTAACTGTAGCCGCAATATATATTCAAGAGATTCTAATTTTTACATTTAAAAATATTGACAATTTTATCGGTAACCCACGAAGTGACTATAACACAAGAAATAGAAATATAAATCTTCTGTATCCAGTCCATCATCTCGCGGTTACCGAAAAAAATGTCCATTACAGCTGCACTAAAATATATAATAAGTTACCACAAGAAATTAAACGGTTGGAAGATATAAAAGAATATAAAAAGAGTATTTACCAATTGTTAATGCACTTAGAACCATATGACCTGCAAGAATATTTTGAAATGTAATATCTCTATTATGTTATATGTTTTGCCTCTTTGTTTTTTCTGTCTTGATGACACTGTGACGTATATTTCACCTAACAGAGTGTAATACATTGTAATCATGCACTGTTATTTTGAAATAAAGATTTATTATTATTACTTGCTCCAAATGCTGCCGTGGAATTATGCATGTAAGCGCGGTATTACTGCATGTTGATACATGTCCATGAGTGCACAGTAGCTGCCAACAGCATGTCTGTTGATTTAGCTGTTCATTCCTATTGATAGTGTAAAATGCGGACTATGGCATCATGGTCACGTAGTGAGATAAGGGCAGTTTTACGGTATAACTTTACGCGTGGTTTAAGCATAGACCAGTGCTCAGAAAAAAGGACGCTTGCATTAAAGGGAAGGAAGGCCACGAACATCAGCAACAGAGGAACTGCTGCGTGGAAAATGCTTGATGAAGACCGCAGAGAGACATACCAACAGATATAAGAGATCTTACACCTTCATGCACCAGCAATTTATTCAATTTTGCATGACCATTTTACATGTAAGGAAACTTTGTTCTGGTCTGGGTACCGCCTAGTCTGACGGAAGAGCAAAAGACTCGTCGTACGACTTGGTGCGGAAAGATGCTGAAAATGTTTGACCAAGGCTCAAAACAAAGTTTGGTTCTTTGATGATGAGGACACGCCCGTAGAAAATCCCGGTCTGTTAAGCAAAAAATGATAGCTGTATTTTTCAAATCGAGCAGGATTGTGGAGCCTGTCATTTTGGACACACAGAAGACAGTCACAGCTAAGTGGTTAAGAATGGAAACTTGGTACTTCCACCATGACAACGCTCTAGCTCACCGCGCCACTACTAGACTGAAGCTTATTGAATACCCTCCTTACAATCCAGATCTTGCTCCCTGTGACTTTGCACTGTTTCCGCATGTGAAAATGAAGCTGAATGGAAAACAGTTTTCTAGCGATGAGAACCTTCTGAGAGCTTTGGACGAGTGTGCCACACTCCTGGGTGAAACTAGGCGGAGCTGGTTTAAGGACTGATTTTGGCGGATGGATAAGTGTATTGAATGTGGGAATTACTTTGAATGAAGTCAATAAATAAAGCTGTATTGCAAAACTTTTATAGAAAGCTTTGCATTTAAACATATATTTACATACTAAATTCTAATCATAATAATATAAGAAGCTGATCTAGATTTTAACATACTGGAAAAATAACTTACTGTCTTTTGAAGGGTCCTTGAATATGTGTGTCAGCCCAGTAAGGCCATAGTGTATAATCTGAAAAAAATTGCAACTATCAACATTTTCCTGTGGATATTGAAGGATACAGTGATACAAGGGTATGTCAATAGATTATGTGTTTTTTGAAGTGTTTTGAAGTCATGTTTGGCTCAGGTCTGACAAGAATTTTAAAAGACATGATGTATCCTGTTAACCAAAAGACTATAATAAAATGATTGCAAAAATATTATTAAACTGCTGGAGGGTGTACAGTTCCTGATACTATAGGTAAATAGAGAAGTTGATATTGTAAGTGTGGAATTGATATCTTTTGAGAACTTGCATAGCACTGGGCTTTCTATAGTTAATTGACAGACAAAAACATTAATAAAGAGGGGAATATATTGTTACAAGACAGACATGTCACATTACATGGTCCTATGATGCAAACTAATTCTCAAAATTGAGATAGGTACTTATAAAAAGAGAACTGTTTTTACTTAATATGAAATTACCTTTTCAAAACGCTCGAAAATGAATAATAATATAATCTGTGTCTCCATACTTTTTTACAATATCTGCCACTGTAGACTTTGCGACATCCTGAAAACTCTTTCCTTGATGAAACAATTTTATGATTTAAACTCTGCACCATTTGTTGCTTTGCCATGCGAAGTTTTAAAGCAAATTGATTCTTAAATCAAACCGTAAAATTGAAGTGTACGTAATCAAAAAAGTGTTTACTTTTTTGTTTCCATGGCCTTTTATTTTGTGTTTAATATAATGTGCAACATTTATCTGTCAGCAAAATGTTGCATTGTTATTAATTAATATTAGTTTGATTCTATATTTCAGTAGTATATTACTTGAATAACATAAATCAACATAAAAACAAAACAATAATCTGAAATATATCATAGGTACCTACACAGTTTTCGGTGAAATTATATTTTTTTAATTTGCATAAGATGGAAGTTTTAGTAGCATTTTTTGCAACATACCCAAGTCAAAAACAATCAACTTCAATCTTTTAGCAGGTGTAGCCATTTCAAAATTCCATGAATAGCGTCAAATATAAACGACCGACTATACCCTACAATAACCCTACTTCAGTACTTCGTGAGTATCCAAGATGAAAGTATCCATCACGGTAGAATGACAGCTAATAACTCAAAGTTCCCCATATCAGCACAGGACACCTAATTCTGACGGATCCGTCAACGTCAGCTGGTATTAGTCAAATTCAAGCGGATAACCAAATGAAAATGGTATTTACCATTTTGGGTTGGTATTTACCGATCCGTTCAAGCGAGTGTGGTTATCAGTTTGGTTATAAGATCCGTGACGTCATGAATCAGCTGTTATATGTCATAGTTATCACCGCAAAATTGTGGTATTTACCCAACTCAGGAGTAGTTTTATATTTCTGGTTATTATTTGAAATGTGACAAGTTAGAATTTTGCCGGGTATTGGATATTGTTATTGTACTTCAGCTTCATTTTTGGGAAACTTGATACAGGCTGACTTCAGTTTTACCATAAAGTGGAGCACTTTATTAGTTATACTCATTACTGTTGTTGGGGACACTTTAAATGTAGTTCCTATGCTTAACAAAGTATCCTGTGTAGCCATATACCACAAGAATACTAAAATATGGCCATATAAACTCACTAGATGATGTCCACCTGTATACGGTTTTGCTTATATCTTTTTTCATCATTTCTGCTGAATCAATAAGTGTTTTCTTTGACATGCGGAAAACTTTAGAGAATTGAAAGTTGTCATAGCTACAAAGCCATGGTTCCATCATTAAAAAAAATTTTCTGAAAAGATACATTTCTCCCATGAATTATATGAAAGTTGTCTTTTTAAACTTTCCATACACCGTTGTACACAAAAAAGCACTGATTATTAAGTGATGATATAAATAATCAGAAATTATATACCGGCTTTTCTAAAATAAACAACTTGCAACAAAACCGCGGTTAAAACCAACGCGTTCAAGCGATTCAAGCAACTGACGTTATCAATCCGTGTGTCATCTTGAACCATATTATAACCGCAGTACATAACACAGAAATTTTGGTTATTCGCTTGGATTTGATTTTAAATTTGTGTGCGCTACAGATTCATTTTGTACTTGTTAACAGTTCTTGTAATGCGGGTCCCACACCATGCTTCCAACGTTGTTCACAAAGTTCGACACCCCACAATTGGCACAGGATGGGATGAACTTTTTAGTCTGGAACGTTCGAGGCATGGTGGTGACCACGTCTATTATCGATGTCAGTGTCGCGCTTGAACCTTTACAACTGAAGGAAAAGTTATACAAAATGAACGATGAAACAATAGCGCCGAAAAATAATTTCAGATCTGTCCTCAGGGATCAAGACTCTGTCTGTCAGAAGCCTCAAAAATGTCGAAAAACGAAGTTCGGCCGTTTTTTGTTGGTTTTTCGACGATAGCTCCACCGCCACTATAGCGATTTTCAAAAACTGCAGAGCTTTTTCATTTTCACAGTAGTAACCTAGGGTCAAAATTTCATCAAAATCGTGATAGTACTTTCAGAGTTATCATTTCTTTAATCTTTTTCGTTAGTTATGAAATGCAAGTCAATATATTTTTCAATTAGTCTTGAATTGCAACGGGACATTATAATGAAACAACTGTAAGCACTTGATAATTCATAGTTTACAAAAATACATATCCTTAGGCCAGCCATAATGCACCTGCGAAACGTACAAAATATTATCAATATGAAAAAAGAGATGTTATGACAGCCTATGTTTTGTATGTATACTAATTTAATTCATTATTCTCAAAAGTTAGTTACGGAACATACATTATTATGAATAGGTAGGTATTCAAATCAAAATACTTCCCACATACCACTACTTCACCACAATCACAGCAAACGAATAAATAATGTTTGTCGCCGCTACTGGTTCTGACCTCAAACCATCAAACACACGACATCTCGTGTGGGAGCGTAACGAACCATGCTTCCAACGTTGCAAGATCCTTTAACGTGGGTCAAATTTACCGACAAGAGCCCGAACATGCCATGTGGCGAACGTTGGACACATGCAATCCGTCGGCGCTCTGCCATACGATGTGTTGAATTGCCATGTGTCCAACGTTGTAAGGCATGCGAGTCGCTTCAAGAGCAGACGCGCGGAGTGGGAGCTGGAAAGGGGCGAGGCTGTACTACCCGGCCGTACCGTATCGCCACAGCGAGGTACAGTACTCGCACGCTTTAGTCTCTCCGGTCAACATCGAGTCGCTTCGAGAGCAGACGCGCGGAGTGGGAGGTGGACAGGGGGTAGCTGTACTACCCGGCCGTACCGTATCGCCGCAGCGAGGTACAACACTCGCACGCTTCAGTCTCTCGGCGCAGCGGAATGTCCACGCGTTCACAGCTCCGTGCAGAGCTCTATTCGGTTTAGCTACTTTTTTTTAGTAGTGGTGTTCACTATAGGGTTCTCGATTGTCTCTCAGTTGTGCTTTGGTGTTTTAGTGTTGTGACGTGGGTGTCAAGTGTCTCCAAAGTGGAAATTTTGACAGTCTTCTAGAGTCTAGGAGAGTATATTCCAATAGTTGTCTCGCGTGGCCATGTTATCTTTACTCGAGCCGAAAAGTTCATTTGCGTACAAAAAACAAAATGCTATAGACACGTTTCACTAGATTTACACCCGACTCATTATTGCCAACGTCGCAGACTAACACAAAAATGTCACTTGCTGATCAGCTGCTCACCTCAGTAGACGTCAAAGAGTGATGGATACTCGTGAAATACGGTATATAAACTTTCGTTCGTCGTTGCCGTTGATTGTTCGACTTGGCCAAGGTTTAACTTTTGCAGATGCAGTTAATCTCAAAATATGCAAGTCATTATTAAAATAAATAAAAGAGCTGTTAGCAAGTAAAAAATAAATCTGTAGCGTACCAAAAAACAAAATTCGGATTTGTCTGTATACCTGGCGTTGACGGATCCGTCAGAATTATGTGTCTTGTGCCGATATGGGGAATTTTGAGATACTAGATAATCAGCTGTCATTCTGCCTTGATAGATAATCGTGAAATAGGGTATACCCTATACCTATACTTAAAAAGTACTTAGGTGCGTTATTAATATCACAGTAAAGTATTTACTTATATTTGAATTATACGTATGTATTTATAATCGTTAATGTTGGACCAGAGAACAGTTGCATGTATCAACCCTGTTCTCAGCTCTCTGTCAGAATATACACTTAGAATAATCACGGGCATAACCAAGGAATAACCGCGGTTTAACAAGGTTCATCGCTTAGAATTGCTTATAGAAACTACCACCTGAGCACGGTAACAATTGGTTTTTAAACAATAATATTAGTTTTATTTCTTGTTTTGCAAGGCCCGCACGTCTCGCAAAATACCTCTACGCGATAATCTCAGTCCGTAGCACGACCACATATCCCAACGAGAATCTCATTTATGTTCTGCAGAACATCTTTCCGAAAAGAGAACTCCCCGAACATCTCGCAATTTTTTTTACGTATGTCCAGACGCATGTTACTTTGGAGATTGTTCGGGCGAAACGTTTCACTACACATCGTTGTTGAAACTGTCATTTTGTCGCAACTCTGTCTTAGTCCGTTATGAATCACCCCTAGTGCCTCGGTTCTCTCATAGTGTGAATAAATACTTTGCAATATGTGATATTATTGGAAAATATTTTGGCCAGCCCTACTATATGCTCGCATGTAACTTCTTATCTTAAAACAAAACTATTATTTAGTCGCTAACCGCTCCTCACACGTAGTAAGGTACACAAAGGCCCGTATCGTCAGTCGTCCCTACAATTGTAGGGCGCCTTTATGGCCTGCTTGATTGTCATAGTTTTCTACTTCTCCGTGTCAGAAATCTATTTTAAGGTTATGATACAAACATCTATTTGCATCAAATTGTGCTTGCTTTTGAGTTATATCATGTTTTATAAGCCTGAAATTTCCTACAATTTAAAAAGAAAACATATCTTCACAATGGGAGAGCGCTGACGCTGACACGGGACAAGTGTAATCTCGAAATTTTTGAAGGAGAGAAAAGGGTATGACAATCAAGGAGGCCATAAACGCGCCCTACAATTGTAGGGACGACTGACGATACGGGCCTAAGTAAATACTTCGGAATTGCAATAAATCAAAACACACAGGCCAATAGATCGAGTGAGTTCTATCCCACTTTCTGATATTACAGAGCGAAAAATACGCGAATAATTGAAGTTATTGGGGATATCAATTATAAATAGAGGCGAATTTGACCTACCACGTTTTCCGCGTTAGGGCGCGGCACAGAACGTCTTGCCCACTTATGCTAGAACAATGCTTATAAATATACTTTCAAACATGAGGCATGATCAAACTGTTAAGTTAGACAGTATATAGCTAGAAACTATAACTTACCTTTGATAAACCATAATACTAACGAAAAATGTTGAAGGCATGCTTAGTATACATATAATTTTCTGCACCTACTAAAGGAACTGCTACATAGGATTAATTCTAACTCCATGCCCTTTTATAGAATCGTCAACAAGTGTTGAAGTCAGACCATTCTTTACCAAGATACATGTTACACCTAAATGACTAACTCTTCTGACATTGCGCTCTTCATCATCAAAAAACAACATTTCGTGATAATCTATTTTTGACTGATCCTTTATCCTTGAATAATACATATCTGAAATCACTAGCAGTCAGAGGCTGAAAGTTAGCACTGTCTAGAGTATGCAACTGCTGAATGCCATATTTAAATGTAGGGACAATAACTGATAATTATCATGGACCTGATAAAGCATATTCTAGACAGCATGAATTTGGCAGCTGAGTGCTAGCGAACACAATTGAAGATCTAAGTGGAAGAAGGCGGTATGTAGCAAAAAGTTACTATTGAGATATCAGGTATGTGTACATATCGGCCACATACCCCCTTCGTCCATTGTCGAACTGCATTTCTGATGATACATCATCAACTAATATATCTCTTATTAAGCACGTTATATATACTGGACAAGTGTAGCAAGACTTTTTATTGACTCATACCACCTTCATTCATAATAAAACCCAGACTTTGGGAAAAATGTCACATACCACCTTCTTCCACTTAGCTCTTCAATTGTATATTAGATCATGTAAATCGTACCTTTGAAAATGCAATGATTTGTGTCCAGGATATATTTCTTTAAAGCTAAAGAAGCTATCCCAGCCAATTATTTCTAAGAGTTGTCTTGCAGCTTTTGTTTTTGCAATTCTAGATACAATGGCTAAAATAAAACCATCTTCATCTAAGCTTTTGAGAATGCCTGGTACTTCATGATAGCAGTTTAATTTAGTTCCTTTAGAATCAACAATATTTCCATTAGACCTAAAATGAAATTGTCTTAGAAAAGTGAGTTCAGTTTTGATTTGTTTCATCTTTTACCTTTTTTGGAATGGTGCTACCACATCTGTATCCAGCCTAAAAGGCCACAAGGTATAATCTGCAAATATTTTCAGATATAGTCAACGCCAAACAAAGTGGCGTGCACGTCATCAAGGTGCGTGTGTTGAAAAATTTACATTGTTGCCAAACTTTTTGTAAAATAATAAAATTTATTATTTACATATCTAGGTTTATAAGCAATATTAACCTCAAATGAGAACAAAAATAATAGTATAATAAAATTATAGATCTGTACTTGCATAATCATTAAGTATGACAATTATTGATCAGATGACACTATGAAACTACCATATTTAATTGATAGCTTAAAGGTACTGAATAAAAATCCAAATGGGGTCCTCCAAATTTTATGCATGGTATTTATTTTACAGAATTCATACAGAAAAATGCATTCTAAAATTAGGTAAGCTACTGGTGTAAGCTTTTCCTGTACAATAAAGTTAGTCGGAGTTTCTTTCTTCAGCGCTGTCTGAATCTGAATCTTCATCACTCTCAAAGTTGATTATTAAAGGTTCGATGTCTGGTCGATCAAAAATTCGTTCTCTTTCATACCATTTAAAAATTTCTTGCTCAGTATGTCGAACACTATTTTTCCACATGTCTGGGGTAACCGTTTGTAGAGCCTCGTTCCACATATCCAAACAGTCTTTTTCACTGTTACCATCTCTACCAATATGTCTGTTATAGTAACCTTTTGCTATGCCCCAAATTAACTCAATAGGGTTAAATATACAATGGTAAGGAGGCAGACGAAGAACTTTGTGCCCATGTTGTTCCGCCAATTCATCAATCACGTATATTTTAGGTGGTTTGTTTCTAAAAAAGCAGTTATTTTAAGAATAGGAATAAACAAAAGAAATATAAACTGTCGACCAAAATATATATAATTAAGAAGCATTATGTACCGAGCAACAATACTCAATAGCTCTGTTTTAAACATTGTGTTTAAAAATGGTATGTTTTGATTTGTCAACCAGTCTTGGATATTTTTTTTTGTCCATGCATTGTTGGGCACTTTGTTCAATATCATGCTGTGATAAGGGGCGTTATCCAGTATAATCATAGATGGACTCTCCAATTTTTCTAATAACTGATGTTGAAACCATTTCAAAAAATTGTCCTGGTTCATCTCTCCATGGTAATCGCTCAATTTTGTTTTCGAAGAAAATATCGCTTCACTACCCTCAATAAACCCATTTTCATTTCCAGCATGTAATGTAATGTATCTAAAATATATTAGTTTTAAATTTTATGGTGCAAATTGTGTAAAAGTACATACCTTTTACCATCTGTTTTAATAGCTTTCACGCTTTTTTGGTTTCCATTTTGCCAAGAGCAACCTATGGTCCCATTTTGAAATATCCAAGTTTCATCGAGGAAGACAAACTGGTATAAGGCCTCAACCTTGGCTTGATTGTATTGCCTTAGAAATTCCACCCTTTTCAAAGCTATACTTGGTAGTTCCATGAGCCCTTGTCGCGGATTGTCCTTAAGCCACTTAAATCCAAGATCTCTAAGCAACCGCCTTAAAGACGTGGCACTACCATCAAATAATGCCCTATCTCTTAATCGAGACCATAAAGTTTGTATCGTAACTTGTTCTTCTGAAACCATGTGTAATATGACATTATAATTTAGTTAACAAATTAATGCAAATTTCTGATAAGTTATTATAATAAGATCTTACTTTTGTGATACATATTATAGATCACTTCTCGAATGGCACTTGTATCCAATGTCCCTGTGTTGGTTACACGTTTAATATAACTCCGCTTTTTCTTGGGCGATTCTAAATTTGCATCACTTTTCACACCCTCGGAAATACGACTAACTGTCCTTAAACTAATTTTTAAAGCAGCAGCAACACGCTACAAAAAATGAAATAAAATTTCACTATTATTAATATACATTACATATAATCATTAGTAACCTACCTCTTGAACAGCATTTAAAGGCAACAAAGGCCCGTTGTTGTCCCTTTCTTGCTCAAAGTAGTGCATTAACGAGGCCACGAGTTCCTTACACCGACTATTTAACTGTTTGGGCATCTTTATATACCAAAATTGCCTTTATCTACTCGTAAAATGAATAATTTTGTTTTGAAACAAACAGTTGTTAATTTACAGTATGCGGGGCCAAAGGATTTATAAAGATTTGAAATGCCACAAATTGATTCAGTGTCAAAATTAATACAAATGTCAGTTCCCAGTTTAAATAAGTTTCAAGGTGACAATGTGTCAACGCTGCGAAATCGGTTTAGTGCGTTTACATGTCGTTAAGTGATTGGAGCGTTTGCAAAACATTTTATTTCGCATAATGCGTCTAAATTTATCAGAAAGCAACTTATGTGATATTTTAATAACAATGTTTATATGACTATTAACCATAATAAGAGAGTAATGACCATTTTACAATTTATATATCACATTAATATGAAACTGCAATAGAGCAATTGTTTGTGATAGAAACCTAGGCATTAGGTCGGGGAATTTTTATCGTGATGACGTGCACGCCACTTTGTTTGGCGTTGACTATACCTTATTATCCACTTTATATAAATTATAACTATAACTGCAATAATACTGACAACTAAACAGTTACCTAAATCAAAAGCTATTAGTTTCAGCCTTGTCTCCATGTCTTATTTAATCTGTATTTTCAAAAAGTTTCGGTTTCGGAATGGGATAATTCCCACTATATCTCCAGCTAAAAAAAAGGAATTTCTCTGCAGGAAATATATACACGGAGGACTCACAAAACTACAAAACAACCTAACTATTTTTGCCACAAATATTACACTGAACATTGAACATAATAACCAAGAAAGAATGCACAATGCAGCAGACATGCAACACAAGAATCAAGAATGCAATGGCCACATCAAATGACAGTTGACTTCAAGCTAGTCGCAGGTGGCGTGACGTGCGTCATTTCGTCATTTGAATTGGGAATGACATGTTTCCTGTCAAATTGCTTTGAGTTTTGAGTTTTTTTCCGTCTATATGTTTTGTGCTTTATAACCGCCACCCGCACCCCATTCATTTCTAAAGTGTTTTCAAAAGCCTATAATTCAAGTAAAATTATTTTCTTTTATGTGAATATATTCAATGGTAACTTTTTTCTCCACTTCTAAAATGTCAATGACATATAAACTCAGTACTGTTTGAACTATTCATCATTTGCAAGGTAAACATTATCTGTTGTTCTTCTGAAAATGTTCAAAAATTCTTCGCAGTAGCCTCTTCAACATGTTGTATCACTTTTGTTACATCATACTCACATTATAACATGTAATTTTAAAAATCTAGGGAGGATATTCATCAAAAACCATGACTGTCACGATAAAATGGAAACTACAGCATCTACCAACAGAAAACATTATTGAGATAAATAAGCCACTATTTGAAATAGGAAGGAATCCATCATGCGACATCAGCACAAAAAATGATCTGATATCTCGCAGCCATGCTCGTTTTACAATTCTGGTTGATGAAGCACTGTATCTCCAAGACACAGGAGTATGTATAATATATACAGGGTGTTGATTTGATAAGAAATCTCAAGTACCACCTTATCTGTGGTACTTTCATACTGTTCAAGGTTGTCACTACTTGATTCCTAAAACAAGTTTGTGCTTTGTTTACATCAATTTTTTAGTGCAAACATCAAGTTTAATGATTTTGTAAATTCACAGTGGTCTAGAAGTTATGCAGTTTTGATTCATTGATATCTTGAAAAATTCCTCTTGACCCTTTTTTTTTATTAAATTTTACCTCATACACATAACTTATTGAATTACTAAGGAATAACAAAGAAAAAAGTCTTTTCATTCCAACTGCATACCTGTTACCACATATAGCAATGAATAATCAAATCCAAGCGAATAACCAAAATTTCTGTGTTATGTGCCGCGGTTATAATATGGTTCAAGATGACACACGGGTTGATGACGTCAGTTACACGAATCGCTTGAACGCGTTGGTTTTAACCGCGGTTTTGTTGCAAGTTGTTTATTTTAGAAAAGCGCATATATAATATCTGATTATTTTTATTATCACTTAATAATCGGTGCTTTTTCGTCTACAACTGTATATGGAAAGTTTAAATAAGAAACCTTTCATAATATTCATGGGAGACATGATGGAACCATGGCTTTGTAGCTATGATAACTTTCGATTCTCTAAATTTTTCCGCATGTCAAAGAAAACATTTATTGATTCAGCAGAAATGATGAAAAAAGAAATTAGCAAAACCGTATACAGGTGGATATCATCTAGTGAGTTTATATGGCCATATTTTAATATTCTTGTGATATATGGCTACACAGGATGCTTTGTTAAGCATAGGAACTACATTTAAAGTGGCCCCAACAACCGTAATGAGTAAAACTAATAAGGTGCTCCACTTTGGTAAAACTGAAGTCAGCCTGTATCAATTTTCTCAAAAATGAAGCTGAAGTACAATAACAATATCCAATACCCGCCAAAATTCTAACTTGTCACATTTCAAATAATAACCAGAAATATAAAACTACTAGTGAGTTGGGTAAATACCACAATTTTGCGGTGATAACTATGACATATAACAGCTGTATCATGACGTCACAGATCTTATAACCAAACTGATAACTACACACGCTTGAACGGATCGGTAAATACCAACCCAAAATGGTAAATACCATTTCCATTTGGTTATCCGCTTAAATTTGATTAATGTCACTGTTTTTATGAGCTGACATCTACTATAACTAAATATTATCTATGAAATGGGTTTATTTATAGTAAACATATAAATGCCTGTGTATGACTTTGAAGAAAAAATATTTAAAGCCATATTTGTTCTGTTTTTTACATAGATTTGATTCACAATGCTCATTGACCATATAATATAGATGTGATCAAATATCTGCTATAATCTATTTCGTCTGTTTCTAGAAGGTGAAATATTCAAGTCTTTACATTTATTCAAGTATCACTGTAATGACTAATGACTACTTTTATTTTAATTGATTTGTTATTCATTGTAGTAAGATATTTTTGTCATCTGCATACCATTAGACTCTATAACACTAGGATAACAATTGACCTGACAAACAAGTTGTTAACACAAAATAAACATGGTTGAGCTCTATAATGCAATCGTGAAAAAAATGGTTCATGTTTTTGACACACACAGTTTATCCGAATCTACATTTTAGTGATATCATTTACGAGTAGATGATACCACCACCTTGACACAAGACATTTTTCTAACTTCATTGGAAATTTTCAAAGACCTCAGCAGAAAGGCAGTGGGCTGAAAGACATCAATTTCCAATATCTCCTGTTATTATTTCTCAACAGAAACTGTATTTTTCACTTCTAGAGCTCAAATGGTACATTTGTGAATGAAAATCAGATATCCAGCAATGAAATAGTACCTTTGAAGGATGGTGATATTGTTAATTTCGGTACAAACACGTATTACACTTATAAAGTGATAAAGGCAACTCTTTTGCCTCCACCTGTACAAGTAGTTGAGGTAAGGAACTATTTTGTTTCTGGTTAACCAAACATTTTACCACTGTTGAAACAGTATTTTTGTTTAAAAAAAAATCACAATTATACATAAAGTAATCCACACAAATTAATGTACAGATCTGGGCAACTGTAAACGACTGTTCTGGACTATAAGAAAGTTCTACAATAAACCAAATAATAACTGTTTTTTTTTTTTAATTCAAATATCACGTGAATTTTGTTGCATGTAATAAAATTCTCCTTTCCAGGAGCCACATACAAGCAGCAAGGTTCAAGAAAAGAAAGAAGAGATGCCATCTGCTTCTAATGAAGTTGAAGAACCTACAATGAGAAATTCTTCTCATTTTTCATCGTTTCATGATGACTGTATAGTAATATCAGATGATGATGATGATGACCCATTTGCAATGAGTCAGATCTTTCAGATCACAGAAAAAATCAAAAACGAGTCATGTCTTGCTGATGATCCCTATATGGAAATCAAGAAAGAATTGGCTGATCTGGATTACTGTGATACATTTGGAGATCCAATGAATGAAGTCATTGACTTGGAGCCGTTCGAGAATACAAAAGAATTGTTGGACATATTGGTAAGGATATATTTACCTGCTATTTTAGATGATAATAACAGTATTTATTGCTTGACAGAGCAATATAAAAAAAGTATACTATCTTCAGGTATTTTGTGACACATTCTTAGCAGCACACTGTAGTTCCTTGAGTTCACAATTGAACATTAAAATATGAACACATTACTGATAATGGTGATTTCAACATAAGATTTACTTAGCAGCAGTAAAATAAAATGTTAATGATTGTCTAGAGATAAACTGAGGTACGTTAAATTTAAAAGCTATAAAAGATCTCGACATTAAATATAACATCATACACCAATTTATAAAGGAATGACATTGCCCATCTGAGCTCCAAGCTGTCAATGTCAAAAAGGCTTAAAAGATTTTACTCGGTTCCTTGTTCTGGGTATATATGGTGCTTACTAAACACTAGATATTTGAGAATACTTCCTTTGTAGTTTATCAAGTCTTTCCTTGTTTTTTTTTATATCACAACGACCACGAAGCCTTGAGGCCTAAACACCCGTGGAGTACCGTGGGGCTATAGGGGGATATAGGGGAAAGGGGAGGGGCGCTACACGGGCGAATACGTGTGCATGCAACATGCACAAATTATGGCCTGCCCACGAGATCCACCGGCTGGTACCTCCGCGTTCGACAGTCAGAGACCGTCTACCACCTAGAGACAATCACAACATCCATATCTACAACTATGCAACTGCTGTTGCCTGTGACACTGATAGTATGGGTTCCAGACATTGGAACCGTACTCCAATTTTGAACGTGCATTAGAAATAAATAGACATTTCAATGCTGCTTCACTATCAAATGATGGACAATTTTTAACAACGAATCCATACATTTTGTATGCTTCAGAAATTTTGTTATCAATATGATCAATAAAAATGATTTGCGAATAAAATAATACTGCTAGATCTTTAGTAGTTAAATGACGCTCCAAAAAAATACCACTAATGCTGTAATCAGTAAAATTGGTAGCTTTTTTCCTAGAGAAAGTGACTACTTTGTTATCTATTATTAGCACACCATAACTGAACTTTGTTGAGTATGACCTCTGTAACTTATCATAACCTTCGATAGCAGTTATTTTACAATAAAAATTAATTTTCCGGTGTCAATCACATTATACAAATCATTAATGAACATATTAAATATTTGTTGGCCTAAGTTTGATCCTCGTGGAACACTTGAGTTTACACTATATGAGATGTGCCCATTATAATATAGGTACTGTGAGATGTTATCTATTGGATGATGTCATTATTTGATGAAAGAATGCTATTAAAATCTATTCTAGATTATCAGGTAATGTTAAAAGTGTAATCTGGATTATTCAGTTCATTAAGAATGTATTTCAAAAGTAACGATTCAAAGTAAAAAAAATCAGAAGGCTTGGACAGCATTCAGTCACAGAAACTGGTTAGACTCTGTTACTTGCTTGGCCATTCATATAGAATCACTGTGAGATATCTTATAACATAGTGTAGCTAATAATCTGTGGTATAACGTCTATGGTATGGGGTGTGGTCAATATTTTTGTTGTACAAATCTGTTATAGTGACGTGTGTTTATGATTTGCACAATTTGACCGGGTTTTTCAGAATATATTTTTCATACACTATTTTCATACTTATTTTGGGTGTGGAGTTGCAAAAAATCAGGTTGTTTTGTGCAGTGCAGTATCAGGCATAACATTTCGCAGGATAATATATTGTAATTACGAAATGCACAATCGAACTAGGGCTTTCTAAATTGCTGAATTCCTGCTTGTTTCAATAGACATATCTGTGACAATAGACATTTTTAACACGTGACTTAGACGGTTCCTTATTAGTTGGAGGACCACCATTTAGTTAAATGTAAATTAGCGCCAATGTTTTTGCTCATTTCTTGTAAACCCTTGGTGTAAATAGTTGGGAATCTGTTGGAAATTGTTTCTGTCATTTAGTTATTTGTGAAGAACCATTACCTTCGTTTTTGCTGTGGTGAATTGCTTAATGACAGGGAATATAATAGCTACGAGATTTATTGATTAAATCAGTGTAGAGGTGTCCCTCAATGGAAGAACAATAAAAATTTGCAAGAATTCGCACTATCTTTTTTAAATTGTAACGTCTTAAGAAATAAAATTGATGGAACTAGAATAGAAAATATCTCAGCTGTTCATGAATTAGCCTGGAACAAATTCTTGCAGATTTTCATTGTTTTTTTTTCAATGGACCCCTCCTCAATGATTTTATCCATATATCTTGTAGGCCTTTGCACAGAATATTGAGTTTTTAGGAGAGTAACATGGATACATTTATCTGTTCCCCATAGCCATTTTTATTGTAGTTACATATCTTGAGACAATCGAGAGATTTCGAAAAAATTTGCAATACGAAGTAGGCCCTACCTCTAGTAGCAAATTAGGTGAAAAGGTACATGTGTCAATATATACAAAATATATACAGGGTTGTCGGGAAAGTAATAGGACTAATTTTTGTCTGCCATGACTGTACTTCGGAGCGTGCGCGCACCGACTGGATTCGGTAGAGGGCTTTCCTAGCTAACTAATGAGCGGCTGGTCAGTGGTCTCCGAGCACTTGGAGAGTCAGGACAGGCATTTTCGCGCCACGTGTTTCTGTGAGTGGTGCAAGCCGGAAATGCAGCGTTCGTTAGAGCAGAGGTACGCGATTAAATTCTGTGTGAAACTCGGTAAATCTGCGACAGAGACGTTTGATATGATCAAGCAGGCTTACTCAGGTGTTGCTTTAGCAAGAAGTGGTGTGTTTCGGTGGCACCAGGCGCTTTTGGAGGGCCGGGAAGAGGTCGCTGATGAAGACCGTGCTGGAAGACCTTCGACTTCGATACACACAGATAATGTGACTCGTGTGCGCAAAGTTTTGAACTCAGACCGTCGACTAAGTATTCGTTTAATTGCCCAGATGTTAAATTTACCAAAATCTGTGGTTCATGACATTGTGACACAGCATTTGAACATGCGCAAGGTGTGCGCGAAGATGGTCCCAAAAGTGCTCACTGACGACCAGAAATTGCGGCCAGTGGAAGTGTGCCAAGAAAATTTGAACATGTGTGAAAGTGACCCCCAATTTTTGAATAACGTAATCACAGGTGACGAGTCGTGGTTCTTTGAGTATGATCCCGAGACAACGAGGCAATCTTCCGAGTGGCACACGACGGCGTCTCCTTGCCCAAAAAAGAAGAATGAGCAAATCCAACGTGAAAATGATGCTCATTGTCTTTTTTGGCATCAAAGGCATCGTCCACCATGAATTTGTTCCTCCTGGACAAATCGTCAACGCCAAGTTTTACGTGGAAGTGCTCAGGAGACTCAAACGAAGGGTCAGTCGGGTCCGACAAGACATCGCAGCCGACTGGAAGTTGCGCCACGACAAGGCCCCGGCTCACACCGCCTTTCTTGTGAACAGCTACCTGACCAAGGCCGGCATCCCAACGCTTCCGCAGCCGCCCTACAGCACAGATGTGGCCCCCCGGACTTTTTTTTGTTTCCTCGCCTGAAAAGGCCGATGAAAGGCAAGCATTTTGAGACGACAGAGGGGATCCAAGCAGCATACACCGCGGCTCTTAAGGATATTCCGGAGAATGCCTTCCGTGAAGCCTTCAATGCTTGGAAATCGCGCAGGCAGCGCTGCATCGACGCAGAAGGAGCCTATTTTGAAAGTTTTTACAGAATTGTAACGATTGGCTCAATACATTTTTTTAAATCGACTGAGTCCTATTACTTTCCGGACAAACCCTGTATATATATACAGGCGCCGCGCTGGGCAGTTGAGCTGAGCTGTTTGTATATAAATAGAATTTGAAAAATCCGAAAAGGACACTTTAACACCTATATGTATATCCCAAAAATCCGAAGGAATTAAAAGTACATTTCTATCGCAATAACGAACTCTTCGATTTGAACTCAATTTACTCTGATAGTCTTCAAGATGCTGCTGATGTTTCGAGAGTGTATTCAGATCGTTTTTCTGGATGTTTCCATCCCTTGCCGCGTGGGTTTGCTTATCGCGTGCAAAGACTGTTAGTAGCAACGTAGTATGTAGAACCCTAGGCAGCCCCGAATGTTGCGAATTGAGGAAGACCATAACTTACGTGTTTTTAAATCTCACGTCCACAATTTCGCATAGTTCCTATAAAGAATGTGTGAAAGGACAGTGTTTCAAATTTCAATTCACAAGTAATTTCTTTTCTCCGCTTTTTTTTTTTAATTTTCCGCTGCTGTTGCGCTTAATTTTTGTTTTCTCAAGCGTAATTGTTTTTTAAAAACAAAGTCTCATTCTGTGTGAAAAGAGTTTGAAATCCGGCGCTGAGAGACATTTTGCATTGTTAATGCTCATTGGCTCATTTTCTTCTAGGAATCCTCGTCAAGAGATCGGAAAAAAGACAATGACGTGAAAGACACTACAAAAGCAAATAAGTCTGTAAAAACTATCGACATATTAGACGACGAGATTGAAATAAGAAACAAGGATCACAATGCGCGTGGACCTAGCAACTCGAAAAAAATGAGTTTGGTTTTGGAAGATACACCTCCAATAAGAAGAATATCTGAAAGGCGAAAGAGCACTGGATCAAGTAAAAAAAATGATGATATAGATACGACACCATCTTCAAGAAGAAAAAGTACCGACAAAAACCACTCTAGTGCTTATAAGTCAAAGTCTAAATTCAAAGTACCTCCATTAATTGAAGCACATGCACTGAATGTTGACAAACACAAACCCAAATCAAGGCCCAGCGCTGAAAAAGAACTACCATTAGAAAAACCAGAAGAAAAAGCGAGAGAACATGAAAGGACTATCAAAGATACAGTTAAGAGAAGATCAAGCATCAGTACTCCAAGTCCCGTCGCACAAAAGAAGTTGAAGACAGGGACTAGGACTAGTACACCAAGAAAAAGTAAGGGAACAGATCAGCCAGCAATCGATAAATCTACCAAGGAAGCTATAAAAGAAATAAGGTAAGAAGTTGCCCAATGTGAATTTAGTATATATGTATATACCATGAAAATGGTAATGACTGCTAAGCAACTGCCACTTTGAGGTTGTGGATAATGCCCTCTTCAAAATATACACTATATTAAAAAAATTATATCTAGATATAAAAAAAATAAATTACTCTTATACTAACGACAACACAACACGATATGGTTTTCTTTATTCTACTGTAACATACGTTGTGTCTCAGTTCGCGTAAAATGGCATAATAATAATTAAAATCAATTACAAATTGTGAACAAATTGATATGCTACAAAAGGAAAATACCCTCCTAACACAACATACATACAGGGTTCCAGTGGAAAAGTTCACTTTTTGATTTAAGAAAACATTACAAACTTATTGAAAAGAAAATATTTATTACTATCAGCATATTAGTAAATTCGGCGAGATTTATTTCTCAAATATCATCCCGTCCAAATGTTTGCCATCCCTTCGAACACACTCTTCTAATCGCGCGCGCAAATTCTGAAACACTTTCTTGCAGAGTTCCGGAGTGTTGTTGCTTATTTCTCGTCGAATGTTGTCTTAAGCGCTTCCAGTGTTCCTGGATTATTGGAATTCACTTTTGACTTTAGATAACCCCACAAAAAATAATCGCATAGCATGAGGTCGGGTGACCTAGGAGGCCAGTAAATGTCTCCAAACTTCAATATAACTTTTTGCAGAAAAAGTGCTTTCAGCGTGTCCATGGATTCTCTGAAAGTATGGGCAGTGGCCACATCCTGTTGAAACAATGTGTTTCTGTTAAATCGACGTTCTGTCCTTACAATAGGAGCAAAAAAATGTCAATCATGACCTTGTATCGCTCGAAATTGACTGTCAATGCATGACCGTTTTCATCTTCAAAGAAATACGGCCCAATAATACCACTAGAGGATTTGGCGCACCAAACAGTCAGCTTTGGACTAAGCTGTTGTGGATGTCTCTCTTTTGGGATCGTTCGTATCCAGTATCGGCAATTTTGCTTGTTCACACTGAACAACCTTCTCGAGCATGCGCTGCGTAGGTAAAAGGCTCAACAACCGTTCAACACAAGATTTCCGTAATACATAGTCACTTTCCTTTAAAGCATGGACTGACTGGATTTTATAAGGATGACAACCCATTTTTTTCTTCATTATGCCATGCAGTGTTGACCTAGGGATTCCCAAAGCAGCGGAATGCTTCCGTACAGAACGTCGAGGATTTGCAATAACCGAATCACTTACTCGTCGCACATTTTATTCGGTTGATATGTATTGTTTGGAGTCAGGAATGGGTTGACTAAGAGTAGAGCCTGTTTCACGGAACCTCTTTTTCAATAGGTTTTTACTTGGGGCATCTGTTGGTCGGCGAATCTTTTGTATCGTGTACAAATTTTCCGAAGGGCAGCTCCGTATGAATCACCACTCTTAAAGTAAGCCACGATAGCAAAAGCACGTTGCGCTCCGGTTCAACGTTCAATTGTGACTATTTAACCCGAACACCGAACGATCAAGACCTCTCCCCACTTCCTCGCGTATACGGTTGCCGCGTAATTCAAATTTGAAATGTGAACTTTCCCACTGGACACCATGCATAACAGCAGTTATAATAAACTGATAGGACTAAAAAAATCTGTATAATATAAATATAATATGTACATTAATTTTGGATCGTGACTAACAATGAAGAAAATATATTGTTAATTTTTTATAAATTACTTCATGTTTATATCTTCAAAAGCCTCTCGTATAAATCTATTTTTAATGACGATATTCAGTTTTTTCTAATATATTTTGGTAAGTTATGATATAATTTTGGAAGTAGGTAGACAGAAGATTTCAACATTGTTTCTTTTTTTGGTGTTGCAATAATTATTTGTTTATTTTTATTTCCAGTATCATATTCATAATTTTTATAAATGGTCGAATGGTTGTTTATAATATATATATATATATATAACAACAAGTAGGAAAATATTGGGCAAAATCCGCAAAAAGGAGGAAAGTGGATTCGAGCAGAAAATAGGATAGGTAACCCGAGCGATACGTATTTCTGCTGGTTGGCTTCATCAGGCCCGAAATGAATGCACATATGAAACTACAAAAGTAGATACACATGCCCACACATCCGGATACGGGTGTAACCTGAGGAAACGAAGTTGGAGGGGAAAAAACGACACACGAAGTCCACAACAAGAGCCAACCTACACATTGTAGTATAAAATGGCTATACGACCTCGAATTTTCAAGGAGATGTCTAACCACCACCACGCGGCCGGTTATAGCCACTTGCTGTGGTACTTCAAGCCCAAAGGATCTACAAAGAGTATATGATCATGCGGAGAAAAGTATATACTTTTCTCCGCATGATCATATTCTCTCTCTCTCTATATATATATATGGGAATATCGTCTAATATACTTTCTTTTTGTTAGTTCATTAATTGTTTTACTTTTCTTCTTAAATAGTCGACGTGAGCTTATTTGTTATAGTTATTCACTAGGTCCCAGAAAGCTATAGATCTTTGTAAGACATTTTTTCTATTTTTGGGACTTGTACAAGATTTTCTTCTATGTGTCATAATTATGCTTCACTCTTCTCATGTTGTTTCTGCCAGTATAAGCGTTGTATAAGTATAGTTGACGAACATCAAAAATATTTGATTCTTGGAATAACTCATTTGGACTACAGCCACAAAAGTGGAAATAACTCCTGAACATAGATATATATATATATATATATATCAGGTAACCATAAGATCGTGCGGTTTTTAGTAGAAAAATAGAAATTTTTATTGAGAAACAATAAGACACTATTTATACGTCGAACGTTCAATGACCTTTTGCCAACGTGGAACCAATTTGTGTATGCCGGCATTGTAGAACTTCCTGGATTTGGAGTAAAAAAATTGGCGGACTGCATATATTACACCATCTCGAGTTGTCAACTGTCATACAGTTGTCAAGAGACAAAAAAGGTGATAATTACTGGACAAAATGTCGGGAGAATATGGCGGGTGCGGTAACGTTTCCCAGCCAAGTTCAGAAAAATTTTTTCGGGATACTTTTGCGGTATGAGGCTTGGCGTTATTCTGCAAGAATATCACTTTCTTCCGATTGATCAAAGAAGGCTGTTTCTGGATGAGTGCTGTTTGTACTCGTGGAAGCTGCTCAGAATACAAGTAAGCAGTGATGGTTTGACCCCTTTCCAAAAACTCATAATGGACAATTCTATTTGCTGTCCACCAAACACACAACAAAACCTTGTTTGGATGCAAAGAAGCCTTGGGCAGGTTAATAACCGATTAAGAAATGGTTCATTAACGTTGCGTGAAATGTTTGCTGAACAAATGGTAAGACGACTTAATTTGTTATCATTTGTCAGTTCATGTGGGACCCATTTGCTTAACTTTCACGTCTTTCCTAGCTGATGAAGATGCAAACGAATAGTTTCAGGTCTCACTCTGAACATTTCTGCAAGTTCTTGGCACGTTGCCCTGGAATTTGCGTCCACAACCTGTCGAAGATCCTATCGATCAACAACATCCATGGCAATGTGCGATATACAGCAACCGCACGAACTTATTTGGTTACCTGATAGTTGTAGTCACCGTTCTTGGCGGTTACGTCATCAACGCCATATGAAATAAGTAAACAAATCGAATCTCCGTATCATAGGCGGAACACTGTGCAGAGTAATCTTCAGCGCATCTTCTACTCTCTCCAGTACGCATGTGAGTAACAGAGGACCGCTGTTCATTCTTTTCCTGGAAATACTCTAATTAATTTAGAGCTGTCGGCCTTCTCCATTGATCTTAATTCCAGGCATTGGTCTTTTGAAAGATTCTCAACACTTTCCCTCCAACTGGATCATTTCAAAAAGCACAAAATTGCGATGAAGAAGTACCTTCATCGAGTTATCAATTAACTCTTCAGGATACGACCAGAACGATAGTTACTCCATCAACTAGTGGGCAACTTCAAACTGACTAGCGACGTCAGCGTTATCAACGGTTGAGCAAATGGTTGTGTACTATTTTTTTTTGTGTGTGAACGCTTGCACTTGAATGTCTGTGAGGAGTCAGGTTGCATTTAGCACTTGCTTCTGATGAGATCGGTACCTAACATGAACTAAGTGAAATACAAAAAAAGCTGTATACACTTTAAGAACCTGTTCAATAACATACAATATCCTTTTAGGAAACAGAAATTGAAGGAATTGGGTGAAAAACATAGTGAAAGCAAAGGAGATAGTAAACCAAAAGTGGTCACTCAGGTTCCTAAAGTGAAAGATCCTAGAAGAGGCGCATTTCTATTAGGTAACCCTCCTACAAAACCTTCTGTTGTAAAGTCGCCTGCGGATAATCCAAAGAGGTCATCTGAAAGGCTAGTAGAAAGAAAGAAACGTTCTTCTAACTCAGCTGCAAAGGATAGTGAGATCCAGGACAGGACTATTAGCAGTCAGCTGAGTCCCAGCGATCAGCTGACGCAAAGAGTAAGTTCATTTCCATACTGTAAATAAACAATGTTCTGCTAATAATATATATGTTAAATAATGTCATATTCCCTGCATGAGTTTTTCATTTAAAAATAATTCTCTCTACACATCACACACTGCTTGTTCTATTCCATTTCAGCCTCTACTCATCCTTATTGAAATACGATTTATATTGATCGGCTTTTCAATTCCAGGTCCCAGCGATGAATAGTACCCGCGTGCCAAGAAGCGACTTTGATTGCATCACAATGTCAGATTTTATAAATAGGACTCAAACTCGTCCAGATTCAACTATGCATGATCGAAAAACGAGATGGACCCAGAATCATGTCTATCGGGAATTGGACAATGTTGACGAGCACGTCCAGCAGATCGTGTTCTGGAATGTTCGGTAAGGGATGTTTCATAATTACTACCAATGATTTGACCACCACAGCAATTTTTACGTATGTGTATCTAGTTCTAGTTGGTCTAAACCTGGACGACCGGAATTCTGTCCCTCTTTTTTACAATCTGTCAATCGTCTTGATGTCTACGTAGGACACGAAATAAATCTTGTAAAGGGTGTCTCAATAAGAGCGTCGGATTTGATTTTCAAGAACAATTTCTTTTCGAATTAAGCGAGTATTTTTATGTCAACATGAAGAGGAATAGTTGCGATTAAACATGAAATAGATGGCCACCACGAAACCTCTGGCGCATGGTCAGTCTTTTCTTAAAATTCTGGATAACGTTTTCGCACAACTGTGGCTCTATTTCGTCGATAACGTGCCATATCTCTTCCTTAAAGTGTTCAACTGTTTGTGGCTTGTTCGCATACACCTTTTCGTTCACATAGCCCCAGAGAAAGAAGTCCATTGGCGTTAGATCGCACGATCTTGATGGCCAATTTTGATCGCCAAACTGAGAGATGAGACCGTCTGGAAATTTGGTCCGGAGTAACACCATTGTTTCGCGTGCTGTGTGACAGGTCGCGCAGTCTTGTTGGAAAAACACATCCTCCACATTTTCGAAGAAATACGGTCGAATCATTCCGCCACTCCACAAATTCGGCTGTTCTGCTTATTGACGTACTCAGTCAGTTGGAAATGTGCCTCAACACTCCATCAGAGAAAATGATTTTCTTCGAGAAATCCGCATCAGTTTGGTGGTGCTCAAGTGCCCAATCAACGAATTCACGGCGCTGCGCATGGTCCGTTGGCTCGAGTTTTTGCATCAGTTGAACCTTGTACGCAAGCAAGCACAGATCTTTTTTCAAAATTCGTTGCAGAGTGGGTCTGGTAAGGTTCAATTCTCGGCCACGATGTCGAATGGAAGTGCCTGGATTCTCGGACACACTTTCCCGCACTGCGACAATATTTTCGAGGGACCGACCAGGACGGCGACGAACAGTGGTCTTCACATTCAGCAACGTGAATTTTGTCTCAGATTTTGTAATTAAACGGCGAACTGTCGACTCATTTGGCACATTATTGCGACCGAAAATTGTACGTAATTTGCGAACTGTTTCCGCGTAATTTTCTCCATTTGTCACGTGCCAAAATCACTTAACCTTTTTTTATTTATCACTTATCAGTAATTTGAATTTCTCCTCATTGATAATGGAGTCCCCATTCCTAGGCCAAACCCCTTTACAATGATTTTCTTTTTGCAAATTTAATAGTTTATTGATTGTGTAATTTCACTTGTATTATATCTTTCTTTCTCAGTAAAAAACTCTGCAGTTTTTCTCCGTTAGTTGGCCTCCTATAAAACATCTTCTTCAAGGCCACTCAAGATTCTTTCCTCTAGAACGTTACGTATTCTGTGATTCGCTTTTCAGCTTCCATTGAGGTCGTGGTGCAGGGGTCTTTTTGTCGTTTCCCAGACTCTAGGATATTAGGCCCCTAGCACTCATTCATGGACTAGCACCCTTTTCTTTTTGTTGCGTAACTTAAGTTTAGTTATTTTGGGTGCTACGTCTTCCATTTTTTTTATGGGATTTTGACCCTCAGCGAAACATAAGAAAGTCCAAGTGCTTTCTCCCCCAGTCAGTTGCATCGTTGCAGTTTTGCAAATTGGAAGCCATCCCCTTGAAAAAACCCTGATGTGAACAGGTAAAATGTCATCCTAATTAACAATTTCATAGATCTTTATACATGTATTATTGCTTATTGAAATTCTTAGAGACTTCTTGATTTTATCAGACATTTTACGTATTCAAATATGGGGGCAATGCCTACATGGCACCTTCTATTACATTGATCATGATTTTGATTTTTGAGCTGCCATAACTTTTTAGAACAAGGGTATATTAGTTTAGTACATTTTTATCTTTTTTTTGCCTTTGATTTACTTTTCTTATACGAAAAAAATGTGCATGGTTTCGCTTCAAGTGCGATTGTTTTTAATGAGTAGTTTTATCTCAGACAGAGAGTAGAGTAGATTTTTAAACAGTCTTTCTCTCTCTAGGGTTTTTTTCCTGTTACCATCATAATTTTTGGGACCGAGGCAAGCAGCCCCTGCCCGGTGACGTGTCCACTACTGGCTTCCTTTTTTTTGTTCTTTTTGACCTGGTATACATCTCGGCTGCGCCTAGCCGTAACTGGGAGAAGACCTCCGCCCAGATAAGTGTAGTTTAGGCGTAAAACATATATGTAAAGCGTATACCAGGGTAAACGCCAACTAATTTTGTTTTTCGACATTTTTTTTGTAATATCCTTTCTCGCACTCCAGTGGTGGAGCACATGTGTGTTTTGTTCTTTTTAATCAATATATTGTGATCCATTTGATATCTTGTTTATTTGGCTCTCTCTGTGTGTACTGTTAGTTAAATTTCGTCATTTCTGTTAGGATTCTCCTTTTGTGTGGTGGTCAAGCAAAACAAGTTCCGACTAACATCTCGGGGAGTTGTGGCTTAATCCGTCCTAAGTCACTGGCGCTCTTAACCCGCCCATACTTTGCGCTTTATTGAGTTAGGGCCTACATTTGCACGCTACTAGGCAACTGTTTTGCGTGGACCAACCGTTAGATAGCATTTATCATTGTGTTTTATTAATTAACAAAAAAAAAGGCGTGGCACATTTTCGTAGCGAGTTTTCACAATAATGAAACTTATTCGACAACAAAGAATGAGAAAAGGTTTTTTCTGGGATTCATTCGAAAGTGTTGGCAGGAACAAAAAAACTATTTATACTCGTATATGAGACCTACCAAATAATAATATGTAAAAAGATCCGACTAATAGCAAAAAAGTGATGGCCGAAAACCGAGGCAAACTGCAGGTTTTGGCACTTGTTGGTAATATGACGATGGTTTCTCGCAGATATTTGAAATTCTTCAAATTCGTAGGATTCGTACTTCTAAGTAACTACAACAAAATTTGAGTAGATTGGTCAAGAGTAGTTTTTGAGAATTTCTGATTATTTATCCCAAAACACCTGTTTTCCGGCCATCACTACCGTTTATTGAGGGTATTTTATAGCAAAATACACTAGTTTACCTTACCGATGTGTACCGCAAACCATTCCGGAAGATAAATGTTATTTTTATGCAAAAAGGATAAACAAATTCAAACATTTCGTATTTGCGAGTAATTCGCAACAAAATGGTAAACACATCCGCTTTGTTTTAAAATGTGAATAGTAACGTATGTTTTTCGAATATCGTAGCGCATTTGTTCAATTGCTCACAAATACGAATTGTTTGAATTTTTTAGAAGAAAAAAACGTAACCTTTGTTTTTCGCATAAAAAAATACATCTTTCGGAATGGTTAGTGATTCATATCAGCAAGATAAGTTTGTGAATTTTGCTATAAAATGCCCTTTGAACGAACCCTGTATATTGCTCAATAAACTAATAGTGATTGCTGGAAAACAGGTGTCTTGGGATAAACAATTAGAAATTCTCAAAAAACTACTTGACCAATTTACTCCAATTTTGTTGTTGTTATTTAGAAGTATGAATCCTATGGATTTGAAGAATTTCAAGTAGTTGCGTGAAATTATCGTCGCATTACCAAGTGCCAAAACCTGCATTTTGCCTCGTTTTTCGGCCATAAGATTTTGTAGACGGGTGGTGGGAAAAAGGCAGATTTTGATAGAAAGGAACTGCCCTGTTTTAACGTTTTGACGTGTATTGGCATCAACAGCTAGCAATTGACATGTTCATTCTCAACCTTACGTATGACGGATATGACCCTCAGCCTAACTAGCGCCATCTACCTAGCTTTCCAGATTGCTCCCCAGACACTAAAGATAGGCTATTTTTACGGAGGACTCTTTGGTCATAGTCTTAAGTACTTCAATATCAGTCATTTATGTTGGATATTACAATTTATTATAACGATCTTACTAAAATTTAGAATCAGTCGAATTCATTCTCACCATGAGGAAAATTCTTCTAATACACCGAATTTTGATATCGAGGTGAATAATAGTATTAGCAGATACAGTTATCGAATTGTATTTAAATTTTAAAAGTGACGTATTTAATTTAGAGGACTACCCACCTGAAATTGTAATCGAAAAAACCTAGAGGTTTTGATACTGATGAATCATGTACAGTTAGCAAAATATTTATGAACAAAGTATCGAACGAATTATATCCAACAATTATGATAGGTGTCTTTGTACGTTTTGGGTATTCCGCACATTAACTGACGAATAGAGGATCAGAAGAGTAACTTGGTGCAAAAAAGTGCTGAAAAGATTCGAACTTCGAGAGCATTATATATGACATCTAACACTTATCTCGTGGTTTTCATGTCGATAATCCCCCCATGTTTGTCTCTCGCCAATGAATTCATTCTACTTTTGTCATATTGAAGGCCACCGTTGTGACAGAAACGTATACAAAGGATAGTATAAAATTTTTGCAATACAGTTTTATTTATTCACTTCGTTCAAAGTAATTTCTACCACATTCAATAAACTTCTCCATCTGCCAAAATCAGTTCTTAAACCAGCTCTGCCAAGTTTTACCCGGGAGTGCGGCACACTCTTTGTTCCAAGCCGTCAGAAGATCCTCATCCCTAGAAAACCGTTTTCCTTTTAGCTTTATTTTCACATGCGCAACAGTGCCAAGTTCGCAGGGAGCAAGATCTGGGCTGTAAGGAGGGAGCTCAATAAGTTTCAGTTCATTAGTGGTCAAACACTCGGTGCAGGCTTTGGCGCTGGAGCGTTGTCATGGTGGAGGTACCAAGTGTCCATTCTTGGCGTTGGCCGCAGGTTTTTCATAGACTCTACGACTTTATGCAGGCACTGTTCCGTGTACCACTGACTGTCTTCTGTGTGTCCAAAATGGCACGCTCCACAGTCCTCGATTTGATAAATACAGCTATCATTTTTTTCTCAACAGATCGGAATTTTCTGACAGCTGCGGATGTGTCCTCATCATCAAAGACCCAAAGTTCATTCATATGACAAAAGCTTTTCTAATAATTTTTTGTTTGGCACAGATCATTAAAACTATCTTTATGAATGTATGTTTTAGATGGATTATCGAGCAGCAGGGCCAGGAAATAAGCCCACCCATCAACAAAGAGAATGAAGAGATGGTTCCTTTAGACTTCCCTTCTGTCGAAAAATACGCTCGGATCATGCAACCGCTGATAATGTTGGAATTGTGGAATTACATATACCCTTCCTGTATAAACAAAAATAGGTAACTTTTTATTGATCCACATGATAAATGCTGGATGATAAAGTCAGCAGACTGTTTTTTATAATTTTATTCGCCTGCTTATTTTTACTCGTTCTGTTTTCTGAAAAGTTCGTTTTTCTCATTCTTTTAGCATTTTTCACAATGCCCCCACCCCTCCGCACTGCGTAAGTTAAGCTACCCCCACCCTCAACGTTCAATTTTCAATTGCCAGCAACATAGCGATGGTGAGAAAAGCTTCCAAACTACTCAGATTTACGCATTTTTTTTCTTCCAAAATGCCTATTTTCTCAGTTTTGTTTGTTTGTCTGTTTGTGTTTGTTTATGTAAGATTTATTTAGCATGATTGCTACAATTACATTCTTCTAAACAATTCTTCTTAAACAATTACAGAACATACACATATTTAGAAAAAAAATTGCATCTTTCATTTTCCATGAAATATTCCTATATTTAATACAGTAGTTTGAAATGGAACCACGTGTATAACAGTCATTCGCTTTTTGTGCTTAGTTATTGTTACGATCTTGTGATCATATTGGAAACTAGTAAATGAAACTGATTTTTCTAGGAATCCCTTTCTGGCAACGTTGAAGCATGTACGGTATACGACTGAAACAACCTATTTAGAATGTGAATGTGAGTATAAAATTTCAATTGAAGGTAGAGTACGTTCATTTTTTACCTTTATCTCTCTACAGAATAAGCAGCCGTGTGCAATTGAATGCGCAGAGTACATAAATTTATTGATGATGATTGCAGCAGATTGGTATTCAAATGCAGCATAAATAGTTGAGTTTATATAAGATAAGCTGAGGTGGTATTTTGGCTGGTACTCTAATCATTTGGTAGTTTTGGGTTTTTTTACGTCATGTAGCACCCAAAAAACTTGATATCCCGAATTCGATTATTTTTCGATTACAATACTTCCTTGCTAATTAGCGTGAAATCAAAATACAGGTCTTGCGCGATGTAAATTTCGTGATCTGTGAAATAATAATATTATCAGATAAATTAATAGGGCGAAGAGGGCCTATAGAATGGCCAGTTAGAACTCCTGATTTAGCGCCATTAGACTTTTTTCTATGGGGCCATTTGAAATCCGTTGTGTTTACTCCCCAACCTGAAAGTTTGGATGAACTTCGTCAACACAACATCGAAAGCTGCTATGATATCACACAACATGTTTTTGGAAATGTCCGTCAGGAATTTGAACATCGCCTATATCATTGTTTGGCCAATAACGGGCAACATTTTGAGCACTTATTGAAATAAAAAGTGATATTTTCGTGTGTTTTTGTTTTCTATCTGCACAAATTAAGATCAAGATTTTTCTATTTTTCTTGAAAATGAATCGACCGATTTTACAAAATCAATCATCAAAATAAAGGACTTTGAAATACCTTTCAAAAAAGCTTTAAAATGAACACCCTGTATATAAATGTGAATGTGTGTCCACTCGGTCAGCATCACGTCTGATCACTTACTTGAAGCCTGGAGAAGGTATAAGCATTGTTTTATCAGCGAAAATATACAGGGTGTTCAACAAGTATGGATTAGATCAAAATATCTATAAAAATACGTTTCCTAGAGAAAAATGTTGTAGGACACAGTTGTAAAAAGATTCATCCATTGGTGAACTTGACTATGACCTTCAAGGTCATTTGCAGGTCAAGACAGTTTTCTCAAAAGGAAACCCTTATTTTTGACCCCGGAAACGTTGAGTGCGGGAAATTTTACGTTAAAGTATACCTTTTCCTATTTGACCTTTATGGGTATTTGAGGCTGTCCACAAAATGTCTCGAAAAATAAGCTACATAAAAATGTCATTTAATAGAGTTATGATGTTTGAAGTTCAAGGCAATTTTCTTAAATGAAAACCGCTCTTCATGTCACCAGAAATAAAAAGAGTAAACCCATGACCTTAACCATGATCATCAAGTCATGTAGATCAAATGAATTTTAAACAGGAAACATCTATTTTTAACTCTTGAAATGCAAATTGTGGACATTTTTAAGTCATGTATGTCGTTGGCAATGAACCTGACCATGACCCCCCAAGGTCATTTTATCGTATAAATGTTCACATAAACACTTTACTTTTTGTGGAGAATACAAAAAACCGAAATATTGAAATTTATTTATTATCAAATAAATAAAATATTTTTATTGCTACAGGGTGATACATAACTATGTGGTGAACATACCAAACCATACATATTTTCAAATGGAAACAGTTACATTTGATTTGCAGATTCGGATAGGCTCTTTCAAACGAAGCAATTTGATGTAATATACTATAGGGTTTTATTTCTAACTCGTGATATTGGACAATCTATAAAAAAACACAACTTTGACAACTTGCACCTCATCAACTGTTACAGCTAGAATACTAAATTTTTTGTCACAAGAATTGTATTTTCCCAAATTTTCTTCCTATCCACTTATTGTTAAATGGAACACCATGTGTGTTTACACACTTTTTCATTCCCTTTTTTACAATCTTTTTCTTTTTCGATATAATGTTTATGGGAGTTTGTTCAAGTGCTTTTAGACTTACAGCCAACCTTTTTGTCAATCAGATATCAAGGTAAATGGACAATTACGTTCTAAAATGAAAAAATAGCATTTATTCGATAAATGTAGAACGTTAAAATTTCGTGCATTTTTATTATGAATCAAATCTACCCGCTTATGCATTAAAGTCCGAAAGTCAGAAAGGTGGCCATGTAACTCAAAAACCACTCGTGCAAACCCCCATAAAACCCGTATCAGATGCAAACGTGTAAAGAGGAGAATCAACATTTGCGAAAATATACAGGGTGTGCCATTTGTAAATTTTGACCATCCTGTATAAACTGTCAGAAAAAACTGAAAAAGTTATTGCGTACGGAGAAATTATTTAATATAATTTTTCTGATAAAAAGCTCAGTTCTCAAGCTAAACCAGTTGCGGAGCTACGAGTTGTCAAAGTTGAGTCATTCCACGTTTGCTCACTAGGATCGTTTGTCCATCTATGGAGGAATGGCTCAACTACACGCATTGTTGGTTGCATATGTTTTGTGAAGCTGAATAGTCTGTAGTTTACATCTCTAAGGAGAAAGATCGAATCTGGATATTGTTATTGGTCTGCATGTGTATAAAATCAGTAATATTGGCTGTGTGAGAAAATCATTACTGAATATGCTGCCAATGAAGTATATCTATTAGCTGTGCCCGACGGGTTATTTATATGTTGTCCTTTCTGAAGACAGGTTATGTTCAAAGTTATAAATTACGATTTTTTTCGTTTTTTGTGTTTTCAAAAAGTTTGAGGGGAATTACGAGAAATCACCACCGCGCCCGCGTTGTGAGTAATTACTGTTAGCATGTATATGACAGTGTACAGTGAATATAATTATTTCTTATCTCTCTCATATCTCTCCAGAATGGATAAGAAAAGTGAAAATGAGACAAGAATCCTATGGAATTATCATCAACACATATTATTAGCACACAAATCCTCACAATGCATCTATGCTTTGCCGTTAGATCCAGTAATGCCATTTCCGAAGCAGATATTACATCACAGCAGAGCCAAGCATTGATAACTGAAGCCTCATGACGTTTAGTCAACACATACAAGTACAAAACGAGTTCACAACGTGTCTATCAGCTAGTGCTAACACCTTGTAGTAAAACCTACATAATATCACAAAAAAACAATGTAATGTCAAAAAAATCGACATGTACGCAGTACGCTTCGATTTACCGCTGCTTGACGCTGTAAACACCTTAGCGACAGGGTACAAAAAAAAACAATATAATGTCAAAAAAAACGACAAAATGTCAACTTGCTGATAATGAGCAAATAGTTCATTCCGCACCTTCTACAAGTGAGCATGAAGTGAACGACAGCTAGTTCTTAGTTGACACCTTGTAGAAAAACCTACATAATACCATAGAAACCTACATAACGTCAACAAACCGACATAACATTACTTTTCAACTTACGTAATACCCCTGCCTACCGCTTATCTGGAAGCGACTGAAAATTGCACTGGTTTGAATATTCTGTGCTTGCAACGTTGATGACGTAACTTCTACCGGTATTGAAGTATAGTGACTTTTCTATCCTGATTATCAATTTGGATATGTCCAAATTTTCTTCAAACTGTGATACGTGATTTTTTCCAGGTTACCTTCCCGAAAACAGAGGCACGTCGTTAAAACCAGAAGATTTGACACTGATCGAATGCAAACTGATTGACGATGAAAACGTAACATACCAAATTACTGGATTTGGCTTCATAAAATATTGTAACAGGATAGATAATACGCGTGAAGGTATAGTAATAAGTAATGTTGTAATGTGTGTTTTATATAATTGTTCCAGGTCATTCAAAGAGTCCTAACGTTAAATTCACATTGATGACGAGATATTTTGGCAAAAGAGTGAGTAGCAAGCAGGTGTTAATCAAAACGGTGGACAACATCGCCAATTTTCTGAGATTGTTGAAAACTATGCGGTATTTGAAAACATCTCCTTTGGTCGGAAATATTTTGAATCCTCGGATAGAAGATTATAGAATACATGTGGAACACAAGGATTTAAATGTCAAGGTACGTACAAAGGATACTATAAAAGTTTTGCAACACTGCTTTATTTATTGACTTCAAAGTGATTTTCACCACAATACACTTCTCCATCCGCTAAAACCAGTCCCTACTTATTTTTATTCAATATTATTCTCATAGCTTTATTTTGCAAGATTTGTAATTTTGAGAATACAGCTTCGTTGGCAGTGAACAAGATAGTTGAACAATATAGTAAATGCGGTAGAATAATTGTATTAGATAGATAGATAGTTTATTGTCCTATTGGATCATGTTACATGATATAAGACTTGTCAATATCAATTTGAGGGTCATATATGCGTTTGAGCAAATATGCCAGAAAAATACTTATAATTATAAAATAAATAAGGACATTACAATTACAAAACAATTTAAAAGGTTAAATCACATTATAGGTACAGGTACAGTGCAAGAATCGTAATGTGTTCAATCCGTAACGGTAAAAATATATACATATACAGCGACTATTTTTATCACAAAAAATGTTCGTCTAGCCGGTAAAAATCATTGAAGCTGATACAAAGAAAAGAAAAGCGGTAGGAGAATCTGTTAGAAATACATAATATATAAACACAATAAACATCGAGCAGTGAGGACAAATGGTTAAAAGCTTAAAAAGAAAACATACATACTTTCGTTAAAACTCGAATAAAAAGTGAAATTAAAATACATTTACTCCACGATAATAGACAATTCACTGATAACGAAATGATTAACAGCTTAAAAGAATTTAAAAAACAGATACTTTCATGTGTTAGTAAAACTCATGTAGAGAGTAATAGCATTTTTCAACCAGATATTTCCTGAGATGTTTTATAAACTATTTTCTTGGAATAGGTACCCAAAACTATAAGAAGCCCTAGAAAAGTAATTTGTTTTTTTGGCAATTTTTGAAATAATATATTCATAGTGATCCTCAAACTCTAGTTTACTATCAATATAGATATACCTAAATATTTAATTGATCCAACATTTTCAATTATTTCTCCATTTATCCTAACTGTGATAGTATTTTCATTTGGTAATCTATTAGCATACATGTTGTTTTAAAAGTATTCAATTTCAGTTTATTTACATTTAACCAATTTACGATTTTTGACAAGTCAGAATTTAACATTTTTAAAGCAGTGTCTATATTTTCATCTGATATGTACATTAATGTATCATCTGCAAATATCTGAAGCTTACAATAATCTAAAATATTACAAATGTCATTAATGTATAAAATAAATAGTAGTGGACCTAGTTTACTACCTTGTGGTATAGCAACTGAAATATTTGTTGATCTTGATAATGTAGATCCAATTTTGGTTTTTTGACTAGAATTTTGAATATTGATCCTTTAAATCCGTAGTGATACAATTTTGTAAGTGATTTATCCCTGTCAATAGTCTCAAACGCCCTTTTGAAGTCCAAAAACACTGTTACTGTATGTTTACGATTGTCCATACATCTCCTCCAGTCCTCTAAAACCATTTGTGTTGCCGTTTCAGTTGAGTGTTTCTTCCTGAATCCAGCTGAAATTTGGTTAAAATGTTATTTCCCTCAATAAATTCGATGATCTGTTCGTAAATAATTTCTTCAAAAACTTTTTCAACATCTGGCAGAACATTTATTGGCCGCATATTGGTGTACAACTCAGAATTCTTAACTTTAGAAACAGGAGTTATGGTAGAACACTTGAGTTTTGTTGGAAATTCGCCATATTTTAAACAGTAATTTATCAGGACTAATATTCTTGCTCCAATAATATCAAAACATTCATTAAGCACACTTTTAGACAAAATCTCACTCTTATTTTGATTTAATTTAATTTTTGATATAATCTTCTTGAGACGATTAATGTTTATTGTTCTAGACTCACTGAATGATGCATTATAATCTGAGCCAATGGGACATTCGTTGGGATCCCCGTGAATAATTGATTTTACAATGTCGTTGACACTTTCTATGAAATAGGTATTCATTCGATCTGCTATTATTTCTTCATTTGTTATTACCACATCGTAGAATTTCATTTTAGATCATGTACTTTTTATAATAGGAGAAACAATGTTTTTCAACGTTTTCCACGTATGTTTGCTATTATTTTTGCTCTGATCAATTTTGGCATTGTAATATTTTTTCTTTTCATTTCGTAGAACTGCTACAGATTGGTTTCTTGATCTTGTGTATTCTAGCCAATCATTTTCACTTCTAGTAATCATAAACTTTTTATAATTGTAGTCTCTTTTTAATTTCGAATCCTTGAACCTCTGTGAGAACCAAGGTGTTGGATTTTTTCTTTTATAAATTGTTGTCTTGACTATAGCTTCTTTTATGCAAACTTCAACATTATCAAATAGGTTTATATAGTAGCTATCGACATCAACAAACGCTTCAGTTATATCTTGCAGTAAAAGAGCTTCTCGTAATTTTACATAGTTGACACTAGTAATTTCTTCCACTTTGTGAGCATCAAATTTACTTTCAACTTCAAAACATATCCATGAATGATCACTGATCTTAGGAGTACAACTTTTGCAATTAAATTTTGTTCTTTCGTTATTATCAAATCAATAATTGTTCTTGATTGATTTGTAATTCTGGCGTGATCATAGACTTTTTGCCAGAGTCCATAAAAACTGTCTTGTCACCTGTCACGATGCTGTTGCCTCTTATCAAACATTTTCAGCATATTTCGTCACCAAGTCGTACAAAGCGGCTATGCGGTACCCAGAGCGAACAAAGTTTCCTTACGTGTAAATAGTCATGCGGCCGTTTGTTAAGTCATTGTAAAACTTTCATAGTACCCTTATTCGGATTTATAGTAAGGAGATGGTTTCGTATTAACATGTACATTGCAACAGCTGCTGAAATATTTATAGGCCGTATCACTTTTTTTGATGGTTACGTATCAGTATCTTGAGTACACTGATCGACTAACTGTACCCTAAACGGAGCTTTACTTTCTTAACTAAGGATAATTGCACACTGCATAAACCTACCTTTAACACTTCTGTTAGTCTCTCTTGCACACATAAATCATTTTATTAATTTGCTTATTTAAAAACCCTAATTATTGAGCACAAACTATCGACATTGTCCACCAATTATACAGGGTGGACAATATACAACTGACTGATTTAAATTGCGCGCCATTTTTGATACACGTATTTCAGTAGGTGGCGCCGTAGTAGTTGTTTAAAGCACATGTGTGCAATTCATCATGGAGCGCTACACGATCCCACAACGCGTCCGCATTGTTAAAATGTTTTACTTTTATAATGAGTCGATTGTTGCCACGATTAGGAAGCTACGACAAGATTTCGGTCAAATAATGTGCCAGTGTCAACACCATTCGTCACTTGGTGCGGAAATTTGAACAAACGGGTGAAGTTGACTTGTCAAGGCCGGGTCGTGTTCGAAAAGTCGGCGACAATACAGTCGTGCAATACAGCTTAATACCCAAAATAATGATTTTTACCGACAACTGATAATGAGCGATGAAGCCCATTTCGAGATGATATGAATCTGGGCATTAGAGAACCCTCGTGTCATCCATCAACGACCACTACATCCTCGAGGAGGCACACTTTGGTGCGGTATTTAGTATGGAGGTGTCATTGGACCTTACTTCTTTGAAGACGCTCCAGGTAAAAACTTTCTGGCTCCTCAAATCCAACAATTTAACCTGCTAAGCATGTGGTTCCAGCAGAACGGGCCAACTTGGCACACAGCTATGGAAACAATGAATCTTTTGCGAACAATATTAATTTCTCGATTTGGTGATTTCTGCTGGACACCAAGGTCGCCGGATTCAACGGCTCCTGGCTTTTTTATGGCAATTTTTGAGAAATAGGGTTTATGCCAGCAAACCAAGTACTGTAGAGCAACTGAAGAACAATATTACGATTGAAAATATTCCTCCCTAAACTTACCAAAAAGTGATGGAAAATGTAATCAAGAGGCCTCAGGTTTGCGCGGCTTGTAGACGCGGACATTTGTCTTCTGATATTTTTTTCATACATAATTTCTAAGTTTCAATAAAAGATTAAGATGAAAAAAAATGGACTTAACTTATTCCATTTCACAAATATTCAAAATACAAACCTGTTAGTTACATATCGGCCACCCTGTATCTTCAGACGTGTCTACGTTTCAAATCGAGAATCTGGAAAAGTTGATATCGCACGTTTATGATGAGAGAGTTATCACTGATACTGATAAGCTTTTTTATTTGCTGTAAAAACGCTTACTTATTGTTTCCAGGCAAATAAATTGAATGAACGGCAAAGAGAAGCTGTTCTGGAAGCAAGACAAGTTTGTCTGGGACACGAACCGAAAATATACTTATTAAAAGGCCCACCCGGCACGGGAAAATCCACCGTTATTACCAGCTTAATATTAGATGTGGTATACAACACAAAAGATGCGGACGATCCTCTTGTTCTGGTAACAGCACCGTCCAATGCTGCTGTTGACAGTTTGATCAGCAAACTTGCATTAGCTAGGAAGAAAATCAAAGGTATGGTTCGTCATCGTCAGCTTTTTCGTTTGTTTACCCATTGTCTGGCTTGGTGTAAGATTTTAGGCACATACTGTACGGAAAAGTATGGCACTTATTTTCCTTCTGTCATCTGTTTCGCAATTCTTGACCACTCTCTAAGTTGGAACGTACTATCACTCGCACTTTGACACTGGGCTTTTTCACTATAGCAATAACATCTTTATTGTTATCATATGTCACATGTAATTGATATTTCCAGGAGTATTAGTTGTTTTAGCCCTGAAAGGCCGGCACGGGTATTACGTATCTTGAAAAGTGACATTATGTCGTTTTTTTTACATTAAATTGGTCTTTTGTGGCATTATCTAGGTTTTTCTCAAAGATGTTAACTTAGCAGTAGCTGATGAACACGTTGTGAACTCGTTTTGTAGTTGTACGTGTTGCCTAAAAGTCATGAGGCTTCAGTTATCAATGTTTGGCTCTGATGTGATCTAAAATCTGTTTCAGAGACGGCATTACTGGAGGTCTAAGCTGTAAGTTGTATACTATAGCTAGAAGGAAACGGCCATGCATAGGTCCATAGTGAGGATTTGTATGCTAATAATATGTGTTGATGATAGTTCCATTGTATTCTTGTCTCAAATACACTCACTTGGGATTCAAAGCTAGACATTAGTTACGCATCCACTTTTTCTTATCCATTCTGGAAATATTCCTGCCTGTAGCATATTTTCTCACCTTTTACTTCACCAACCAGGTTTTTTTTCTTATCTCTCTTATTTTTGAAACTCAGCAAACTTGCATATGTAATTTCCAGATTGAATAAGAAAAAGTGGATGCGCAACTAATTTCTAACTTTTAATCTGAAGTAACTGTATTTGAGACAAGAAACCAATGGAATTATCTTCAAAACATATTAGCACACGAATCCTCACTATGCACCTATGCACTGCCATTTCCTTCCAGGTATAGTTTACAGCTTAGACCTTGAATAATGCCATCTCTCGAGCAGATGTTACATCACATCAGAGCCAAATATTGATGACTGAAGCATCACGACGTTTAGGCAACACGTACAACTACAAAACGAGCTCACAACGTGTCCATCAGCTAGTGCTAAGTTAACATCTGGTAGAAAACCTACGTGATGTCACAAAAAAACCTACGTTATGTTGAAAGAAAACCGACAAAATTTCACTTTTCAAGATACGTAATCATCGTGCCGGAGGAAGTACCGGATGATATACATTGAGTTTACAGCAGCAAATGAATTATAATAATGGTACATGGACGATATGTCTTTCAATCTAAATAAAAATACATGTGATTATAGTCGCGTTCGTTTTACACACAATGTGAGATATGCTTATGTTACTTCAGTTTTCTCAGTTTATTGAACGTTCTTTTTACCAAAACTAAGTTTAAATGAGGCGAGATTTTCAGATCAACCTCAGCCGAGTAAGATTTGCCATTGGTTGCAGTTTTTAGGTTATGTTTGCTTTGTTTATGTGAAAAATCTACCGAATTCAAATTGTAAGATTTTTAACTTTGCTTTCTTGGGACGATCCATGTCAGCAAGCTTTAAAAATGTATAGTCTTGAGTGTAGCTTCATGATAACTTGAAAAATGTCGTTTATTAGGTTATATTTTAATAGTGGTTAGATCAACTGATCAATCTAAGATGACCCAGATGACAGCCTCAAATGACTGTTGGGACCGTCTCACTTCACGAACGCAAATTTTATTTCCTTTTTGTCAATAACTTTCGTGTGAAAGGAAACGGACAAGCTGATCTGTAGTTGCAGATTAAATTTTGCTAAAAAGCTATTACAGATGCACTGTTATGTCTAACTTTATTTTAGTTATTTTTCTATCAAATCGGAGGGATGCAACAAACACTGATTTGAGGTCGATCATTGCATTCGGATCATATTTGCTAACTGGTAGATTTGAGACAGTAGTTGTAACCGGAGATAAGTCGTCATTGAAAAAATGTCCTTGAATTTTAAATTCCTGCGACGTCTTTTAGAGAGACTAAGGATTGCCAGACGACAAACAGACAGACGAACATTAGTTCCAAATGTTACCAAATATTATTTTGGATGCCTCAGTATGGATAAATTATGTATCTCTATAATCTAGTACCAATTACCTAATGCTTAGATCTTTCCAGATGAGAAAATGCGTAGTAGATTGAGAATAGTCAGAGTTGGTCCAGAGTCGAGTATAAACAGCAACGTGGAAAAGTTCAAATTGAGCACTCTAGTCAGAAACAACATGGTAACTGAATATAGGCTTAACCAGTGCACTGACTATCAGAAATATGTGGAGGAAGGCAGGTTGGATGAGTTCATCCGATTGAAGCTACAAAATAAATTTTATTATGAGCAGAAAAGGCTGGAGGACGTAGTCCTCAAAAGAAGTAATATCATTTGTACTACTCTGCAGAGTTGTACTCACAATAAAATCTTGAATTCCTGGAGAAGGTACTTACTAATTCATTCTAAAATAAGATGGAGGAGTATGACGCCCGGAAAATGAGGTTTTGAGTAAAATATGTGTTTTGAAAGTGTTTTGTAAATTTATTTATTTGTATTGTCTCACTCAGTGACAGAAGTGTTATACCCAGAAAAAAATGTCAATAAAACTTGACTGAATGTTATCATTTCATTCTTGATGCAAAAAAATCAAGTTGAAAAATTATTTTTTCTGCGTGTAACACTTGCAATGTCACTACGTATATATTTGCTTGATAAGTCCAACATAAGCATTAAGTCATTTAGATGCTTCAATGATTTGAACTACATGCTAGATATGAATTAAATTATAAAAATAAATGTTTTTGCGTTCAGTAATGTAGATCTTCTTTGCAGTGGAAGCCTCAGAGATTTTACGTGTTGTATAATAGATGAAGCCACACAATGTACAGAACTTGAATCATTGCTTCCTATTCAATTGGGTATTACAAAGTTTGTATTGGTTGGGGATCCAAAGCAGCTACCAGCTGTTGTTACAAATCGGGTAAGATCATTTTCACTGTGAAGTCAACTCGTAGATTTTCAAATACCATGTTGACTTTAAGGTCTATAAGTCTATAACACTTACAAATATACACCCCAAGTCCAAGTCGAAGATCGAGTGGATATAAACAAAATCATACACTGTGCGCTCGTGATATTCGAAAGCTGAAGAATTTTACATGGCCGTTTCCACAACCAACTCGTGATGATACCTACATCTCGTCGGTTGCAAATGGTATCAATAAAATTTCATAAGTGTCAGGTAAGGAAAGTGCAGCTACTATGCACAAGAGTTGTTCACAGGATTGATGGATGATGTACCACATGGTACAGGGTGCGGAAGCATATTTTCCTTTTTTTCAAAACTTAATAAAACCCACATGTTTATTTGTATGTTATTATGTAGGCGCATATCTAAAGTTTTGTTTACATAGTTTTGAAGATCAAATCAGATATATGACGTCCCTAATTCTCCATACACTGAACAAACCGATTTCTGGCGTTTGTCATGACTCTTGCCAGCGTACCAGGCATTATTTTGGCCATTTTTTTCTGGATGTTGGTCTTCAAGTCCTGTAGGGTCCTTGGACTATTCACATAAATACGGGTTTTCAAAAAACTCCATAAAAAAATCACAAGGGACCAACTCGCCCCTAATTGAGATGAGGTGATCTGGGAAGTGTTCCCTCAAAACAGCAGTAGATGCTCTTGAAGTGTGCCGTGTTGGAACCAAAAGTCCCCTAAGTCCCACTCATGTAGGAAAGAAATCCTGTAACATGTTAACATACAGGTCCCAATTCACTGTCCCAGCGTCTTTTCCCTCAAGGTTCCAGGGACCAATAATTCCAGATGAAAAAATTGCTCACCATACTGTGACCTTAGGCGAATGCGAAGGTATTTGATTCAATCTTCTAGGATTGGTGTCAGCCTAGTAGCGCATGTTTTATTTGTTGACGTAATCACTCAAGTGAAAATGGGCTTCATTGCTAAAAAAAAAAAATAGTGTTCTCACGAGCGACTTCGAGAAGATACTTTCATCTGAGAATTGAAGCGACATTCAGAAATGTCTCGCACAATTGCCAAGTTGTAAAGATAGGCATCATCATCATGAACAATTCTCCTCGCAGAACGATTAAGAAAGGCGCTCGATAAGTAGGCGTAAACGGCAAAAGCACGCTCCTCACTGTTCTACCACTGAACTGTGTCGGGACCAAACTTCATAGTCCTGCCTCTCGAACGAGACCGCTATCGTTCCGCTACAACATCAACCGACTGAATGGCACGCATTTTAAAAGAGGAGGTTATTCTGCCGCACCTGCACATAACTAACTCGGCAGCTGCCGAAGAAGCACCTATGCAGTGTTGTAGGTAGTAACCATATGTTCCTTTTTTCCAAAATATGATACATACTATTCGAAAATGTTTGAATCAGCACGCATACTAAAGATCTTAATTGCTAAGGTATGAATGCCAGATCGAATAAATAATTAAGTGTCTTAGAATGCAAAAAGTGTTGTGGTGATAAAAGAATGCATAATATTTTACTACAAGGGATGAACAATAAATTCGTTCAAAAAGAATGAACTACCTAGCAACGCTGCATTCAACTCGCCAAATAACAACGCGTCGTAAGACGCCATATTTATGGTTTGGCCGGTCTAAATTTTTCTAATTGTATTCGCATCGTGTCTCTTGAGATAGATACTATTTGATTTCACTCTATCTTGGATTTGGGCTGGGGTGTCCAGAATTTGTGTGGCAATTTGTACTTAACCCTCGTTGACAGCGTCAAACCAACATACTGCTCTGCTGGACGCGATATTGCAGTTGACCGCTTATCCAAAAGCGTCCTAGCGCTCATCCGGTTTCGATGGATGGCCGAGTTCTGCCAAAGGGCCATTCATTCCGCTACACCAACGGCCTTTGCTCCTCAGAGCTCTTTTCCATGATGGTGGCGCGCCATGTGCCTGCGAGACAGACCCGCCTGACGTTGGCCTCCCGTCCTAACCGTGTCGAACTTCGTACGTCCAGAACTGGCCGATACGACAGCTCCTTTGCCCCGAGGGTGTCGAGATTGTGGAACAATTCAAAAATCGGATTAACAAAATTTCTTTGGGATGATCATAGCAGCCGCGGTGTCCCGGCATTTAGGCTTCTGCCTGCGCGGCTGCTTTAGTATTAAAAAAATCTCATGGTTAATGATACAAAAGTTCCCAATAAAACCCATATTTTATACAGGATGCATATAAACTGGGCCTGGGGATGTCTCTGTTCTCTCGCATCGAAGAAAAATTCCGGAATGTTCCGAAAAGCCCAGTTAAACTTCTAGAAATACAGTATCGGATGGCAACAGCGATATGCGAATTTCCGAACCAAGCATTCTACGACGGTAAAATAAGATCCATGCCAAAATGTGATAATCCTATTCAACCCGCCTTAAGGTAAGATATTTTTTGTTAAATGTTCCTCATGACTCCCAGATATACATTTTTGTCATTATACCATGCTTAATAATTATTTGATTTATAACTTTTTAATAGCGCCGTTTTGATGTACATTTAGTTTATCCCCTGAATGCATTTTTTCAGTTATTTTGATTTAGTATACTTAAAAAGAGAGCAATTCCAATCAAAATTATCCTCACGATTGCAAATAATATGATTTGATCCACAAGTGTTTACACCTCTTATTAAGGCAAAGTCGTGGACTCAGGATAGTTTCTTGTTTCAAAAGTATCATACGTTCAAAATCTGTAGAAGTTACGCCAGAACTATCATACGTCAAACCATTTTAGAAAAAAAACCGTTAAATATTAACGCTGAACGATCTTTTGCCACTCTATAAAAGTTCTATTTAGCCTCATTCGTATTCGTTACTATCACAAAAGCCTTACTTTCATTGCTTCAATTTTGACTGCAGAGTTTCATGCGAGGCTAAAGCTTCGCTAATGAAAACCACTCGATGACCTACTAGGCAACTTACTTAAAAAACAGTCATGGCGAAATAAACCATGAACGTTACATTTAACATTTTGGCTCTATTTATCTCGTCAGAGCGATTTTTTTTAATTTTTGCATGATACCAAATTATCACAAAAAGGCGTAACCAGTCTTTTTAATTTATTTTCAATCCACAGGCCATACCTGTTGTTCAACCTGACACGAACACACACCGTTGACGAATCTGAATTTACGAACATGAACGAAGTAAGGTTTATCTGTAAGCTGCTTGAAACATTAAAGACTCACGTTAAACAGCAATGTTTCTATTCTGTCGGAGTTATTGCACCTTATAGAGCACAGATTGACTTGCTGCGACTAGAGATTTCTAGCATAGAGTAAGTTTATTTTATTTGGAAATATTAAACTCATTTGAAATTTTTCGACTCGCTACTCTATGTCAAACTGTTGTAATCGGCCTGGCATATGCAAAATGGCATTTTAGTAGAACTTGTTCGAAAAATAAACCAAAGGCGACATGCCACCTATGGATTTAGTTTAGTTTTATTTTTCGCACATCACAATATTGAGTTTTTGAGTAGATCCATTTCTCTTGTTTGAGAAGCATGAAACAACGTTGTGGTTGGTTAAGTCGCAGAGACTCAAAGCAAACAGATTTTATTCAATCGAACACTTTGTTATTCGTCGTTAAAATCAGATAACACCACGACTTTACAGTCAGGGGTAAGCGTGAGTGTATGATAATGTCTGAAGCCTGACATATTTGTCATATTGTTGTCATTCAACAATTTATGTGTGAATGTGTTCAAATGAAGTTATCTTCTATTTTCCACATTCCGCTAATGACACTCCTTGATTTTTGTGAAACGTGATCATACTTTCTGATCCCGTTCACAAACCTGCGGCAGCTATTCTGAACCTTTTCGATTCATAAGCTGTCAAAGTGTAATATATTAAACAAGGGCGATATATATATAAAGTCACAATAGCTGAAATGACTCAAAACTAACAGTTCACACAATGTTCTCTTCATTACAAGATCAAGTATTTATATCTGTTGCTATAAATTAGCTTCAATGATCCATAAGCCTTACTTTTTACATGCCCAGAGAAACGCAAACTGCTATTAGTAACAAGTCCTTAATTTTTACATCTCACAATATTTTTCATTAAATTAATATCATGCTTTGAACCAAAAATAAAACTTTAGATGTCATTTGACTTCAATTGTAAATTATATCTGTAGACCCTGGTAGAATATGTTGATCAGTGGTTTAACGGAATCATAATTCATTGTTCTTAATAATATATTATTTAGGCTCTAAAGAATCACACTTTCCTGTTTCCGACTTTTTTGAAAAATGTATTTCCTCATCCCTGAATAACATCAAGATGGCAATTCTCAACATACAGGGTGATTCACAAGTCATGAAAAAAAAAATGAAACATCATACACAGGACCTCATTTTAAAGATCTTCTATGTAACATTTTTTCTTCGAGGGTTGAAGTTTAAAAATGGATTTTTTTTTAATATCTTCAAAACCGTCAACTGGAATGAACTAAAATTTGGTATGTGGATTTACCGAAGTATTTCCCACATTCAAGAGCTACTTAAAATTAACGTGCACCAGTGGCGGAGATACAGGGGATTAGTGGCATAATGATTCCAAATAAAAATAGTACGTCAATGTTTTTTTTTCGAAACGCAGAATACAAATAATTACGCTTTTGTTTTTTCTTAGAGTGCACTATTTTCGTAAAAATAAAACAAATTAGATGATCAAAGTTTTATTTCAATAAATGTTAAAAAAGACCACCATTCTGAAACTTATAAGTGTATCTTTGTAATGAAGAAAAACGTATTTCCGCAAAATTTGTTATGGCTTGAATTTGATAAAAAGCATTAGCTATTCTTTCCTGTAACTGTTGAACAGTATTAATTTGTTCAGCATATTTCTAGTTGTTTGAAAGCGCCCCACAAAAACAAATCCAGGGAGTTCAAATCAGCAGACCTCGCAGACCAATGTACGGGTCCGTTTCTGCCAATCCGTCGTTGTCGAAAATAATTATTTAACCATGCGGTTATGTCACGACGAACATGCGGTGGGGCACCGTCGTGCTGATACCACCACATTCATACTCTCGTTGCTAACGGAACATCATCTAACACATTTTCTATATAATTTTCTAGAAAAGCTAAGTATTTTCTAACGACCAAATATCATTATGAGAATTAAAGGTTCCACTCCTAATAAAAAGCAATTCATCTCAGCACAAAACCAAATAAAATCTGCATTTTGTTTATGCATTTGAAGTAACCATTTACAAAAATTAGTACTTGTACTAGGATCATCAAACGCCAAGTTAATCACTTCCAGTTTCTCTTGAACAGTATGCCGCACACCATGTCCTCTAACTCCGGGAAGTGTGGCAATTCCAAATTGCCGAAGTCTTAGAAATGAACGCATAAAAACCTTTTTGGTAGGTTGGCGTCTGTTAGGAAATCTACGTTGATACTCCAGAGAAGCCGCTAAAGCATTTCCATTACAAAACCCATACACAAAAATAATATCGGCGTACTCATCATTGTTTCCATTTCACAACATACAAAAATGGAAAGAAGAAACTTTTGACTTGACTTTTACAAAAAAAAAAATGGTAGTAGTAACGATAACAACCGTATAACACATTACTTTGACAAAAAACGTCAAGTTGGTATCAAGGCCTCCTATTTTATTTTTAAACTAATTGTATCTCGGCTCTTGAATGAATGATCTAATTTGTTTTATTTTTACGAAAACAATGCATTCTAGGAGTAATTATTTGTAGCAAATTGAAGGTAAAATTTGAAAAATTGCACGTTTTGATAAAAAACAGTGGCGTACTATTTTTATTTGGAAAAATAATGCCACTAATCCCCTGTATCTCCGCCACTGGTGCACGTTAATTTTGAATGTAGACAATACTTAGGTAAATCCACATACCAAATTTTAGTTCATTCCAGTTGATGGTGTTGAAGATATTAAAAAAAATATTTTTAAACTTCGACACCCTGTATCTTTCAAATGCGGTCCTATGTATGATGTTTCATTGTATTTCTAGGTTTACTTTTAATCACTTTTTTTTGAATTAAACTCAAAGAATCATTTTAGAAATGTGACATTACAACGACTTTTAAAATTCTATATTTATGCATGTCAAGAAGACAAATTTACATTCTATCAATCGTAACTATAGATACGGACCTATAGGGAAATTTTCAATACCTACTGGGCAATTTTCACTGTTGACTGGGTAATGTAATTTTCGCTGTAATTTTGCGATAATTCCACACCTCTTTTGGCATTTTTCATATATGAGGGAAATGTTCGTTCATATTTTTGTCTGGATTTAACGCATTAAACAACCGGGCAGTAGCTTTTGCAATTCCATTTTGGTAATTCAGTTTCGTTATTTCTACCCTTTCTTGAATTGAAGAAGTCATTGTTCAATATTTATCACAACAATTTGTTATGAAAGACAAAAGTTTTTCTATGACATACGATGACACTGACTGATGCTAAATGTTCTTGCTGGTTTCCATGATTATTATTTTTTGCCGTTCGTTCCATTATTATCAGTATTAAGTTAGTCGAATCTTATCATAAACAAATATCTTCACAACGATTGAAGATAGGTATACACTTTATTATACAAAAGTTACAAAAAACTTCATGGACAATTAAAAAAACCAGGGCAGTCGACCTTTTCGTTGGGCCACGCTGTATGTAAAGCTAATGTTTTTTAAGGAAGTATTTTTTCGAAAACGACGCGTCGGCAACTTTATAACAGGAAACTGTTTTCCTCTAAACCCCAAATCCGATTAATTACAAGAAATGTCTTAATAATTCCAGATTCCCACATGAAGCAACCGTTACCATAAACACCGTGGATTCTTTCCAAGGTGCGGAGTGTGATGTAATCATCATATCGTGCGTCAGAATGAACTCTAATTGCTTCCTACAAAATGAGCAAAGGTTAAACGTAGCTTTAACGCGAGCTAAGCAAGCCCTTTATGTTGTGGGCAATTATACACTTTTCAAGGTAGGTTCAGCTATTTCTTTTACCACAACTAAAAAACTGAATATCAAAAGTTGTAATACAGGGTGGGCCATTAAGTTGAGATTTTAAAAAATCATAGGATAAAACTACAAAGCGTAGGGAATATAATCTATATTTTTAATAAAGTAGACACATGTGAATTTTATTTTTTAAAAATGACATCACTGAGATGTGAGCCATTGAGACGTACGCACTCCTCGAATGTCGACTTCAAATTCGTGAAAACTCGCTGGCCCCTCGCTCGCGGGATATCCGACATCTCCTTGGAAATGTTGTGCTTGAGCTGGGCAATCGTCGTCGGTTTATTATACTCAAAAGGTACGAAATATTTGAAAATGTAATAATATCCGAACAACTTTACTAAAAATTTATTTATGCAATACAAAAGGAGACAGTTGGGAAATTACTTCTTAAAAATAACATTTATCAGATGTCGTCCGTTGCGTCGCTGGCATTCTTCAAATACTGAGCGCATATTGATGAATACTCGACGGAGTAGATCAGGGGTGATAAGGGCAATTTCCTCCTCGATATTCCGCTTCAACTGTTCCTCATTAGCTGAGGCATTTTGGAATACCCGTTCCTTAAGGTAGCCCCACAGGAAAAAGTCTAGAGGAGGTAAATCTGGGCTTCGTGGGGTCAATTGATGTCACCCCGTCTAGAAATTACACGTCCAGGAAACAGCTCATGAACCGCAGCAATGGATGCGTTAGTTGTATGACAAGTTGCGCCATCTCGATGAAACCAACTGTCAATATTGTAATCTGGTCGCTGACGTAGTTCTGGCCCAAAAAACTGCTGTGCCATAGCGATATAACGGTCTGAATTCACAGTTACGGCTCAAAGAAGTATGGCCCGATGATGCTTTGACTTGAGAGTGCAATCCATACCGTGACTTTCGGGCAATGCAACGGTCGTTCGTGAGTATTATGTGGATTTTCCTCTCCCCAAATCCTGCTATTGTGATTGTTGACATGCTCATTTAAATAAAAATGGGCCTCGTCACTAAAGAACATGTTGTCGAAATTATCAAACCACACACATCAACATCTCATTAGCAAAATTTAACCTCGAGACAAAATCACCATCTTTTAATTCTTGGACCAATTGAATCTTATAAGCCTTCAAATCCTTCCTAATAATTCGGTGCACTGTTGATCGATGGATTCGTAACGGCGTAGCTCGTTTCTGCCATTTTTGCATTTTGTCGCACAGATTGACGAAGACGGTTGATGTTTTCAGGGGTCCTAGCAGTTCTCGGACGACCCGTGTGAGAAACTACTGTTGTGCTGCCAGTAGCCTCTAGCGTTCTTACCCATCGCAAAATGCTGGTCGCACTGGGAACTTGTTGGAGATCATGCAAACCGTAATGATTTCGATAACAACGGCGCGCAGTTGTTAGCGAATTTTTGGATTGATAGTACGCACGTTGTGCCGGTGAAGTTCGGCATGGTTACTAAATTTCCCGACACTTGACTCTTCAGCGCGTGCTGTTCATTTCCAAAATATTTCGTACCTTTTGAGATTATATCCCCAGAGAAAAAAAAATCCAGTGGCGTGAGGTCTGGGCTCCGGGGACGCCACGGAATGTCCCCTCGTCACGATATCATTTTTCCACTAAACATTTCGTTTACAACTGCAAAGTACTCGTTGGCGGTATGGGATGTCGCGCCATCTTGTCGAAACCAGGTGCTGCTAAGAAAGGCTTCAAAAGTATGCAGTCGTGGAAAGAAAAAGTTACGTAGAATTGCAGTGCAGCGATTAGAATTTATTGTTACAGTCTGGCCTTGCCCGTTTTCGAAGAAATAGGGTCCGATGATTCCTTCAGCCGACATGGCCGTCCAAACTAACATAACGCGTATACAAAGGTCGTTGGTGTTTTAATTTGGGATTTTCTGCGGCCCAATACCGGTAATTTAGTTTGTTGACAAATCCACTCAAATGAAAATGAGCTTCATCAGAAAAGAGAATATTGTTCAAACTCGGAAAGCGCTCTAACATTATTTCAGCAAACGTACGGCGAAGATAATAATAATAATAATAATAATAATTAACGTCTTTTATTTGTAATATTCTTACAGGAGGCGAGATTTAGATTATATATCTATTCTACCATCTAACCTCCTTAACAATACGAGATGTAAAAAAAAAGAATTTGTTGAAAATTAATAGGCACCTGTATACAATAAGATGGTCCTGCGGTTTCAATTCCTGCACTAGTTGAAGTTTATATGGGTGCCATTTAAGGTATTTTTCCAAAATACGCCTTATAGATGTTCTTGATATGGCGAGCTCAGCTGATCTCTTTGGGATAACTGTGGATCGCGCAGTACGGACGTCGCAACTTCGCTTACAGTTTCTTCTGTTCATATTGACCTTGGTTGCCGCGCATGTTTCTGATTCAGTTTCGAACCGGTAGACTCAAACTTTCTGACCCACGACCTGATCACACTTTTACTAGGTCATTGATTTAGATCATGTAAACTAAACTCAGAGCGAAACAGACGCCGCGCTGTAGTGCACGAGTCTCCATTTTTGCAGTAAGCCTTCAAACAGGACGCACGCTGCTCACCCGTGAAACGCTCCATGGCGACTAAATTTCCGAGCACCAAGCTACTTATCCCCACTCCCACGTGCCTGTCACGAGCCATGTGGTTTTGAAATTCGGACGGTTTTCTGGTCCACCCTGTACAAGCACGTTCATTGCAGTGTATTTGCTTTTGCGGGTTGCAATACATGTAACTTGTAATTTTTCACATTTGTGTGATTACTTAATCCAAGATAAATAAGTGCATGGATAAGACGCAAAATTCCTGCAATAAATATAATAGTCTAATCATATTAGACGTAAATACCCGTGGTTTGCGGAACAATTGTAAAGTCGCGGGTATTTAAAATATGGACGCATAAAATGCGTACACCAATTTTTGTGGGAAAACTTTTTATTCGACAATAAAGAATGAGAAATCGTGTTTTTTGGGATTGAATCGAAAATGTTAACAGGAATGAAAAAAATCTTCATATAAGATTTGTAGGTACTCATGAGGCCTACAAAATGAGACCATAGGTAAAAAGATCCGATTAATATCAAAAAAGTTATAGCCGAAAACTGAGGCAAACTGCAGGTTTTGACACTTGTTGGTAATGCGACGCTGCTTTCTCGCAGATATTTCAAATTCTTCAAATTCATACTTCTTAATAACCACAACAAAATTGGAGTAGAGTGGTCAACTAGTTTTTGAGAATACCTAATTGTTTATCCCAAAACATCTATTTTCCGGCCATCACTACTAGTTTATTGAGCAATATAAAGGGTCGTTCAAAGGGCATTTATAGCAAAATACACGAGTTTACCTTGCCGACATGAACAGATTCGCTACGGAATTCGAAAAACATAAGTTATTATACACATTTTAAAACAAAGCAATGTGTTTATCACGTTTTGTTGCGAAGAAAAAAATTACTTTCAAATACGAAATGTTTGAATTTGTTTAGATGAAAAAGCGTAACCCTTCGTTTTCCGCAATTATCTTTCGGAATGGCTTGTGATTCATGTCGGCAAGGTAAACTCGTGTATTTTGCTATAAAATGTCCTTTGAAACAATCAGAAATTCCCAAAAACCACTTGAGCAATCGACTCCAATTTTGTTGTGGTTATTTAGACGTAAGAAGCCTTCGGATTCAAAGAATTTCAAGTAGCTGTGTGAAATTATCGTCGCATTAGCAACGCATTAGCCTGCATTTTGCCTCGGTTTTCGGCCATAATTTTACTATTAGTGGAATCTTTTTACGTGTAGTCTCATACCTAAAAATCTTATTTGAAGAGTTTTCTCGTTCCTACCAACACTTTCGATTGAACCCCAAAAAATACGTTTTCTCATTCTTTGTTGTCGAATAAAAAGTTTTTCCAAAAAAGTTGGTGTACTCATTTTATGCGTCCATGTTTTAAATACCCCCTTGAATAACTTGCATCAATAAAACAAGGCTTTACACTTATTATTTTGGAGAAATTCGCTAATATGATTAGATTATAATAGAAAACTAATTATTTGGTTTCAATTTTCAGCATTGTAAGCCTCTGTACGATTTGAGAGAAAATGCAAAATCACGCAGGCTGTGTTTTGACATAATGGACAATCCAAAGGATTTGCCTCTTCTACATAAGTTTATATTCTCTTAACAATAGTGACTCAATGACACATTTGAAGATAATTATTTTTATTTTCCTATCATTACACTACAGAATTTAAATTATTGCTATATTTTTAAGTTGTAAAAAGCATTGTTTATTTTTACTATACTAATGTTATGGGTCTCAGAAACGTGAGAACTGCAGTCATTCACATGTATATTTTTGCATTGAGATCGCAATTTTGACATATAATTTTGTTTCAATGTAAGACATTTTTATTACAATGTAATAGGACTTATTCAAAAATTGATATTTTGTACTATTTTGACACCTTGTGAACCTTTGACCCAAAATGCAAAATATAAATGAGTTGATTAAATTTTATTTGACGTATAATGTGGTTTGATTATCCCCTCTGCAGGAAATGTGAATATAGAATCTTCAATTACGTCAGTTTACGATGAACAGATCATATCGACCAATATAGTGCTGTCCGAATAATTAATTATCTATGTACAAGCTGAATAAATAACTATTAGATGAGACATTACAAGGATTAGTTGAAATCTATGTTAGGTATAAACTTGATTTTACTAAAAGCACTATACAGTGTGATTCACAAGTCGTGACCAAAAATGAAACATCATACACCGGACCGTATTTTAAGGGGGTCTTCTATGTAACATTTTGTACTTGAGGGCTTCATTAAAGCTTAAAAATAAAAAACAATTTTAAATATATATATATATATATATATATATATATATATATATATATATATATATCTTCAAAACCGTCAACTGGAATCAACTAAAATTTATGTGAATTTACCTAAGTATTTTCCACATTCAAAAGTCTTTACTTAAAAGTAACGTGGACCAGTGGCGGAGATACAGGGTATTAGCGGCATTATTTTTCCAAATAAAAATAGTACGCCACTGTTTTTTTTTTCGAATTTTACCTTCAATTTGCTACAAATAATTACTCTTATGTTTTTCCTACAGTTTCCGTAACAATAAAAATAAAACAAATTAGATCATTCAGGAAGAGCTGAGATACAATTAGTTTCAAAATAAAATAGGAGGCCTTGATCCCAACTTTACGTTTCTTGGGAGATAGTTTGTCAAAGTAATGTGTTATAGTGGATACCAAATAAAACCCGATGCACGTCATCGATCTGGAGCTGTGCGCTGTTGCCAGAATTTGCACATTTTCTTTTAAGCAAATAAATTAATAAAATAAATTGTTTATATATACCTACCATTTACTATAATACCATTATATTAAAAATAAATAAACTTGTAAAATTAAATTCCTTTCTGAATAAAAACACCTGATTTTGGTAGATATTCAATGATATGAGCTCTTTACACCGACTGTTAAGTTGTTTTGGCATTTTGGATACTTTACACCACTTCACAGTAACTGTTGTTCTGAAAAGAACAATTTTTAATTGGCAAGGCAACGATTCAAAGCTCAAATAGCGCAAAACTCACAAACTAAACAATGAAGAACTAATAGTACGACAAAAGGACAATGGCAACTGATGTCAACAAATGAGAAGTGGCAACCTCACATTTCTCTGCACGGCACTACCAACCGAATCGAGACGGGGAAATTTAAACTTCAAGTAGAAATGTCACATTGAATGTAGTCAACTGTTGGTAACCATGATTTTTATGAATGACATCACCTATGACGTGCATCGGATTTTATTTGGTATCCACTATATACGGTTGTTATCGTTACTACTACCATTTTTTTCTGTCTAGTCAAAAGTTTCTTTTTTTCATTTTTGAATGTTGTGAAATGGAATTTAGCAATGATGAGTACGCCGATATTATTTGTACGGATTCTGTAATGGAAATGTTTTAGCGGCTTTTCGGGAGTATCAACGTAGATTCCCTAACAGACGCCAAACTAGCCCACAGGTTTTTACGCGTTCATTTCCAAGACATGGAATTTGCCAATCTTCCCGGAGTTAGAGGCCATGTGTCCGGCATGCTGTTCAAGAGGAACTGGAAGGGATTAATTTGGCGTTGCATGATCCTAGTACCAGTACTAGGCGGATTGCAGCCAAGTTACCATGTTCCCAAAGTCTGGCGTGGATAATTTTAAATCTGGAAGTTTTACATCCTTACTATCGGCAAAATGTGCAATATCTGCAACCCGGTCGCGAAGTAACAGGGCGAAATTTTTGTGACTGGTTACTGCAAATGCATTAAATCAAAATAATGATTTTATTGATTTGGTTTTGTGGTCAGATGAATCGCTTTTTACGAGTGGAACCTTTAGTTCTTATAATGCATATTTGGTCGTTAGAAAATCCCCCTTCTGTAAGAATCCACTCGTTTCAACACAGATTTTCTAGAAATGACTGGTACGGCATTTTCAATGGCCAACTGTTCATGCTCGTATTGCCACAACGTTCAAGTGCAAACTCTTACTTAGCCTTTCTAGAGAATTACATAGAAAATGTGTTAGATGATGTTCCGTTAGCAACGAGAGTACGAATGTGGTATCAGCACGACGGTGCCTAACCGCAGGTTCGTCGTGACCATAACCGCATGGTTAATTAATCATTTTAGACAACGATGGATTGGCAGAAACGGACCCGTACATTGGCCTGCGAGGTCTCTTCATTTGAACCCCCCGGATTTCTTTCTGTGGGGCGCTTTTAGACAACTAGTGTATGCTGAACAAATTAATTCTGTTGATCAGTTACAAGAAACACATCATCACTCCACATCAGCATGGCTTTTTTCCTGGTAGATCGACTACATCTAATCTTGCATGTTTCAAACAGCATGCTGCTGAAATTTTAGATACTTGCGGACAGATTGACGTTATCTATACGGATTTCTCAAAAGCATTTGACAGACTTGACCATGGAGTACTAATACAGAAGCTTTTAAGATGCGGTATAACACTTGGATTCGCAAATTTCCTCAGATCTTATCTGTTGGACAGAATATTTTTCGTTGAGTACCGTGGTTTTAGGTCTGTCAGTGTTTCTGCGACATCTGGGGTGCCTCAGGGCTCCGTCCTGGGTCCGCTATTATTCGCTATATTTGTGAATGATCTCAGTGGCCAACTAAATTGTTGCAACTTATTGTACGCAGACGACTTGAAATTATTTTCTAGAATTGACACAATTGTCGATTGTGTGAAGCTTCAGGATGAACTAGTACGTCTGTATGAGTGGTGTTGCCTGAATCAGCTGTATCTGAATATTACAAAATGCCAGACTATGTCTTTCACACGTAAGCACAATATAATTGGTTATGCTTATCACATAAATGGTCAAGTCTTGGATGGTTGTTCCATGAGGGATCTAGGTGTTTCTTTCGACCCACAGTTAACTTTTGTGCAACACATTACTGAAATTGTAACCGGTGCGCACAAGACGATGGGTTTCATACTTAGGTGTGGCAAGAGCTTCAATAATGCTAAAACTCTTTTATTGTTATTCAATGCGTTTTTTAGATGTAAGCTCGAATACTGTAGTATAATTTGGTACCATGCATATGATGTACATTCGGACAGCATTGAAAAGATCCAGCGACGTTTTGCTAAATATTTATGGTTCAAGGAAGATGGGATTTATCCTGAGGCTGGATTTCGCAATGACTTATTGCTCAGTAGATTTAATATGGTAAATTTATCTAAGCGCAGAAATTACTGCGCTGTGGTTTTCTTATATAAAATTTTGAACAACACAGTTGATTGCCAGTTTCTTTTAGAAAAGCTGTCATTACACGTACCGTACCGAAACATAAGGTTTAACAATACCAATTTCTATTTACCTGTGCCTCGTACAATGTGTTACTTTTTTCGCCATTATATGTAATGTGTAACAACTATGAAAAAGTAAAGAATTTAGTAGACATTTTTCATTGCACTATATCACTTTTAAAAAGGTCGTTTTTGACTGTAGGTTAAGAACTTATTTAGATGTAATGTGTGTAATGTACTTGATACGTTGTTTATTGATTTTTTTTTCTTTTTTTTTTGTATTCTGTATATTTCCTGTTCGTTAAATGGAATCATCTGTTCGAGCCGTGTACTAACCGCAAATAAATAAATAAATAAGAAATGCGTTTCATCAAATTCAAGCTACAACAAATTTTGCAGTTTTTCTTTATTAAAAAGATGCCGCACTTGTATCCATCAGAATGCTGGTCTTTTTGAACATTTATTGAAATAAAGCTTTGATTATCTAATGTTTTTATTTTTACGTGAACAACGCACTCTAGGATAAAAACACGAGTAATTATTTGTAGCAAATTGAAGGAAAAATTGCGCATTTCGAAAAAAAAAAACTGGCGTACTATGTATGTTACGTGTGTTTCAAATTACAACATCGCATATCTCGGAAACGGTAAAGCGAATATCACACGATCAGTATTTACTATGGTCCGTAACGTTATGCATCAATCACTGACATCCAGGCTACACGGTCAGCCTATAGCGTCTATAAGTAGGAAGCGTATAGTCCACAATGTTGATATTTTTATGTTAATCACTACAAAGACTTTAACTTTTGGCTACTAGTTCATCTTTATCGGATTTTGTCGGATTTCATAATATTTGAATTCTTCAAATAAACTCTTGACTACGTTTTAAGATATATCAACAAACAAGGTTTGACTTCTTTCTGTCCTAAGGAAATTTTTGATTGCGTTTAAAAAAAACGGAAAAAAAGATAGTCAAGTTTGGCGGAATTATAGAATTTTTGGTCATAATACTGGTACCGTTCGACATGCGTTTCAAAATTTCTTTAAAATCCAGTGATACCTTTCAGGTTATAGAAGGACCAATGATTAAATTATTTTTTTTTGATGGTTACTCTAACGCAATAGGACCGATTAAATACACCAAGAAAATGTATTTACTATGTTATATCGGAAAATAATTATTCCATTTGAAGTTTTTTCGCAATTACAGTACTTCTCTCCTCGCCTATTGACTTGACTAAGAAAATCAGCACCCTGTTTTAAATCTTGAGGGATATGTACGCCCAAGGAACAGGTATATAAAATTTGCAGTATAACATTCGTCATCTATTATTTCAAGAGTTGCTTTCAAGTATTGTAAACGGCTAAATTATTACTTGAAAAAGCAAAGCCTTACACCCAAAAAAAATTATTTATTCAACTTGATATTTTGACAATGAGGTTTTATTACATCAAGAATGAAACGTTAACATTCTCAGGAAATTTTATGGTCAGGTAATGAGAAAAAAATTAATAATCTGTTGGACGACTCCGCAGCTGAAGACACTCGTGTATACGTCTAGGCATCGATAAAATGAGATGATCGATGTCTGGCTGTGGCACCTCATTTCAAGCAACTCGAACTTCGTAGATTAGCTGCGGCGGATGGTGCAAAGTGGA